TTAGAACACTTTGCATGCCAACAGGGTTCTTTGAATGGTGAAATCGTTCTCCAGATTGATGGAGAATGTGTTGTATGGGTTCTATATAGCGCCAAACAGAACAGGGTTCTGCTGTGGTTGTGATGTCACGTTTGTATACAATAGAAGAACCCTTTATGGGAACCCTTTTTTTGCAGAGGCCCATTTAAGCATGCAAATGGTTCTTTGAGCGTTCATGGTTCTATATAGAACCATTGTCTTTGCTAAAGAGCCCTGGAAGAACAATCTTTTTTCTATGTAGAACCATGAACACTCTTAGAACCATTTGCATGCATGTAGGGTTATGATTCTTCGGATTGATAGATAATGTGTTGTACATCGTTCTAAATAGAACCTTTTTGAAAATGGCTCCAAAAAGGTTCCTTCAATTTTTCCATGCTTGACATCATAACAATAGCAGAACCCTTTTTGGTGCTTTATAGAACCATTTTCAATAGCACAATACCACAACCCTTTTTGGTGCTTTTTTTTAATGGTTCTATAAAGCACCAAAAAGGGTTCTGCTGTAGTTACAATGTCAAGTTTGTAAACAATAGAGGAATGCTTTTTTGCAGAGAACCATTTAAGCATGCAAATGGTTCTTCGAGTGTTCATGGTCACTATAGAACCATGTTTTTTTTTTTACCAAAGAACCACCTTTTTTAATTGGTTTTATATAGAAACATGAAAACTCAAAGAACCATTTGCATGCTTAAATGGTTCTCTGCAAAAAAGGGTTCACATTAGTGGTTCTTCTATTGTATACAAGCTTGACATCATAACTACAGCAGAACCCTTTTTGGTGTAGAACCATATACAACCCATTCTCCATCAATGAAGAACCATTTCACCATGCAAAGAACCCTTTAGGCATGCAGATGGTTCTAAGAGTGTTCATGGTCCTATATAGAACATATAGAGAACATTTTCCATTTGTCTGGTTGTAAAGAATGAACTAATATAACAATAATAATAATAATAATAATAATAATAATAATAGCACAGCACTATAACTGAGACATTATAGCATATGATGATACAGTTTACATTGAATACGGCTTTAGAGAGGCCTATAGCATCATTATTATCATTATCATTATTATTATTATTATTATTATTATTATTATTATTATTGTAGCCATAATAATATGATTGCACCATAGCTCACAGTTTCAAGACATGCTATGGTATGAATTTATGGTGTATTATTATATATCTGGGTTACAAACACAGTAAAATGAACAGTGCAGGTGTTTTAGTGCAGAAACTCAGCGTCACCCAAACACTCAATAAACACCAGCACTGATTTATTTTCTTCATCAATTATCTGTTGATACTGATATGATTCTGATTATTACTATTCAACCCTCGTTATTACTGCTGTTATTATCATCTTTCCCCCACCACAGCCACTCATATTCATACTTCACTGGTTTATTTTTTGCACATTTGTAAACATGGCATAAACTGGAGGTAATAAAAAAATATAAAACAACAACAATATTGAAATATGGCACGATTCGTCTCACAGGAAACCGACGTCACATCGTTATTTTCTCCATTTACAGCAGATATTTACACTGAGACACTGACAGGAAACACGTTACAGCCTCTATATCAGAGATGGACAGTCACCACACTCATCACCGTACACAGAACACTGGAAAATAAACACTGGAACTTCATATTCTCTCCACAGATAGTTCATAATTAATATTTGTGCTCTTCATTCTCCAGAAAATGAGCAATAAAGCTAAAACCTGGCCGAAACAGAGATGGACAGTGATGCAGCGAATGTGTCAAAGACCAGGAGTAAACATTATATCGGGACAACACCGGAATATTCCTGACGATACCTGTTTTCATATCGCAATATCAATATATATCAATATCTATCTATCTATGTATCTATATATACACCGTAATGTGGGCCGGCCTTCGTAAACAGACTGTAGGGTGAAGCACAAAGTCAACGACGAGATGGAAAGTGACCAGTTCAGTCAACACAGTACAAAAAAGTGCATAAACGAGCCCACCAATAAACGACGTCCATCGAGGAGGATGAATATCACCACGTTCCACACATCACCACCTGGAAGAGATGATCGGGTCACAGTAATGCTGCGCGTGTTGTGACTGTACAGCACATGCGGTGCAAACGACAAAGTCATGACCTCAGCAAATGGACCTCAACGAACCAGTTTTCGTCCCTGTTGGCGACTCTTTTCAAAAAAGGCTTAAAGTCGTGTGCAAAAGTTTTCAAATTTCATGTTTTTGTTGGTTTTCTAAGCATAATAAGTCCTTTAAATCAGTATTCTGCACAATTTAACACACAAACAACGTAAAATTTAACATATTGTAAACAAACATAAACAACATGTGGCCTGTGCAGGAGGCACATTTTATATTTAACGTTAATTTTGTTCCGATAGAATCAATTCGGCAGGAAACTGTGCGCTTATTTACACTTAGAAAACCTGCAACAGCAGGCAAGTTGATCAGGGTGCTGTAATTTTTGCATACGACTGTATATCTACAAATAAAGGTGCCAAAAAGTTTCTTTGCAGTGATGCTGTAGTAGAACCACTTCTGGTTCCCGTAGGTTCGGTGATCCCGTAATGAGAGTAAACACGTCTGGGGACGACTTGTTAAACTTTTGCTGCAGTAAACGAGGATCCCTCTAAACCCCGCCCCCCAAATTCCTCTAGTCTAGGGGTCCGGACCCAGATTCCAGTTTCAGCTAGTTAACTGAACCAGTGATGTCACTGATTAGCCACCTACACTGCAAAAACTAGTCTTGTCAAGTGAAATGATCTTAAATCTGCACTTAAGATGAGATTATCTGCTGATTTCTGGACACGATTTACTTGTTTTAGGTCATTTTATTAAGTAAGATTATCTCACTATACTGGCAGATAATTATGCTGGTTTCAAACTCGTTTCTTAAAACCAACACAGTGAGATAATTTTACTTCATAAAATCACTGAAAATGAGTGAAAATGTCTAGAAATGAGGTAAATAATCTTGAAATTAAGCTTACAACAATCTCAACATGAGAAATATTAGGTTTATTGACTATTTTTATAATAATTTAATTTACTATTTTTGCAGTGTAGCAGAAATGACAAAATCGAGGACTGGAAACGATTCGAGGTCCAGATTCGAAGATCTCAGCCTGGAGACTCAGACCTGGAGTAGAAACGATAGCAAAACAAACTAGCTAGCGAAGCACTATCGTTAGCTAATGAGCTGTTTGGAAGATTGTGACGTTTATTTTTACAACCAAATCACATCTAATTTGCATTTTTCAGGGGCTTTTTAAGCCACACTAACTTATGTTACATTGATGTGCTAACGACGGGCTTGTTGTTTGTCGGACGCTGTCAGTGAGCGCACCAGCGCCCCCTACTGTGAGCTCAGTGTTCACAAGCTGTCAGACTGGTCTATATATTTCACTCTCGGTTTGTTTCCACCCTAAAAAGGCTACATTTTACTTCGGACCTTCGTGGCTGCAGACCCTCAGTTCCCTGACCTGAACGATTTCTTGAATCTAAATTAGCGTGACATAAATAAAAAGTAGCTTTTTGTGGCTTAGCTTGTTTTTACGAGTAGCTCCACATTAATAGATCTAATAGATCACTTTCTAAAAGGGCGAGGACTGGACTGCTTTAAAGGACCAGTGTTATCAATGTGATCTGTAAACGTGAAGACCTGCCTGTTTGGACCCTTTTAGAATATTCTGCGCCAATAAATGGTTTCCTAGAAGCAAAGAACCCTTTTAGGAACCTTTATTTTTTTCTTGAAAATCCAAACCAGCTCTATAAAGAGTCACTTCTGAGGGCCTTTTATCCACGGGCCAAAAATTCTTCAGAAGATAAGCCTTCGTTCGCCTCACAGGGACAAAACGGCGTTTCAAAGACCCGCTTTCAGGTTCTAAAAGTGCATCAAAACATCAAGACGGTCATGCAGGTGTAAAATTTTTCTTTTTCTGTCCTTCTCTCAGGTTTGACCTTCATAAGGCCAGCAGGGTGGAGTTATCTGCGCCTGCTTTGGCCTTAGCCGCCCCGGCTTTCCCCTCAGAACCTTCCGAGTCTAAGTTTGGAAAGTCGAACACGGGCACGGCGCTGCTAACGCTAGTTCCGCAGGCTGGACTTAGTGTCGGAGTGCTGAGGGGGTCCAGACTGCCCCCCATTGTCATGTAGAGGGTCTCCCACTCAGTCAGGCCGAGAGATGCGCTGAGGTCAATGTCGGGCACCAGCAGGTCCATATCGTCGTCGTCATCTTCGCCGACCTTGGAGCCCAGGTCGTCCATCGGGACGTCTTTCACGTCTATGTAGGGTTCCAGTGCAGCGCTGGAGCACAGGAGAACATCGGAGTCTTCCGAGATGATGGGGCCAGTGGGCTCCAGTTCCTGGGGGCAGGTGGGTACCTGGCGGAGGCCCAGAGGAGAGGAGGGCATTTTGTCCAGGCTGATGGTGGAGGAAGGTGACTGGACGGGATTCGGATCATCCTGGAGCACGAGGGCAGATTTCGGAGGCTCTTCAGTGGGCTCCTCCTCCTCCTGCATCTCCGCTGGGATTTTGCAGTGGGGATTGTGGGTGGATAGCAGGAGCTCCAGCTGCTCTTTTTCCTTCATCAGGGTGCTGATCTCAGCCTGGAGAGCTGCTTTCTCCTCCTCTAGCTGGTCAGTTTCCTGAGGAACAACAAAATAAGGTCATATGAATACATTCTGCTTCATACAGTCTCACAAATCTCATTCGTCCAGTTACTCCCACTGTTCAGCCGAGACGTGTTTGGTGTCTGAAGTTTGATTCCTTAGTTTTAGCACTGGAGCTAGGAGGCTAATGTTGCTAACAAGCTAATGGAACCCATTATCATGGTGCTAACTCAGGCCTAAATCATCACAAACTCGTCTCAAACACTCTGATTAGACCTTTAAAGATGTTTTACGGACTGGACCACCATCAAACCTCACTCCTACAATCAATAATCCACCAAATAAATGCAGATTATCAAGACAAACGTCACATAAACACTGAACACTCACAGCCTGCAAACTGTCGGTGAGCTCACGGCGGCGGTTTCGACACTTCGCCGCCGCCAGTTTGTTTCTTTCCCTCCGAATTCTCCTCCTTTCTTCCTCCTCCGGGGACAACTGTTCAATAACGAGAAAAAAAACAATATTCAGATATTAACTGATACAATAAATCATGCTGTTTTACACCTGAAAGAAAACGTCTGTCTATTAGGAGATTCCAGAATAAGCAAAGTAAGAAGTATCTGAATATTTCACATCACGCAGCAAACAGTGTTTAATATGAAATACTGTTATTAACCTCAAAGTGTGGGATTTTGCTACCAGTTGCGTAATAAAGAATCATAATAAACAGAGTAAAATAAGCTTTATATATGCACAACTGTTGCTATTGAGCAATGGTTAGGCTTATTATTCACTATCTAATATGAATTATTTAGTATCTACTACAAATTATTCTGTATCAAATATTAATTATTTGCCACATACTGTGAATTATTCAGTATCTAATAAGAATTATTCAGTAACTACTATGAATTATTCAGTAACTACTACAAATTATTCAATATCTATTGTGAATTATTCAGTACATTTGACACTTTATTCAGTAACTACAATGAATTTTTCAATATCCACTGTGAATTATTCAACGTCTACTATGAATTATTCTGCATCTAGCATGAATTATTCAGTATCTACTACAAATGATTGAGTATCTACTATGAATTATTCAGTATCTACTACAAATGATTGAGTATCTACTATGAATTATTCAGTATCTACTATGAATTATTCAGCATTTAGTATAAATTATTCAATTTTTACGATTAATTATTCAGTATCTACTATAAATTCCTAGTACCTGCTCTTTCTGTCCCTTCCTGCGGCCTGCAGGGGCCCCGTGGCCTGCTTTGCGGGTGGACGGCTGAGCTTTCCTCTGTCCAGCCTGAGCTCTCTTCTGCTTTGCGGCGCCGCTGCAGGGACTGACTGATGAAATGTCAGTGGACAGGACCATCCACTTCAGATCCGGAGCCGTGGCTATGGCAGTGACCGTGGGGACAAAGGGGCCGTCGGCCGCGCCGCTGTCAGAGCCTCGGCCCTGAGCACGTCACACACACATCACACACCACACACACCAGACATCAGAGGCTCCAATAAGCTTTTTCACAGCACCGTCAGCAATGAAGCCTCCTGACAGCTCACCCAGCACTGCTCTGCTTTCTAGCATGCACCCCTTTGTCTCCGCATATCAACGACATCAGCCTCACTATGCAATCATTATATACATGCATACATAATCTTCACCATCACCATCATCATCTGTACCTGCGCACTCTTCATCTTGCTCTCCGGGCAGAGGGCAGCGCGAGACGAAGATTTAGGCATCTCCTCAAACTGCGAGCACCAAAACAACAAACAGCAGCGTCTGTGCAGTGAATCGCAGGAGCACCAGCCTTTCCCTGAGAGCTGCTTCTGCAGTCTTCCTCTTTTTTCTGAAGGGCTTTGTGTTTACTAGGCTACACCTGGATGCGCGAGCCCGCTCCCTCGCTCCCTCTCTCTCCTCTCTGATAGTGAGGGAGAATTTTTATGAATGAAATCTATGAGACGAGACCGTACCATGTTCAGAGCTGGAGGGGGGGTGGGGGTGGTTGGGATGAGGAGGGAGGGGGAGGGGGGCAGTGAACCGGACTGTTTCATTCAGCCTGTGCGCTGCAGAGGTGCTGAGGCGCTGGTGAAGATGGGAGCTGCCAGATTTCACTCAGTGTTCTGCTTATTTTGCGCAATGAAGTGAAACCCAGGCGCTTTCGCAACAGTAAATCAGAGCGTCTGCGTCGGTCAGCGCTGCTGATCGGACCTGCGGCCTCTTTGTGTTGCTCAGTGTAAATATTGTGTAAGAGGGTCCGGCGCACACAGCAGAACAGGCTCTAGGCTGACAGTGCGAGTAGAATGTGTCCCAGAGCCACCGCAGGCTTATACAGTGGGTTCTCAAGGGTTCTTTAGCAAGAGGACATTTCCCTGCTTAAATGATTCTTTGCATGGGGAAATACTGTTCAGATTTAAGCATGCAAATGGTCCTATATAGAACCCACGGCTCTAAATATGCCTAAATGGTTCTCTACATGGGCAGAAGGTTCTAATATGCATACACTAGCTCAGAAATGACTCCTGGCTCAAAAATGACTCCCCAAGGGTTCTACAGAAAGGAGAACGGTTCTCTTTATGACCATGAGTCCTGTATAGAACCATTTCCCTGCTTAAATGGTTCTTTGCATGGTGAAATTGTTCTTCAGTTGGGCAAATTTCTTCAGATTTAAGCATGCAAATGGTTCTATATAGAACCCATGGTTCTAGATATGCTCAAATGGCTCTTTGCATAAACCTTCTTTGTGCTTATTTAAATCTACGAGTTTTATATAGATCCCATGGATCTAGATATGCTTGAATGGCTCTCTGCTTGGGGAAAAGGTTCTAGTATAGGCTCCCAGAGCCACTTCAGGCTTATGCAGTGGCTCAGAGTTCACTGCTCAAGGGTTCTTTAGCAAGGGGAACGGTTCTAATTAGGACCGTAAGTCCTATATAGAACCATTTCCCTGCTTATATGGTTCTTTGTATGAGCCCTCTTTAAGCATATTTAGATCCAGAAGTGCTATATAGATCTCATGGTTCTAAATGTGCTTAAATGGTTCTGTGCCTAAACCTTCTTTAGGCATATTTACATCTATGGGTTTTATAAAGATTGCATGGCTTTAAATATGCTTGAAAGGTTCTCTGCATGGGGAAAGAGTTCTTCAGATTGATGGAGAATGTGTTGCTGGTTCTATATAGCACCAAAAAGGGTTCTGCTATTGTTGACATCGTAACAGTGCTATATTGAACCATTTTCAAAAATGTTCTGTATAGAACCTTATGCAACACATCCTCCATTATTCTGAAGAACGATTTTACCATGCAGAGAACCATTTAAGCATGCGAATGATTCTATAGGGAACTCGTGGTTCTAAATATCTCTGAAAGGCTATTTGCATGAGCCTTCTTTAAGTATATTTAGAGCCATGGGTTCTGTATAGATTGCATGGTTTTAAATCTGCTTGAATGGTTCTCTGCATGGGGAAACGTTCTTCAGATTGAAGAAGGATGTGTTGCATATGGTTCTGTATAGCACCAAAAAGGGTTCTGCTCTTGTTGACATTGTAACATTGTGTTATACAGAACCATTTTCAAAAAGGTTCCATATAGAACACATCCTCCATCTATCTGTAGAACCATTTCACGATGCAGAGATCTCCTTATGCATGTAAACGGCTGTTCTAAACGTGCTTAACTGGTTCTCTGCATGGAGAAATAATTCTGCAGATAGAAGGAGAATTTGTTCTTGGTTCTACAGCACTAAAAAGGGTTCTGCTGTGGTTACTGAGCCAAGCTTGTAACAATAAAAGAGCCCTGTCTATACATAGAACCATAGGACCCAGTACAACACATTCTCCATCAATATGAAGAACCATTTCACCATACAGAGAACCACTTAAGCACATTCAGCACTCGTGGTTCTAGATAGAACCATTCCCTTTGATCAAAACCCTTGAAGCACCGTGCACGGTACGTTTCAGTATTTGCCTGCTTCGCCCGCTCGCAGTTGCGCGAGGACGTGACTAAAAACGCTCGTGGACGTCGATAAAAGAGGTATTGGTGAATAATCGCGCGCGGCGTGATCCTCGAGCGAATCTCAGTCTCTGTCTCACACTTGAACCCACTGGAGTGACGAACGATCTGCTGCAGCAACAAGACGCGCTGTGTCGCCAGCGCCGGCGGCAGCCATTCAGCGGACGGAGAGCTCTCGCCTGCACGTGTAGCAACCAATCACGACGCGGCATTCTCCTCGTCCCTGAGCGAGGGGAGCCAATCGGAGCTGGCCTCTCCATATATGGAGTTTCCGGAGCGCTATTGCAGCAGCAGCGGCGGCAGCGGCGCCTATTTCTGTCTCATATGGGACTTAATTAAATGACATTGAAGTGACGAAAACGTCACCAAACATCCAGATTTATTTTAAAGCGTGATTTCTCCACGATCGCCCCCCCCATCCACCCCCACCCCACTTTTAATACTTATAACGAATCAGTGATGGAATATAACCCTGCTAAGCTATTTATTTCTCCCCTGAAGACCCCTTTGTCCCACGTTGGGGGGTCGTCTGGTGAGGATGACTCTATATTTAGCCAAAAATGAGATGAGGTAACCCCGGCCTCCCTCTGGAATCTGTGTGTGTGTGTGTGTGTGTGTGTGTGTGTGTGTGTGTGTGTGTGTGATTCCCGGCAGGCCCACGCCCCTACAGTCCAGTTTTCCGGCAGCCTGTCAGCCTTTCAGCCCCAGTGCAGGACAGCCTGTGTCGGTCAGCATGTCCAGCGCTACCGGGAAGTGGGTCCACTTGGTGCTGGGCCCCTCATGATAACCTTTCAAATGCAAAGCAAACCGCTTTGAACGCACTTTAGGTCTGAAAAGAGCACAGACCTGGTCTGAAAAAGCAACATATAGTCTTTAAGTCATAACTAGTTTGCATATGAACAAAAATACAATCTAATTTTGTGATTATTAATAATAACAACCTTTATTTGTTTAGCACCTTTCACAGAAGAGAGCAGCTCAAAGTGCTTTAAAGAGTGTTGAAAGAAAAAATGGCATTCAGAAATAATTAAAAAGTAATAAAAAACGGATTTTTCCACAAAATATATGATATACAAAGACATATTAAGCAATGCATGCTCGATTTCACTGCTGCAAAGAACAATGTTGTGCACATTTGACGCTATTTTTGAGCAAAAAGTGCCCCAAAAGTAAAAGTTATTAAAGTTCTGAGCGCCAGAATGGGTCGCGGGGTCATTCCTGAACGGAGAGAGCCGAAAATAGAGCGAAATAAAGGAGAACAAATGGAGTGTAAAGTTTTGCTGCTGCCAGTTCGCTCCAGTTTCAGCTGCACCGCGTCACTGACGCCAATGGGAGGGGCGTTGCCCGGACAACGCGGAATAGGAGGGGCGTTGCCCGGACGACGTAGAATGGGAGGGCCGTTGCCCGGACGACGCGGAACGGTAAACAAAACACGGCCAGAGCAGCGCAGTTAATCAATAACAAAACCTGTCTATTCCGCTAATTTCTCACCGTTTAGCGACAGAACATGGAAATGTGGGTGCAGATTTCACAAAAACAAGTGTTTATTTCACTCCGACGCAGCGAGGAAAGGCTGAAAATAGAAGGAAAATAAAAGAAAAGGCTTGATCTGATTATAAATAATGTACGGGATGAGCTTGTTTACTTTCACTGTACATAAAACCGCTGCAACCTTCTGAGTTTCCTGGGTACCTCAAAACTTAAAGTGATATTAACCAATATTTTCTCTTAACCTAATAATAGAGGTTCGGTGAACTCTGGGAAATTAAAAAGTTGCATATTTTTTCAGTATGTTTATTTATTTATTTATTGTTTATTTATTATTTAACTATTTTGCTTTGCTTATAGTTTGTTTATTTATCAGCTTTTGCTTTTAGCCTGTGTTTTTTTTTTCCTCTCATTTCCAAAGTCAGTCAGTTGAGCACGTAGAACATGTGGTGAGCACGCAGGTAAACCGGGACACACCTGCACGTTCCTCACAGGTACAAACCCCGCCCTGACCAATCACCTAGTTCTCACAGAAACACGACAGGAATGTTCATACATACACTAAATCAATCAATCAATCAATAAAATAAAAAATACACCAAACTTTAAAAATATAATCACAATCACAGAACAGATGAATAATTATATATATATATATATATATATACATATATATATATATATATATATATATATATATATATATATATAAACACAAACTACACTCTTAAAAAAGGTTCTTCAAGGGTTCTTTAGTAAAGACAGTGGCTCTACACTTAAAGAGTTCTCTGCATGGTGAGACTGTCCTTCAGACTGGGTTGTGTTTGGTTCTGTGTGGCACCAAACAGGGTTCTGCTGTTAAAAGCTTGACAAGCTGGAACCCTTTTGGTGCTATCTAGAGCCATTTTCACAAAGGTGCTATATAGAACCATACACAACAGAATCTGAAGACTGTGTTGTATATGGTTCTATGTGACACCAAAGAGGGTTCTGCTGTTACAATGTGGCACTAAAAGGGGTTCTCTTGTTACAAAGAACCATTTTCAAAACGGTGCTATATAGAAACATACGCAGCATAATCTAAAGAACCATTTCACAATGCAGAAAACAAAGCATGGTAAATGCTTCTTTGAGTGTCCCTGGTTCTAAATATAACCATTCCCTTTACTAGAGAACCTCTGGAGAACCATCTTTTCCAAGAATGTGCCTACCGTTACCACAGTGAGCTCTCGAACCAAACAAACGTCTTGTTTTGTTCTTTCAAACAATCCAAACACACACGGCAAAAACTTCACAGGCAGTTTTTTTACGTAACGTCTCTCTCTCTTTCACTCTCTCTCTCACACACACACACACACACACTCCGTACAGAGTGTTTCCCAGCAGCGCTCCGCCCTCACAGGATGCTTTCCATATAAGGGCAATGACGTCTTGGGATACCCTGCTATGGAACGTCACCCATAGAGACTAAAAACATACAAACGGAATATAAAATCATACATAAAATGATTGTTCTTCGCTTAAAATGCGTGGCGTGATTTTTAAGAAGGAATTTCAGCTTCAAAACGCAATAAACAGCGTTATTTTCCCGCTTCTGAATGTTTGTTTTTATTTGTTTGGGAGCTCGAACGTTCCGACGTAGTTCCCGCCCCTTGCCTGCGTCATTCTCGGGCAGAGTATAAATACGGCGCTGGCTCGCTGGTCTCGGCACTCAAACTTTGGACTCTGAGGGAGAAACAGAGAGACTTAACCAACCTAGACGCGATCTTTTCGCCGCAGGAGCGCTTTAACTCGCAGTTGTTGGACGTTTTGGACGCTTTCCGAGTGGGGAAAGGTGAAGAAAGGATGATGTTTACCAGTCTTGATTGTGACTCGTCTTCCCGCTGCAGCAGCGCTTCTCCGGCTGGAGTTTACAGCCTCAGCCACTCTCAGGTAGCTAACATTTTAGCTCTTAAAGCCGTGTTATTTTCGTCTAGCATGGATATTTTATGGTTATAGACCCGATAAGTTACGTACTTAAATGAATAAGCTCGGTTTTCTAACTTATTCTCATGTGAGCACGAATTCGAACGAGAATCTGGCGATTGTTTTCTAGAAATATATGAACTAAAATTCTGTTCTCTTTCTCCTTTTAGGACTTTGCTGACATGGCCGATTCCCCTGCTCCTTTCGTGCCTACGGTCACGGCCATCTCCTCCTGCCCTGACCTGCAGTGGATGGTCCAGTCGGTGGTGTCTTCAGTGGCTCCATCCACCGGCAGAGCTCATCCTTACAGCCCCAACACAAGCACATCTTTCTCCAGGGCTAGAACCCAAGGAAACAAGGCCCAGAGCTCCAGCAGGAGGGGCAGAATGGAGCAGGTAGATGTCTTTTTGTTGTTGTTTATTATTGGATATAGCCTCCCTGCTAATGCTCAATACCGTATTCGAATGTGGGTAAGCTAAATTTTTCTCGCTGTCTCTTACAGCTTGCTCCAGAGGAGGAGGAGAAGAGGAGGCTCCGCCGCGAGCGAAACAAGATGGCCGCGGCCAAGTGCCGCAACAGGAGACGGGAACTCACGGACACCCTTCAAGCTGTAAGTATCTTCGTTTTCGTAGCTAGCCGAACTTTCCGTTGACCAGGTTATCTGCGTGAAATCACATGACAACGAACTAATGAGCTCTTCTTTCTTTTCCCCCTAGGAAACTGACAAGCTTGAGGATGAGAAGTCGGCCCTGCAGAACGACATCGCCAACCTGCTCAAAGAGAAAGAGAGGCTGGAGTTCATCCTGGCCGCCCACCGCCCCATCTGCAAGATCCCGTCCGAGATGGACGCCACCACCGCCGCCACCTTCACCAACACTTCCTCGCCCGAGCCCATATCCGAGATCCAGAACATGGTGACCTCCACAGCTTCCAGACTGACCAGCACGACTTCGGTGACCACCACCTCTTCCTCCGTGTTCTCCACCCCATCCGTTGACCTCCTGACCTCCACTGTAAAGATCTCTGACCTCGACCCATCCCTGGAGGCTTCCCTGGAGCTCCTGACAAAGGCTGAGCTGGACACGGCGCGCTCCGTGCCGGACGTGGACCTGTCCAGCTCGCTGTACACTCAGGACTGGGAGCCCCTGTACACACCGGCCAACCTGGACCTGGAGCCCCTCTGCACGCCCGTGGTCACCTGCACGCCCGCCGGCACCACCTACACGTCTTCCTTCGTCTTCTCGTACCCGGACGGCGACATCTTCCCCAACTGCGGCCAGATCCACCGCCGCGGTAGCAGCAGCAACGAGCAGTCGTCCGATTCCCTCAACTCCCCCACGCTGCTGACCTTATGAACTTGACGGATGCGATTAAAAACGGCGGGGTGCAGATCTCTGACCTCAACGATTGAACGATTCGGCACGTCATGACCTCGCCGCTAATTGAAAATGGTCTGTATTGTAGTCAACACTTCAAGATTCCAAGTAGAAGATGGACGCAGTCGAAATGCCAGTCTGCAGCACCCCCGTCCACTATAGACTCGATCCTTATTAACACTGACCTTAAAGACTTTAACAGTGCAGGGCTACGGAACTGATCCACTAAGCAATGGTTGCTTTATATGTACTGCATATTTATCTTTTTGCATATGTAGCAAGTTTAAGCATGGTTGAGTAACGTTTGTTTCTAGATAGATAGATAAATAAATAGATATCATTATTATGCAGATTATAATGTATAGATTTGAGTTTACTGGTGCTAGATACCTGTAATGTGGTCTGAGCAATAGAACTGACCTATTTGTTTTCCACATGTGTGAACTGTGCATCTTCTTTATTAAACAGTTGTGCTTAAACATTATGACGGAATGGTCTGACGTCCGAGTATGAAGTTTTCTGTGAAAACGTTCTTTAATTTATGGATTTTTATTTTTGTACTGAAATGTGAAGGCAAACTGAGCAACGTTTGCAAAGCTAGAAATAAACATATTGAATGTATGTGTTTCTATGCTGTCTTGACTTCTTTATAAAGTTGTTTGCTTTAATATTTACTGAGACCCTTTAGGTCTGACCTTACTAGCTTTCTGAAGGCCTCAGCAGATGAGAAACCTGCTTTAGCGGGAGCAGTGTAATAATATTTGTGCTGATCTCAGCCCGTTCAGTCCTGGAGCGCTGCTACGTCACAGATGATAATCTGCACGTAGAGAGAATCTGATAAAAAAAACAGAACTTTCTGGAACTTTCCTACCCGAGCAGGCACTGGGAAACTTAGCCCTGTTGCTAAAAGCTTTTGGTTCATGGACTTTTTCTTTCCTTTTCCAGTCAGCCTACTTTTCAACCAGTTCCTCACTTTGGTGGAAAGAAAACCGACACCATGAGAAAACACAACCGTGTCTTATCGAGCAGAACAGACGGAGAAACCTTTCAAAGGAAAAAACAAACCACTCAGATTAGAGCTGCTCTCAGCATAAATGCATAAATTCTGATTCTTTATCCAGCCGTCGAGCTGAAGCTTTGCCGTTTCTTATCAGGTGTCGAGTGAGGAATGAAATACAGCTCCTCTGGAAACACGGCGGTGTGCTTAACAAAAAAACAGAGCAATAAAGACAATCCATGAACTGCTTAACACTCAACAGTTCCAAAACACTTCTCGCCGCAGACGCCTAGTTCTGAGAAACACCTTTACTTGGCACATTACGGAGTCTAAAGTTATTCATCATGCTTGTTTGCAAACGTCACTTTCAGAAACCATCCATTTAAAGTTCCTCCAGGGAAGCAAAAGCGCTTCTTCTGTGGCATCAGAACAATGAACAAAGACACATAGGCAATGCTTATCAGAAATGACGGCACACGGCTGAGTTCTCATAAATGACCAGCGAACCTTTCAGAATTAGAATTATGTTCATTTTCCATGAATATGGATGTATAGTAGGAATTTTCTGCATTCAAAACAATTCACATTTATACTCTAATATTACTGAACCTTCAATAAACCAGGGGGCAATTTACTACAGATGGGCGATACAGAATAAATATAATATTTTGATATTTAGACATTTTCACAATAATAAATATCCTAATGCAATTAAAATATCCTAACCCAGTTACTGCTGGTTACTAACTAAAAAATGGTTTCATTGTGAGTAGAGCTGGACGATACTAGAGTATTGTAATACTTCAAGAACTTTTCACAATACAGGATGTGTCATAATATTTTTTTTCTGGAACAGAGAAAAAAGAACCTACTTTAAAAAATACTATCAAAAACTGTAAACATCGTGATTTTGATTCAGTATCTGCCACTAAATCCAGTTAAATAGACAAATTCTGCTCTCTTTATAATGAAACATGCAGTTGGTCAGTGTCCACAAGCACTGATGATAAACACGATATGATCAGAAAAGCTTATTGTATTGTACTGTGACTTAATTTAGAAGACTTTTCTGAGAATTTGAGGTGATTTTATCTATGAAAATTGTCTAATTCCTTCAAGCTGTCTTGGAAAAAAAAAAGCCATATTCCTCAACACGTTATTTGCCGATGGAACTTGACGACGTCACTGGGCAAAATGACTTAACACAAGCTGAGATAGGCTGTAACCTTATAATGCTCTTTCAACAGCGTCATGGTGAGAAGTATTAAATGTACTGACTAGATTTCTACTTGACTTTTGCAGTTCTGCAAGTCCAAACTTAATGAAATGAAGAGGTTAACCCAAGCAGACGGTTCAGTGGAAGAGCCTCGACTTTATTTAACCCCTTAAAATCCAGGCGTATTTTACACTAAGGCTTATTATTCAGTAAGTACAGGGGCTTCAGTGCACTGGCTGAGACAGACAGACAGACAGATAGATACTTTATTGATCCTGAAGGAAATTTAGCAGCCAGTATCAGTCACGCAACACAGGACAGTAATAATAATAAAGGTGAAACAACATAAAAGGAAGGATAAATATAAAAAATCCTATCTGCAGGCAGATATACAAATAGTAATATACAAAAATCTGGAATAAGATCTATAACCTGAGATGAAAAAGGCTGTTATTAGGTTATAGAAGCGTGTAATAAGACTTCGGGCCCTGGCCTTTTAAGGCTTACAGTGATATTTTCACTTTGAGAGTTTGTCTACTTTCGCTCAGGTTGAGGATTCTCGCTCTCACAGCTCGGGCCTCAGACCGGGCCTAACTTGGCCACTTCCTCCGGCTGGGTTTCCTCTGATCTGAGCCGATTGCCCAATGATATCAGAGAGGAAACGTGTGTGTGCTCATGTGCGTAAGAGGCAGGCGGTGACGCAACCACGTCATGAAATGCTGAGCGGCCCTTAAGCTGCAGTCACTTCCTTCCTTTGTTTCCGCAATCTTGCAGCGAAGACACGCCCTCGCAGCAGAGCGCGCCGAGATAGAGACGCAGAGGCGCGGACACAGGGAGCGGCTCAGCAGCTGTTACCCAACACCAGTAAATCCAGAGCAGCACCCTGACCTGGTTCTGCAGCGCAGTCAGCCATGTGGTGACCCCCCGCCGCCCTCTCCACCCCTCTGTGGGAACACAGGTGCTTTACTGGGTGACCGCAAGAACAGAAAGCAGAAGCTGGAGAAGAGAAAGCAAAAGAGCCGCCGCAGGTTTGCAGGAGAGATTAAACACAGTCAGACAGAAACTTCAAAATCCCCTCATTTATCTTTGGGAGAAACGCAGGCCTCAAAACAGAGCAGCTCCCAGGAGGACAGTTACATAAACCACCTGTGACTGAACAGACTTTCATCTACAGCCCATCAGACCCCGAATATCCTCACATATTCATATGTTCAAAAAAGGCCACATCTGTGTCTGCAGGATTCTCTAAAAACAAGCCCAAAAAAGTGCATTTCACTCACTTAGGCTGAGAATAAATACAGCAAAAAGAAAACAAGTCATATTAAGGGTAAGCCAAAGTTGACCCATAAAGGGAAACCACCAATTTTTTTCCACCAATTTTTTCAAAAATTCCACATAATTAAACGGTTAAGGTGTAAACCGAGTCATTCGAAAACTTATTATTTCAGATTTTCCACTATTTTCCATCATCAACATCCCATATAAACTCAGAAGACTCGTGTAGGTTCACTGGTGGTTCTGGATAGTAAATAAAATGTCTATATCTGTGTTGTAGTCATGGTGACCCCTGGTTCCCATCACCACCACTGTAAAGACATCTGAACCATTTCACACCAAACCACTCTGAATCTCTCTGTTTACACCTCACACACTCAGTTATGGAGGAATTTTGAAAAATTGGTGGAATTCCCCTTTAAGTAATTCCATTACAGCTCTGAACAAGCATGATCTTCATACTCCTGAAGAACTGCCCAAAATGGCTAATCTTGCCCGGAGAGCTTAAAATCTTCAACGGCATACATTTTGTTTACTAACACTGAGAAAAAAACGAAAATGAATGTTTAACCAGGCATTTTATTCCCATTCTGATCAAAGGCAATTCGGACAGCTTCACCACATGCATGTGTACAAACTCTCACCTGAAGGATTCGCCACAGTGGCTGAAACCAAACATCTGACCAAAACACCTCTACTCACCAACACTGAGAACAAAACAGCTTTTAACCAGCCAAACAAAAACGGATCTGGAGTTTAACTTAAAAAGTAAGAAACTGGCTTTCAATTTTAACTTTAACTAACTTCAAATAATATTATCGGTAACATCGGTGACAGCGGTAAACACTGGAATAGGCACATATGATATGAGGACTACTGCCACCTGCTGAGCTTAGCTTATTAGTAAAAAACACTTTTTATTCTTTTAATAATTATATATTATTATTACATTTCAGTGCAATAGAATGTTTTTTACGTTTCCTAACTTGGCTTAAGTAGTTAAGTAGTACTTAATTAATTTATATTTTATACAATAACAATAAAGCTTTTTATTCTATTCTATTCTATTCTATTCTATAAGATTATTATAACAACATGATTCTTGTTCTGTTAACTTACTGTTAGATGTTCTGCGAACTGGAGATTTTAAGACAGACAGTTTTATAAGTTATGACTTATGCTAAAATACACACTGTCTGATTAGCCAATAAATAAAATCAGCCAAAAAATTAAACCAGCCATATTATTCATAGGTTAATAAAACCCAAACTCCTATAGAGCTCTGAACACATTCAAAACATCTGTGTCCTTCAAACTCCTGAATGGCTGTTTCAGCCTGGAACTGAAATCCTGCTGAGGCTGAAGAAAACAACAAAAATATTATTCATAGTTTGATAAAAAGCTCATTTTGACTCATAGGTGATTACACTAAAGCTCTGAAAGTCTTCAAAACACTCGAGTCCAACCTAGAGAATTGTCCGAAATGCCCAACTAAAACACTAAAATACTTTTCGCACCTCAGTGTTGCTGCTGGACGGAGAACCAAAACATCCAGCCAACAGCGTCCTGTGGGCAGCGTCCTGTGACCACTGATGAAGGACTAGAGGATGACCAACACAAACTGTGCAGCAGCAGATGAGCTATCGTCTCTGACTTTACATCTACAAGGTGGACCGACAAGGTAGGAGTGTCTAATAGAGTGGACAGTGAGTGGACACAGTGTTTAAAAACTCCAGCAGCACTGCTGTGTCTGATCCACTCAGACCAGCGCAACACACACTAACACACCACCACCACCACGTCAGTGTTACTGCAGTGCTGAGAATGATCCACCACCCAAATAGTACCTGCTCTGTGAGGGTCCATGGGGGTCCTGACCACTGAAGAACAGGGTAACAGAGAAACAGATGGACTACAGTCTGTAACTGTAGAACTACAGAGTGAGACTATAAGTCTTCATTCAAAAATGGGATATGTATATATATATATAGAGAGAGAGAGAGAGAGAGAGAGAGAGAGGAAAGAGTCACTATCAGCCCTGCAGAAACGCCGCTAGTGACGTAAAATAATCACGTAGACGTGAAATGATTCTCCCTCTATTAATACCGCTGGCAGATCCAGAGGGAGAGAGAGAGAGAGAGGAAGGGAGAGAGAGATAAGGAGAGAGAGGGGGTGCAGAAAATAGCAGGTGCTCCTTTTAACATCAGCATCAACAGCAGTAAAATTAGACCCGGCGTGTGACGCCAACCTGCGTCTACGCAGCAGCCCAGGGGAGGGAACTGAAAGAGGGAAAGGGGGAGGAAAAAGGAGAAAAGGAGGCAGAGAGAGCCCAGGCTAAAGATAGACTGGAGCGCAGATCTGAAGAGAAACAGAGAGAGAGAGAGAGAGAGAGAGAGAGAGAGAGAGAGAGAGAGAGAGAGAGAGAGGCAGAGGCAGACAGCTGTTTAGACGAAGCAGCGTCAAAAATGGCGGCGATCCAAGAAGAGTTCAGTTAATGGTGGATCAGCTGCGACCAAAACACGAAGTTTACCTCCTTCTGGGCAAAAATAAGGTCTAGATATGACTTTTAAGGATTAAAAATGTCTGTCAGTGATATTTGTAAGGATTAGCTGAGCAGTGTTTTAGTGTGCGTTCACAGGCAGTTCATGTTTACTGAACCAAAATAATCTTAAAGGGGAATTCTACTTATTTTTCCTAAGAAGTTACATAATTAATGTGATGAGATGCAAACAGAGTGGTTAAGAGTGGTTTGGTGCGAAACACTCCGTTCTAGAGAAACTTACTGAGTCAGAACTGTTCACAGTGGTGGTGATAGGAACCAGACGTCCACTTCACTGCCTGATGACTGAGACACTGTTTTATGATAGTTTTGTGAGAAGGTTTTGGCTTAAAACTTATTTTAAACCATTTATTTATATCAATTCATGGTGGAGAACGAATTCACTGCCTGATGACTGAGACACTGTTTTACAACAGCACTGATGCAAAAACATTCCTCAAATCATTTTTTATCACTGTTTTCCATCATCAACATCCCATATAAACTCAGAAGACTCGTGTAGGTTCACTGGTGGTTTTGGATAGTAAATAAAATGTCTATATTTGTGTTGTAGTCATGACCACTCTGAATCTCTCTGTTTACATCTCACACACTGAATCATTCAGAAAATTTGAAAGATTTGGTGGAGCTCCCCTTTAAAACCGGCCGGTGCTGGTGCCCTGCTCAGTTCTGGTTTATTTTCAGCACATATATAATTAGATGAGTCAATAATTAGGCTAATAAACCGTTCCAAACGCTAATTATTAGCCTACCCTCATTGAAAAAGAAGCCCATCTGCACAAAACACAATCTACGATGTGTGAATTAGCTGATTAGCTTATAAAGCTGTCAACTGGTATGAATCTACTACATCAGCACTGGCTGGTCTAAACAGGTTTATGCTGGTCTGATCAGGTTTAGCTGCATACCAAAACACAACGTTATCCTAGTCTGGTTTGCCTCAGATGGCCTGTGCTGGATTAGGCTGGTCTGTGCTGGATTATGCTGGTCTGTGCTAGATTATGCTGGTCTGTGCTGGCTGAAAACCAAAACACAACATTATGCTGGTCCAAGCTGGTGTTATCGGGGTAGAACGAGGTTTTCCGGTTCATAGGAACTCTCTGATGATGTGTCTTGAAAGTGATAGGAACTTTTGAAACAGTTGACCTTCACATTACTGCTGTGAAATATCTTATTGCAGCTGTATGACTGTATTAGCTGGGTTCAGGCCATCATTAAAGCGGAGAGAACGGATTAGGCAGTTGGCAGACATTACTCATCTGGCTAAAAGCTAAAGTTAGCAAGGTTTTGGCTCCTTCTCTCTGACTGAGAGGACAAAATCTAGTCTTTGGTGTCAATTCTGAGCTGAATAAAGACAGAATCACTGTTTTCTTAATGATTTTGGTCAACAACCGAGGTTAGAGTTACACTAACCCTACCCTTTGTTTGTTGTATCTGTTAGCCTACAGGTGGCTAGGCTAGCAGTCAGGATTGAGTGACACCGCAGGGATTCCCAATGGCTGTGTGATGTATTTGCATAAAGCATCCTGGGTCCTAGTGACAGAACATTGATCCAAAACATGAAAACAACATAAAATCGTGAATTCTGTCCGACTGTTGAGACTCAGAAATATGGAATAGTGCATAATTTAGCGCCAGATTGCCTCCTTAAAACCAGCCGCTTCTTGGGCTCTGTCCAGCTCTGGTTAATTTTAGCCAGATTGGGCCTTGCTTAGATAATTAGAGAAGTCGATAATTAGTCTAATACACCGTTAGCCCACGCTGATGGAAAATTAGGCCCTTATTATTAGTCATCTTCACACTTCAGCACAAAACACATTCTCAGTTTTTAAGCGTATGTACAGCTCGGGAGGGGTCATTTGTGGTCAGGTGTCTGTTGAACACTTAGGCTTTGTCTCACCGCTGTTGACCACACCCTCGGTCACTCCCACTCATGAGAGGTCAGCTGCAGGACGGGGAGGAGGCAGCAAACACTTCCACGGAAACATGTTTACCCTTCCCTAGTCTGCATACATATTACATAAGGAACCAAAGGGCGAAGCGAGTGTTCAACACGCCCTCGTTCACTTCCCCTTAACACTCAGCAGTGCGTAACCCCTACGTCACGCCAGCGGCCACTTGCAGGATTGCAGGGGAGGAAGAAGAACTTCAACAGGAATCAGCTTGCCTTCTGACTTGTTTCCTTGGCGATTCGCGCTCTCAAGATTCCTTGAAACTTCATGGAAGTCAGACTAAACTAACATGATGATGATGTAACTAACAATAGCTACATCACAAGCTTAGCTAACTGAAGAAAACCACAAAGTCAGATCAGCTGTCATGAATAGTTGGAGTAGATGGCTAAATAAACATTATTTCAAGCAAATGTAGCAAAGCAAATGTTATATATGTTCAAATGTTGACCCCTTAAATGGCCCGGATCCACCGGCAGGCCCCGTAGTTACCAAATAACGAGCCTTAGTATGTAAAAAGCCTGAGATTTTAAGGAGTTAAGTAGATTTAAAATTATAAATACACTTTTCCAGGACTGTACTCATGTTTCCAGGACATTTTACCAGGTTTAAAGATGTCTTTACAGTGGTGGTGATAGGAACCAGGGGTCACCATGACTACAACACAAATATAGACATTTTATTTACTATCCAGAACCACCAGTGAACCTACACGAGTCTTCTGAGTTTATATGGAATGTTGATGATGGAAAATAGTGGAAAATCTGAAATAATAAGTTTTCTTTAGGGACTATTTTGCCTCACAGCGCCCTGCATGTATCCCTCCACCATGAATAGAGTTTAAGTTCTCTAAACTATCATAAAACAGTGTCTCAGTCATCAGGCAGTGAATTCATAACCATTTCATGTAGTAACTTTCTGTGAGGGAGCTTTTAGAGGTGGACGTCTGGTTCCTATCACCACCACTGTGAACAGTTCTGACTCGGTAAGTTTATCTAGAATGGAGCGTTTCACACCAAACCACTCTGAACCACTCTGTTCACATCTTAACCACTTAAATATGCAGAATATGTTGAATTTTTTTCAAAAAAATGTTTTGTAAAAACACTATATAAAGATATTAATCTTGTGGTGTTTGTATATCTAACAATAGCTGTCCGGTCTAGAAACATCTTTGACTCCTCCTGTGCTGTAGGGGGCAACACAGCTTACCAACACAGCCGTATCTGTTTGCTGATACCTCCAGAGAGCAGCTTCCTCCTGACAGAGGCTTACGAGGACAGACATTGTGGTTTCCAGCGACAGCCATTTCTTATTCAGCAGTTCGGCTGTAGAAAAGGAATCGAGGCTGATAATACAAATTTATTAATAATATATGTTATATATTGTAAAAATCTAGTTCCTGTTTATATGCAGAGGTGGACACAGTGTCCTAAAGCTATACTCCAGTATTGTAAAAGCTGTTAAACAATGTCTGCAGTAAACTTACCTTTAAAAACGCTGCAGTAGAAAGAAATACAAAATATTAGGTAAACAAACTACTAAAAGGGGAATTCCACCACTTTTTCAAATTTTCTGAATAATTCAGTCCTTGAGATGTAAACAGAGAGATTCAGAGTGGTTTGGTGTGAAATGGTTCAGACGTCTTTACAGTGGTGGTGATAGGAACCAGGGGTCGCCATGACTACAACACAAATATAGACATTTTATTTACTACCCAGAACCACCAGTGAACCTACACGAGTCTTCTGAGTTTATATGGAATGTTGATAATGGAAAATAGTGAAAAATATGAAATAATAAGTTTTCTTTGGGGACTATTTTGCCTCACAGCACCCTGCATGTATCCCTCCACCATGAATGGATATAAATAAATGGTTTAAAATATATTTTAAGCCAAAATCAGGCTGCCTATTTATAACCATTTCATGTAATTTTTTTGTGAGGGAGCTTTTAGAGGTGGACGTCTGGTTCCTATCACCACCATCTCAACCATTTAATCAGTGGGGTTCCCGTTTAAGTATTGATTAACCTACAGAACTGCAGTGGAATGTCTTGGCAAATTTCATTCAGTATCTATCAGTGTGAACCAAATAAACAGAACTGTTACCAACCTAATGGAGTGAAATTAAATACATTAAATAAAAAGTAGATGTCTTTCTTTATTAATGGTACTTAAGTAGAAGTAAAAGTATTATCATTTGAAAACACTCAGAAAAGTACTATCAAGTTACTTCTCTCCTCTGTATATATTGTGTAATACATATTATCCAAAAATAATGACAGTTATATGATATATATATATGATGTCTGTAATTTACCTGATCAGTATATTATTAACCGGCTTGTTTTGTTTTCACTCGAGTTCCACTGGTTTTACGGTTGCCATGGTGATATAAATGACTTCTTAACTGTCCAATCGACTGCGTACTTGTGAAGACAAACTACTGGCCAATCAGCGTTGGACACGGCTGCTTCCAGCCAATAGTAGCGCAGGAGGCGGGACCTGTCGGAATACAGGTGGAGGGAAAGCACCACCCGTATTCCGGTACTGCAGTCAGTCCCGGCTCGGCCATGGCGCGGCTAGGCGCGTTGATCCTGCTACCGCTGATTTTCGACTCCGTGTTTTCCATCTCGTTCTTTCTACCGGTCCGAACGAGGAAATGTCTGAAGGAGGAGATCCACAAAGACGTCCTGGTGACGGGAGAGTACGAAATAAGCGAGCAGCCAAACACCAAAACTAACCTGAAGGTGAGAGTGTGGATTATCGCTGATGCTAATGCTAACGCTAAGGCTAAAGCTAAGGCAACGTCAGCTGTAACGAAGCCAGCCGTCGGTTAGTTTACGACTATAAATGAAACTACGGCTTAAATACTGTATAAAACCAAACACAGCTGAGTCCATAGCTAATGTTTAGCCTCTTCAGTCAACGGAACGCGTATAAACTGTGAGCTAAGTGGCTTAAAATTGTGTGTAGGCCTGGTTCTGCGCTTCCTGACTGGGAATTTTCCGTTCCACCTTAAATGGTGCAGCAGTTCCGTTCAGTTACATTACAGACTGCGGCGCCAGAATGGAACTGCTGCACCATTTAAGGTGGAACGGAACATTCAAATGGGAAACCAACTTGGAGAGCCAGCTGGCGGCACAGAGTACTGAAATACAAGGACGTGGACGCAAAAAGAGGGCATAAAAACACACTAGGTGGCTGATTTTATCTGTATATTAATTTACTGTTGCTCTAAACTGTTTGTGAATCGTAGCAGGATGCTGTTTTGCTCTAAAGTGGCCTGGTCCGGGTGTTACACGTCACTGCAAAAGTGCCCTGTGTAGCTGGAACTGACTCAAGAAGCAAAATAAAAGTCCCCGATTAACACTCTAATAATGTAATCTGAAGAATAAATAGAGATGTGTTCCTAACGGTGATGTGTTGCTTGCTTTGTTATTAGCTGTAAATGTTCTTTAATGCTGCAAAACATGTATGATTTGCTATGTTTGTGAATTAACTGCTTAGTTTTGCTCTGTATAAATATAACATGTAGGGTTGGGCCATATGACAATATACATCGCCATCTATACGTCCAGAACACTGACCAGCTCAACCGTATGTTTCATCATAAATAGAGCAGAATAATCCGTTTAACTGTAATTACTGCCAAATTTTAAATAAAATTTATGTTCACATTTTTTTATAATTTTTTGATTGTAGCACCACTGTTTCTTTTTCCTCTGTTCCAGCTAATCAGTTGTCTGAACAAATAAGTGTCATGATATACTTTTACCATATGGCAACCCTCTGATAATTTGCATCATTTATGGCTGCACAAAGCTGTTAATATGTCCACCCAGCTATGCTTAAACTAAAGTTATTGCATTATATAGACAACATATGCAAGATTTGTTGTGATTACACTGAAGTGTACCTGTTCATCCAGCAGGATAGTATGTTTTAGTGGCATATGTAGTATTTTCGGTGCTAATTCTTAATTTGTAGTATATTTAAGATATTCTGAATGTGCCAAGGCTATACCTGTAATTAATTTGCTGTGAACTGTTATAGATCACGGACTCCTCCGGCCACATCCTGTACTCCAAGGAGGATGCCACTAAGGGCAAATTTGCCTTCACAACAGAGGACTACGACATGTTTGAAGTCTGCTTTGAGAGCAAATCCCAGATGGGTGAGTCACTGTAGTCCCGGATAAAACGTTACAGCCAGTGATCTGAATGCATGAAGGTGCTTTGTGCAAGATTTTTGGTATTGTTCAGGATTAAATGTGAAAATTACTGTAAAACATACAGTTAAATATTTGGTACATATATCATGATCTGGAGGCCACAGTATCTGCTCACTCTGCTGTGGGATTTGATTGAACAGTTTAATAATTCTGACTAATAGTGAATTAAACACTGAACAACACTTCAGGTCACTCACAGCATGTGTAAAATTTATTTTAACTATTTATACAGAAATCAAATAATTAAATAATTACTATATGGAACTACAGGGAAAACAAACAAAAAAACAGTGAATTAAATGAGACACAAATTTAAAAAAGAATTGTGTATAGGAGCCAGTATGTGAGTGTTTGGTGATTTAAGGGCGTTTTCACACCTGAAGGTCCAAACCGGGGTTCATGTTGTTTATTACGTTGTGTACGTTTGATCTGGTTAGTTTTGGTTTCATGTTGCAGTTTATTGAGCGCATTAAAGAACTCTCTGTCTCTGTCTCCCTGTACTGGACACTGATCGGTTTGTAGGGCAGCGTCTGATGTCGTGGTCAGTTCAGTGGGCAGCCTTTTCCGTTCGAATGGAGAAAAATGAATATCCTCTCTTTCTCATCCTCTCAGAGAATCAGGGAGACGCTTCAGCGTTTTAAAGTCTGTTCAAGCTGACTTTTGACTTTCTTTTTGGACGAAATCACTTTTAAATATCTGGTCTCCTCCCTGTGAGCTACCGCGGCTCATTTTTACTCCTCTTCCAGTTCTTTTTCTTCTTCTGTTGCTTAACGGGTGATGATATCCTGCCCCAACTTCCTGTAATCTCGCCGCATTGCGTCGAGCAGTGACCAAACATTGGAAGCCGTTGTTTTTTAATGGAGGTACACGCACCAGCGCCAGCACGGCGCATTGACGTGCGGCAGCAGTTCATGACACTGGGCACTGTTCGGTTCCTCAGTACCACACCGCATTTTGCCATTCGTTCATTTATTCCGTTTATTTATTACTGGGTGGAAGGTGGAAAACACCCTGGACAGGTCGCCAGTCCATCACAGGGCAGACACACACCTAGGGGCAGTTTAGCCTGTCTTTGGACTGTGAGGACATTGGAACACCTGGAGCAGCATTTTGCCATTACTACATTAAATTAAAGCCATATCTAGGCCACAGAAAGCCACAGTAGATCACAGGTGGCTTGACATTTACCCAGAGGAAGGCAGCCAGATAAACAGACGTGTCCTGATGGTAACGGTTACCTTAACTAACGTCACTAGCCGAGCCTTTTTCAGCTCGTATCTTTCAGTGAAAACAGCCAGGCTGTGTAGTTATTGAGCTGAGGCCAAATGTGATGAGGAGCTGAACGCTTTATTTCATTCAGTTTATATGAGCAGAGTTAAGCTGAGCTAAAAACCTGGTGTTATCGGCTCTCCCTGCCGCCGTTCTGTAGCAGCGCTCCACTACATGCTGCGTGACACGTGTGGTGTGCGACGGCCTTCAAACTACCAAAGCTTCTAAACTACCACACTGGACAGAGCTTGCTGGTCTGTGTGGGTTATTCTCGTGAGGTCAGTCTTATGGTGTCAGTTCAGTCACAGCAGTGTTGGCTGAAATATAGCAATATTCCTGTTTCAGCTCCTTAACGCACTCGTAATTCAGAGGATCCAGTGACATTCGGAGGCAGGAGGTATCTGGGGTAGCTCACCCCAGGGCTCGACCGCAGCACTTTCCAAAAATGCTGTTTATTTTTCCAATAGAAACAAAAAAACAGCTTAAATCCTGAATTCCTATGCTGTGTTTAATAGTTATAACAGTGAGTGATTTCATTGTTCTCTGTAGGAACCGGGAGGGTTCCTGATCAGCTGATCAACCTGGACATGAAGCACGGCGTGGAGGCCAAGAACTACGAGGAGGTTCATACATTCATTTAGTTATTTATTTATTTATTCATTCATTCATTCATTTACTTACTTATTTATTTATTAATTAATTATGTTAAAAGAGAATTCAGACTCTTCACCCTGTTGAAATGGGTGGCTCGGCCTGTTTAACAGTGCAGATATGTTGTTATAAAAAATACACTTACAATTTTTATTATTAATAAAATAACTGTATGAAGAATTGCAATATAAAAATGTAATGCAAAAATAAATAGGTACCACTTTAGAATAAGACTACTCTTATAAAACGATTCTAAATGATTTAAATTTTGTTTGTTAATGGCTTAGTAAGGTCACAAACACTTTATAAATCATTATTAAGCAGTTATAACACATTAATATAACAGGCAAAAGTGAACTGTTACATCTGATGAATATGTGATGAAGCTGACTGATGGAGACAAAGCAAGATCAGTAAACATAAATCTGAGGTTTAGAAGTTTAAATGCACTGTTAGGCAAACGGCTGACCACTGTCACCCTTTTTATTTATGTGTTGTAACTGATCATTCATGATTTTGAGGTCTTTATGACCTAATTAATAACCATTTATGAAAGCTGAGTATAAGAGTAGTGTTATTTTGAAGTGGTATCATTTAAGTAGTTATGAAAAATAAGCATTCTTAGAAATAAAGGGCATTTTTGCTGTGAATGTAGCGCCTAATAAAACAGGCAGAGTTTTTGTGAGTTTTGATTTAGTTGTGCGTTTTCTGGGTGAATTTCTTGGTCAGGTCAGAGACGCTGATGCAGGTCCGTGTGTATCTGACCGCTCTGTGTGTATTTTCCTCTCTCAGATTGCGAAGGTGGAGAAGCTGAAGCCTCTGGAGGTGGAGCTGCGGCGCCTGGAGGATCTTTCAGAGTCCATCGTCAACGACTTCGCCTACATGAAGAAGAGAGAGGAGGAGATGAGGGACACCAACGGTAAGCAGGGAAATGAGAACACAGCATTGTACAAACTATATATATATATATATATATATATATATATATATATATATATATGTATGTATGTATATGTGTGTGTGTGTGTATATATAATAAATAATATAAAACTAAATTCATACAGTTTAAAATTTGTCACTTTAATTTTGGGATTCTGTTTTTTACCTTATACCCCTACACTTGGATGGTTCTTCAAGGGTTCTTTCGTAAAGAAAATGGTTCTGTATAGCACCAGAAACGATTCTGCTGTCGTTACAATGTCAAGCCGTTTAAGCAGGGTTTGATGAGTGTTTTGTGGCTCTATATAGAACCATCGAGGAACCATCATTTTTAAGCATGTAGAGAACCCACGTTCTCTGATGGCTCTTTTCTCTCCGCAGAATCCACCAACACGCGCGTGCTCTACTTCAGCATCTTCTCCATGTGCTGCCTGATCGGTCTGGCCACGTGGCAGGTGTTCTACCTGCGCCGGTTCTTCAAGGCCAAGAAGCTCATCGAGTAGAACCCGCTCCACCAATCAGAGACCCAGAATCCCTCTCTGACACCTCACTCTCCCGCCCCTTGTTTTGCTGCCCGGCGTCCGCAGGTTCGTGAAGGTTCTTTGGGAGGAGGGAAACCAGGAGAGGACGTCCATCAGGTCATTGTCTGGGCAGTCGGCGGCCATTTCCACTTACTCAGCGTCTGTGTTTTTGGACGAACCACACGTTTATCGCTTCACACCGTTTTTTTTTTTTTGGTTTGTTTTTTGTTTTTTTTGTTTATTACTACATGCAACCTAAACGGATCCTTAATATGTTTAGAAACGTACATTTGAACTTCCAGACCCGACGAGCCGCTTTGTGATGAGTGATTAGAGGTGCATCCATACCACAGTGTCTCAGTGATCTCAATAACTCTGAATAAAACTATATTAGTTTCCATTGTTATAGCGATTCTGCCCAGTATAAACACTTAATAACACTTCATTTGAAGGACGCCTACATAGAGACTCGCAGAGATGTTGAGTAACATACCTAAAAAGCAATATTGTTATAATAATTGTTACAATATAATAATGTGGGTACATATGAGTCAAAAACAGTAAAAAAGAGAATAATATACTATATTTAATCTCATATGGTTTGCACTCGTTATTAAAGGGGAATTCCACCAATTTTTCAGATTTCCTGTATAATTCAGAGTGTGAGATGTAAACAGAGAGATTCAGAGTGGTTTGGTGTGAAATGATTCAGATGTCTTCACAGTGGTGGTGACAGGAACCAGGGGTCGCCATGACTACAATACAAATATAGACATTTTATTTACTATCCAGAACCACCAGTGAACCTACACGAGTCCTCTGAGTTTATATGGAATGTTGATGATGGAAAATAGTGGAAGATCTGAAATAATAAGTTTTCTTTGGGGACTATTTTGTATCCCTCCACCATGAATGGATTTAAAGTTCTCAGAACTGTCATGAAACAGTGTCTCAGTCATCAGGCAGTGAATTCATAACCATTTCCGTGAGGGAGCTTTCAGAGGTGGATGTCTGGTTCCTGTCACCACCACTGTGAACAGTTCTGACTCGGTAAGTTTCACACCAAACCACTCTGAACGGCTCTGTTTACGTCTCAGTCAGTTAATTAAGCAGTTCTGGGTTTCTATTGGAGTCAAAATACAAAAGTGCAGTTTCTATTAAGTCTAAAATACTCATATTGAAATATCATCCAGTGCTTTCGAGTGTTGTGAAGTCTCTAGGCAGGTGGTCTTCAAATAAAATGTTTATAAATGGACCAGAGTGGTGCGTCCATCTGCAGGACTGGTAATTGAAGGTAAGTAATTGGGAAATTGGTGTTGGTGCATCTCTGCTGTTAATCACTGAAGCGCCTGTATGTATTTCCTCTTATTCTAAATGCTGTTAACTGTAAGTAATGATGGGATGACTGATTACCCTGAGCTGCAAAGCTGTTGTTGTCCAGAAAGTCCCGCTCTCAGCGCCATACATGAAGTTCATTTGCGCTCTGCTGAAGCTCAACATGGAAGAAAGCTCATTTTTACTTTTTAATTTTATAATTATTTTTGTTTTTTTGCTGTCAAAAAAGCACATTTCATGGTGCTGATTAGATCCAGCTTAGCTTAACTACGCCGCCTCTTCCTTTAGCTTTTTTTCTTTAGCTGTTTTGGTGGGACTTTTACACTTAGCGCACGTTGTTGTCGTAGCTTCCTGACACCGAGTGCGTTAACATGCACTCAATAATCTGATCATAATAATCAGATTTCTGCAGTTATCCATCATTCAAATGGTCATGTAAACACCACACTGCAACAATAAAGAGGCTGGATTTGAGCTCAGTAGTCAGACTTCTCAGCGCATGTGAACTCTTACTCTGATTTCTTTCGGATTTCTCAGTCTGATCAGTTTTTCCGTAAAGGAGTGTCTTCAGCGCTGGTTCTTTAACTGGCGGTGGATCCTACTAACAATGAGGCAACAAAGCGGAAATATTCAACTTTGGATGTGTTTAATTTTTTATTTTAATGTAATTATGAGATGGTGGATGTATTAACATGAAGATTCGGCTGGTTTGCGGGGACTAGGCTCATTAGGTGGTGATGGTTTTTGTTTTGTTTTGTTTTTTGCTGCCGGGCCGTCATTTGGTCACTAATTTTTGATCTGTTTTGTGGACGTTACCATGTTGGTTTCAATTTTGCGGCAATTCATTTTAACAGTCGAATTGTCAATAAATTGTTAGTAAAAAAGGTTTTGAGTGATTTTTTTTTTTTAATTATATTTTTCAATAGTCCTATCAAACATCTGTATTTACCAGAAACAAATGTCAGTGTGCAATAGACACATTTACAAACAGTTATCTAACATATGATGTGTGATTTGCCGTGTGCTGGATTTTGTAGGGCAGCATTTTTTCCTTCACCCTCATCAGTTTGAAAGAATCCATCATGTATCACTTGTTTCTGTGCATCAGTGCTCTCTCACTACAGTACCCAGCATGCAATGCCAAAACAAACAAACAAACAAAAAAAAACATCCAACAGCTAGGACACACACACACACACACACAGAGGCAGGCATGTTATAACAGACGTGGACCATGTACACTCAAAAATGTTTTTTAAAGACAGATGGAGAATGTGTTGTTATATGGTTCTGTTGAGAACCTTTTTGAAAAGGGATCTTGTTACAATAGCAGAACTGTATTAGGCACTATATAGAACCATATACAACACATTCTCCATCAACCTGACGAGCCTTTTCACCATGGAAAGAACCATTTAATCATGCAGTGGATCTTTTGAGTTTTCATGATTCTTTATAGAACCATTTTCTTTACTAAAGAACCTTTTTTTAAGTGTAGCCAGCTACAAATAGCCAATTTGGTTGATTGTGATCATTTCATGGCCAACCGTGTTGTTACATCATCAAGTCCTGATCTAGCAAAAGCTGGAGAGCCGACTGTAGAAGTTGGTTGTGCAGTTTGTTGCTGTTTCTCTCCATCTGAAGGTCACAGAAGCGCCGCTGCCAGTAAAGCAGGTTATTGTGAAACAAAAATCATTAGATGTGTCGAAGTCAGCTGGCTGGTACATTGTTAAGAAGCTAGAACACAGCTGAGTGGAGCAATATCAAACAACCTGCTGCCCACAGAAGACCACCCCAGCAAACGTGCCCCCAAATATGACTGTGGGCAGTGCAGACCTGGGCAAACCTAAATGGGCCTTGCATGGGTCAGCCCACCCTGGACTCTACCAGGGTTATTATAGTTCACTAAAACTAAACTAACAGTGACAAATGTGATTGTTAACTGTAATAAATCAAAACAAGAATAAATTGAATTACTTAAAAAAGGGTTTTGTTTTAGTCTTTTCAGTTCATGAATGAGAGTTTAGAAGTGGAACTCTTAAGAACTGTTCAGCTGTTTCTAATGAAAGCTGGAGCCGAGCTGAGCTCCGTCTGCTGTCGAGTTATTTTTATTCTACCCTTATCAAATACCTGCTATTACAGTGTTTATCAGTGAGCAAAATCTGCTGGGCCCTGCAGGCCGTTAATCCAGCATTAAGTCGTCCCCTACAGGGCCAGTTCAGGCTTGTATGAAGGGACTGCAGTGGATAAATGAAATAAAACTAAAACTTGTCATTAGGAACCAACAGATCAGGAATAACCTTCAGAATGTGAGTCAGGAACATTCATGAAGATAATATATCAGCATGGCCTCATAAACAAATGCAGCCAGTATCAAGAACAGCAAGTCCTGGTTACCCTTTTCTGAAAGGTACACAGCACCTGCAGGATTCAGGGACAGTTCTGTGGACAAATGAGTTGAAGATTAACCTGAAACAGAGATGGAAAGAGGAAAGTGTGGAGATAAACACTGTGATCTCAGTCCTAATGTACATTCAGATCATATTTACAGAGCTTTAATATGACCAAGAAGACCTTTTTTGAGCCTAAACACTGAAAAGTGGGGATTTTCCGTTCCACCTTAACCTAAATGATGTAACCGTTGCATTCTGGCGCCTCATAACTGCTACGTGGTTTAAGGTGGAACGGAAAATTCGAATAGTAGCCGGGTGAAATTAGCTCTTCTAGTGCAGATTTTAGGTAAAACCACCCGATCTGTGACTAAATTTGACTGCTAATGTTCTGCATCATCGAATATAAACGCGCCCAGATGCGGTTTGAGAAGATTTCAGGAGGAAATCCGCAGATTAGCAGCGATGCTAACACACGCAACACGCTATCGGACTACATTACCCATGATGAACCGCGCTGTCCGATTCGAGGAAACTGTCGATGACAACATCCGGAAAGTGAACTGGCGTGCTGCTGACAGGCTGCGCTCCGATCACGGATTGATATCGCTACCGATAATCATCGATAAGGCGATCAGGGAGGGACGATGCCCGGCGCGGATAAGGAGACGGACCTGTGCGAGCGGATCGAGGCGTTCCTGGCGGAGCTGAAACGCGGAGGCCGGGGCTCCGGAGAGACCGCCCGCAGCACAGCGGCGCTGCTGCGCCGGATCACCGCACAGGCGCGCTGGAGCAGCGCAGGTCCGTAACCAGCAGCACGGCACACCGCAATAACACCCAAACTACACCAGAGCCGCACTAAACTACAGCAAAGACACCAAAATACAGCAGAGCCGCACTAAACTACAGCAGAGCCGCACTAAACTACAGCAGAGCCGCACTAAACTACAGCAGAGCCGCACTAAACTACAGCAATAACACCCAAACTACAGCAGAGCCGCACTAAACTACAGCAAAGACACCCAAACTACAGCAGAGCCGCACTAAACTACAGCAAAGACACCCAAACTACAGCAGAGCCGCACTAAACTACAGCAATAACACCAAAACTACAGCAGACACACACTGTTACTGCACTAAACAGGATTTACTAGGCAGACAGATAACTTAAAGGGGAATTCCACCCAGTTATCAAATTTTCTGCATAATTGAATGTGTGTGAACAGAGTGATTCAGAGTGATGGTGATAGGAACCAGGGGTCACCATGACAACAACACAAACATAGACATTTTATTTACTATCCAGAACCACCAGTGAACCTACACGAGTCTTCTGAGTCTATATGGAATGTTGATGATGGAAAATAGTGGAAAATCTGAAATAATAAGTTTTCTTTGGGGACTATTTTGCCTCACAGCACCCTGCATGTATCCCTCCACCATGGATGGAGTTTAAGTTCCCCAGACTATCATAAAACAGTGTCTCAGTCATCACTGTGAACAGTTCTGACTCGGTAAGTTTCACACCAAACCACTCTGAACGACCCTGTTTACATCTTAGCCATTTAATTGTGTAGAAATTATTCGTGGTGTTCCCCTTTCAACCTTAGAAGTCAAGCCTTGGCCAGCAGGAGAATAGGTCAGCAACATTCCAACTGGACAGTCCTGACTATTATCCTAAATTATTATGTTTATTATGAAAAATCCTGTTTGTAATTCCACAAAGCAGGATTTCTCCGTTTGGTACACCTGAAGACCAGCACTGCTTCTGACCCCTCTTTCTGTTGGATGAGGCAGGAGTTCTCAGTCAGATCAAATCAAGCTTAAAGTCAAGTCTGTCCAGTCAGAGAAGAGAAAAGGTCAGAGACAGTCCAGTTTACTTCACTTTTAGCCTCAATGATGCAATTCCTCGGTAGTATTTCACAATATCACCACATATTTCACATTTCTCTGCTGTTAAGCCTAAAAGTGAGGGCTGTTCTTGTTCTCTTATTGGACAAACACAGGATTTCTCAGTTAGCCAGATAAATCAAGCCCAAAGTCAAATCTGCTTAATAGCTGGAAAGAAAAGGTCATAGATGTTCCAGTTGACCTCACTTTTGGCCTGAACGATGCATTTCACAAAGCAGGATTTCAAAGTTAACCAGATAACTTAAGCCCAAAGTCAAGAATGTCCAATAGGAAACAAGTCAGGGACTTTCCAACTGGACAGTCCTCACTAATGGCCCAAATTATCACATTTATTGAGAAATCCTGGGGGTCATTTCACACAGCACATTGTTAAATGAAGGTGAGGAGTGTTTCTGACCAATCTTTCTATTGGACAAGGCAGAATTTCTTTATTTAGCCATATAAATCAAGCCCAAAGTCATGTATGTCCATTAGGAGAAAAGGTCAGGAACATTTCAGTTGACCTCACATTTGGCCTAAATGTTGTAATTTATTGACAATTCTGTTTGTTATTTCACAAAGCAGAATTTCTTGGTTTGGTAAACATAAAGACCAGCACTGTTTCTGACCCCTCTTTCTATTGGATGAGGCAGGAGTTCTCAGTTAGCCGGATAAATCAAGCTTGAAATCAAGTCTGTCCAGTCAGAGCAGAGAAAAGGTCAGGGACAGTCCAGTTGACCTCACTTTTGGCCTCAATGATGCAATTCCTTGGTAGTATTTCAGAATATCACCGCATATTTCACATTCAAGTCTGTCCAATAGGAACAAAAGGACCTTCCAACTAACTAATGACCCAAATTATTACATTTATTGAGAAATCCTGGGGGTCATTTCACACAGCACATTGTTAAGCCTTAAGACAAGCACTGTTTCTGTCTCCTCTTTCTATTGGACGAGGCAGAACTTCTTTATTTAGCCAGATAAATTAGAAAAGACAAGGTCAGGAACATTTCAGTTGACCTCATATTTGGCCTCAATGATGCAATTCCTTGGTGGTTTTTCACAATATCACCACATATTTCACATTTCTCTGCTGTTAAACCTAAAAGTGAGGGCTGTTCTTGTTCTCTCCTCCTATTGGACGAACACAGGATTTCTCAGTTAGCCAGATAAATCAAGCCCAAAGTCATGTGTGTCCAATAGGAGGAAAGGAAAGGTCAGAGATGTTCCAGTTGACCTCACTCCTGGCCTAAATGATGCAATTTACTGAGAATTCTGTGGGATGTTAAACAAAGCAGGGTTTCTCAGTCAGCCAGATCTTTATATAACCCAAAGTTAACCCCTGTCCAGTAGGAGGGAAGGTCAGGGACATTCCAGTTGACCTCACTTGTGGCCTAAATGTTTCAATCTGTTGAGAAAGGCTTGGTGCTGTTTCACAAAGCAGGATTTCTCCGTTGTTAAGCCTGACAGTCTGACCCCTCCCTCTGATGGATGGGGCAGGACTTCTCAGTCAGGAGGAAAGGGAAGGTCAGGAACGTTCCAGCTGACCTCACCTTTGGCCTAAATGATGCAGTTTATTGAGAAACGCCGCTGTGTGGTGTTCTGTGTTTGTGCAGGTGACCTGATGGAGATAATCCGTAAAGAAGGCAGGAGGATGACCGCCGCTCAGCCCTCAGAGACCACCGTGGGCAACATGGTCCGCCGAGTACTCAAGATCATCCGAGAGGAATACGCGAGGTACCGCAGGCTCTGATTGGTCTGATAGCGAATCAGATTCAGTTGCGTGCAAACAAGCAGCTGCACACGAGCCCCTCATTTACATACCATTTGCAAATGATGGGCCCCAGTTTATCATCACATACATGAAGCTACACAGAACACGCCCTGAACTGTATGGGCGTGGCTTAGGGGAGTAAATAAAAGGAGGATACAGGTAGAAAATGAAGGGATGGGGAAAAAAAGTTTTAGTAAAGTTCATACGGAGGTGCTGCATATAAAGAAGGCGATGGTGTTACTTTACAACAGCAAGACAAAAATAAAAAAATTAGAAGTGTATGAAAAACATTTATAATTTCTCTGATGACTGAAAAAATAAAAAGAGCACAAATTGAATTACAAAGAAGAATAAACTAAAATTTAAGTGTTTTTCAAGATTTCAGGAACATAATTTAAAAAAAATGGATAAAATGATGAAAAGTAATCTCAATACGTTCACACAAACACAAAACCTCACACCCAAAGGGAGAGAGGAAAAAAGAAGAGAGGAGAGAGAGAGAAAGAGGGAGAAAAAGAAAAAAAGAGAGGAAAAAGAAAGAAGGAGAGAGAAAGAAAGAGAAACAGAAAGGAAAGGAGAAAGAAATAGAGAGACAGAAAAGGGAGGAAAAAGAGAAAGGGAAAAAGAAAGAAAGAGAGAAAAAAAATACAGAAAGAAAGAAAAAGAGAGAAAGAAAGAGAGAGAGAGAAGAAGAAGAGAAAGGCAGAAAGAAAAAGGGAGAGTGTGTGAGTCGGTGTGGTGAGGTGAGAAAACCTGCAGGTGACAGTCTTGGTCAAACCAGTCATATCTTTATGCAAATTGTATGCAAATTTGACAAACTACGTACAAAACAGCTGATTCATCATCACTAATAAAAACTACTGAATGCAAACCTGGATTAGTTCAGAACTGAATCTGAACACAGTGTCACAGGAGAGATTCAGTCACAGACAGCGTCCCTCTCAATGACGCCAGAACGAGTCACTCAGTCAGACTGAAAGCCTGGAAGGTTCTAGATAGTCACCTTTCACCCATTTCTACAGTGATACACCACAGGAAGTGTAGGGGGCGATATGGCTTCTACTGTTTCATTTAAAAAGCTCTACAATGTTCATATGATCCACAGTCACTCTGACAGACTGTAATACACTACAGGAAGCGTAGGGGGCGATATGGCTTCTACTGTTTCATTTAAAAAGCCTCTATAATGTTCATATGATCCACACAGTCACTCTGACAGACTGTAATACACTACAGGAAGTGTAGGGGGCGATATGGCTTCTACTGTTTCATTTAAAAAGCTCTATAAAGCTCATTTACCCCCCGCGGTGCTGCTGTTCTCCTTCAGGTCCCGGGGCAGCAGTGAGGAGGCGGATCAGCAGGAGTCTCTGCACAAACTGCTGACGTCCGGCGGCTCCAGTGAGGAGAACTTCAGGCAGCACTTCGCTCCCCTCAAAGCCAACGTCATCGAGGCCATCAACGAGCTGCTGACTGAGCTGGGTAAGACCACCTTAACGCAGACAGACCACCAGAACTGCAGACGCTAATACTCAGGGGTGGGTAAAGAAATAGGATAGTCTTCACGCACAGTATAGTTACAAAGTTTGGAATCACATCGCTGATGGAAAAAAACTCATATCTCCAAAATAGAAACTTCTAAGAAATATTTTTTAAATTTTAATAAAAGTCTCTAATAAAATTCTTTTATTCCAAGTGATTTCGGAGCATTCCTATTGGTCCATTGATCATGAGAAAAGGACAACTGACATGGTCACATTATGTGAAAACAAAGAAAAAAAATTTATACGCTCCTCAGCAAAAAAAGTGGGCGGAGCCCCCAGTATGAGCTGTGATTCTAAGCCGTATCTGATTTGAGTTCTGTAAACAGAGATTTAAATGAAAGGATTAATTCGTCTTTTGGTCACTAGAGGGCACCACAGACAACATTGCCATGCAGGCTCTGGAACACATCCACTCTAATGAGGTCATCATGACCATCGGCCGCTCGCGCACAGTGGAGGCCTTCCTGAAGGACGCAGCGCGCAAACGCAAATTCCACGTCATCGTTGCAGAGTGCGCCCCCTTCTGTCAGGTAACAAAACACTGTACAGGTGTGATCAACAGTAGAAACTGATATTAACTGCTAATCAGTTTTCTTATTTTTATGTAATTCAGCTTCTACTGTGCAAAAATCATAGAGCACCCTTTGTTTACTTGATATCCAGTCAGTTTGACTACAGGTTATTCACTTTTTCAGAAGAGATTAGATATAAGATGATCCAGTTTCCAAAACCGGAGATGATTAACAGCTCCACAGAAAATGTGTCTCCTAACAACCACCTGGGAGACCTGGTAGCCACCAAAACTGCCCCATCAGATAAACAGCACTTAAAGCTTTCATCTCTGAGAGAGATGACGACTGTGAGAAGACGACTCAGCGCTGTGGGTCTGAAAGGATGTGTAGCTGATCAAGAAGAACCTCACTGAGAAAAGGAGACGGACACATCAAACAAAGAAGCTGAACGATGGACTGACCACCCCAGAGTCCAGACCCCAACACCACTGAATGTGTTTGATTACTGATGCTGAAAAATGAATAACTTGTACTTAAAGGTGGTTTTGACTGTAAAAGATTGAATGATGGTGTCTGATTTTTCCTCAGTGCTGTTTTTAGGCTGAAATCATCGATTATGAGAACCTTTAGCTCCTTAATCTAAGTATTGGTGGTAATTTCCATATCGGTCGAGCCCTGTGCCGCAGGTGACCGGTGTCTGAGTCAGAATGACTGGCTCTTTTCCTCCGTTTCTCCTCCGCAGGGTCACGAGATGGCCACCAGTCTCTCTAAAGATGGGATCGAGACCACGGTGATTCCTGACGCCGCCATATTCGCCGTGATGTCCAGAGTCAATAAGGTGGGAAACACTGAGCTCTTCTCAGAGAGAACGAGTCACTCGGCACACTGCTGGTCAAACGTTTGGAGGCACTTCTCATCCTAATGTGTTTTTACGTACAGTAATAACTTAAACTGTAGATTTAAATATTATAGACACTACAAGATCATTTTAGATGTTTGTAGTATTTTGTGAACACCAAATTATTCAATAAGCTATATACTGTGTACACACACCAATCAGGCGTAACATCATGACCACCTCCTTGTTTCTACACTCATTGTCCATTTTATCAGCTCCACTTACTATATAGGTGCACTTTGTAACAAAGCAATTGAACTTGTTTTCAACTCAAAAATTACACTGACTCAAAGAATCGTTTATTCAGTCTTTATTTAGGTTGCGTAAACTAGTTAATTTGCTTGTGACCATGAAGTCATTTTTTAGGTTGATCTGACGAGACACTTCGTTTAAACACAGCAGTAGAAAAACTCCAAAATGAGAACAAATCTATATTAACATCGAATGTAAAGAATGTTTTCTTTTCTCCTTTAAACTTAAACTTTTTTTTTTTTGGACAGAAAAGATAAAAGAAGTGACTGTGAACTTCAGAGCGGCGGTGCTGGTGTTCTCTGTACATCAGTGATACTTATCTGCTCATCTCACTGAGTTTATTTTCCTTTTCAGGTGATTATTGGTACTCAGACGGTTCTAGCTAACGGAGGACTGAGAGCAGTGAACGGAACCCACACACTCGCGCTCGCCGCCAAACACCACTCCACTCCGCTCATCGTCTGCGCTCCGATGTTCAAGCTCTCACCTCAGGTACCCAAACAGCCACTATCAGACACTTAAAAGCGACAGTTGGACCAGAAAAACTCATTTTCAGCCCCAAATTTAGTTGATCAGCCAAGATATTAGCATCAGCGCTGGAGCTACGAGGCTAACAGAGCTAATTGGTGGACTATAAGCTTCCGAAGTAGTGGAAGCTTATAGTCCACCAATTAGCATGGTGCTAACTGCAGGCCTAAAACATCACACACTCACTTCAAACCTTGTGGAGCTGTTCAGTATCTCTGATAGTCTTCATTATGTGGTTTCTGACTCTGTTTGACTCTACAAGTTTGATATCTACAAACTTAAATATTTACATATAAACAATTTTTTGCTAATTACATTTTGATAAAAGAATGTAAATTAGATTTTTGGCCAAACTGTCGCTTTAAAAGGGGGGAAAGTTCTACATTATTAACTGGTTATGATGTAAACATACAGACGAGTCAGAACTGTTCACAGTGGTGGTGATAGGAACCAGACGTCCACCTCTAAAAGCTCCCTCACAGAAAGTTACTACATGAAATGGTTATGAATTCACTGCCTGATGACTGAGACACTGTTTTATGAGAGTTTAGAGAACTTAAACTCCATTCATGGTGGAGGGATACATGCAGGGCGCTGTGAGGCAAAATAGTCCCCAAAAAAAACTTATTATTTCAGATTTTCCACTATTTCCCATCATCAACATTCCATATAAACTCAGAAGACTCGTGTAGGTTCACTGGTGGTTCTGGATAGTAAATAAAATGTCTATATTTGTGTTGTAGTCATGGTGACCCCTGGTTCCCATCACCACCACTGTAAAGACATCTGAACCACTTCACACCAAACCACTCTGAATCTCTCTGTTTACACCTCACACACTGAATTATGGGGGAATTTTTAAAAAGTGGTGGAGCTCCCCTTTGATCCACAATAGCAACACAAAAGCTGACTGTAAAGCCAGTTTATTCATCTGTCTGTACATTAACATTCAGCATCATGACACTCCAGCCTCACTGACTGACTGAGTGAGTGACTGAGTGAGTGACTGAGTGACTGACTGAGTGACTGACTGAGTGACTGACTGAGTGATTGACTGAGTGACTGACTGAGTGACTGACTGAGTGACTGACTTAGTGACTGACAGTGAGTGACTGAGTGAGTCCTGCAGAACCTCAGACTGTACTCTGTTCTCTCTAGTTTCCTAATGAAGAGGACACGTTCCACAAGTTTGTTTCACCACATGAAGTGCTGCCCTTCACTGAAGGTAACACCGCGACCAGCCTTTGATCCAGTTCTGTTCACTGTTTACTGGGATAACAATATTTTAATACTGGTACCATCTTAAAAAAGATGGTTCTTCAAGGGTTCTTCAGTAAAGACAGTGGTTCAGTATAGAACATTGAACACTCAAAGGACTATTATGCATGATTAAATGGTTCTCTGTATGGTCATATGGTTCTTCAGGTTGATGGAGAATGTGTTGTGTTTGGTTCTATATAGAACGTTTTTGAAAATGGTACTATGTAGCACCAAAAAGGGTTCTGCTATTGTTACAATGTCAAGTTTGTAAGAATAGCAGAACCCTATTCAGTGCTATATAGAACCCTATATAGCACATTCTCCATCAATCTGAAGAACCTTTCACCATGCAGAGAACCATTTAAGCATGCAAAGGGTGTTCATGGTTCTATAGTGAACCACTGTCTTTACTAAAGAACCCTTGAAGAACCATATTTTTAAAAGAGTAATAATTATGAAAAAAGGGAACATTTAGCAGTTTTAGAAGTTTTAATGGAAAAAAAGTTTTATTTCAAGTAATTTATGTAAATTATGTAAAAAAAAAAAAACATTTTAGACATCAGCAATAAGAAATAACTCGTACAGTGTAGATATAAATATTAAACTCTTAATTTAAATATTTACTACAGTTTAAGTTTAATATTACATTTTATTGAAGGTTTTGATTTATTACAGCTAATCTGTTCTCAGTGGTCGAGTTTATTGATTTATTGAATGATAAAATAATGTAACAGAGTTTTTAGTTATTTATGCATTGTACACTCCAAACTACTCAGGCCTAATTTGAATACATAATCAATTCGACGAATAATAAGTTTTGGTGTCCTAGTTTTTGGATAACCACGCCCATCCCACCAACACTGGAGTAACTAATGAACGATATATATTACTATATTAGTAATTAATAACATATAGTAATGTAATAGTCATCTAACTGTGTTGCGTATGTATTTATATAATATGGAACATAAGTAATATTTACAGTGGAGCAGCTTATGAATTTGTCAGACTTGATGCAGCTGTACTAATATCAGTAATGTAGTACTTAACCGTATTAAGTGTATATATAGTTGTATAATATGTAACATGTTATTATAATTAATAAGTTTTCTAATGTAAACTGTACCAGAAAAAGTGTAAATATATGCCAGATTGTCAGGATTGTGAACAGTTTGACCTCTGTGTGTCCTCAGGTGAAGTCCTGTCGAAGGTGAACGCTCACTGTCCGGTGTTCGATTACGTTCCTCCAGAGTTAATCACGCTGTTCATTTCCAATATCGGCGGAAACGCTCCGTCCTACATCTACCGGCTGATGAGTGAGCTGTACCACCCGGAGGACCACGAGCTGTAATAAAGACGTAAATAAAGCCCTGACCAAACACGCTGTGTGCTTTATTTCCCCAACACGGAGATACGGAAACCTGGAGCTGCAGGTTTTTATGGTTTTACCACACGACCTGCTTTTCAGCTCTCACCCCTGCAAACACAGATGGGTCGTTCTACAGAAACGTCCACTTTTCTGTCTGTCCATAGGAGTCACTGGTGTTACTGATCCTCATTGGTGTTCCACATAATAAAGGAACACCAGAGACATTTTTAATGAACAATGCATTTTACAGAATGGCTGCTACAGAGCATCAAACCACATGTGGTCAATCAGGGAATATCCACTAAAATATGGAATTTAATCCATTTGTATTGTTTTTTCACAATGACCTCAGAATAAAGTCGGTCACACCAGTGACTTCAGCTAAAAGCTTCATATGAAATCATGAGCTGAATGAGAAAATCTCTGATAACTGAAAGACACAGTGGATTCACCATGTGCTTTTCTTCATAGATCCTCAGAAAACAGGTAAAAGGAAGTCGAGTGATGTCATCAGTGTGACTTTTATTTCAAAATAAGAGATTTTCTGTTATGCAGTAACACCAGTGACATGACTCCTGGGGACAACGACTTTCATTATATATTTTATAATATTTATTTGGCATTTGTTTTCTTTATGTGATTTAATTTATATATTCCACAGCCGTGTATAGATTATTGTAGTTAAAGTTGCAGAAAAATGTGTTTCTTTCTTCAAAATATGGCCTCAGCCTTCACACATGACTGAGGACGAGCTCTTCAGTGGTGCCTGGAATTCTAGATAATTGATTTAAAAACCAATATTGCTGAATTGAGGCTCAATGTGGTGTAACTGATAAAGTAACTTGTTTAATTTTAAAATATAAATAAATTTTAACCCTAACATGTTTTTCAAGTGTAATATATCTGGAAACACTAGGGACACAAAAATGGGTGTTCCTGTAGAATGACCCAGTTACGATCTGACGACGTTGAAATGCAGTTCCTCAGTAGGTTGTGACGACGTTATCTGGCAACACTGTGACAACGTAGAGGCAACGTTGTCACTACGTTCTTACAACCTCCTAGAATCCTCATAAGTTCAATTACGTTATGTATGGAACCCCATCCACAGATTTTAAATGCAGAGACTTTTATTTTTGAAAGTAAACTAAGACAAATATCACAAACAACTGAGAGAAAAAAAGGCCTGATACAAAATGAGTTTATAGAAAGTGTAACTGACTCTGAGCTGGGTTTAAAATATTTACTGAACTAATTTACAAAGTAGAACTAAAGAAATGAAGGAAGGAGAAATCAGCGAACTGGACTGTGAGTGAAAATGAGTGATAAGTGGAATTTAGTCTAGTACTCTGTTTAAACACCGGTGGGCCGCCCAGAAAACAGAGCCAAACGCCAGGGGACCGCCAGCTCTGCCGTCAGTGGGCCGACAGCGGCTCACTGTCCTCTTACTATCAGGGTGAACAACGAGGTTGTGACAAAGTTGTGAGAACCTTTTTTAGGCAGCGTAAACAGCGCCACCTTTTGACAACGTTGTAGCAACACTAAGAAAGTAGACAACGTTGTGTGTTTGCTGGGACTCAGATCAGCATTTCAGTAAACACACATCTCGGCTACGCTGCAGTCGACCAGCCAACAGGTTCGCTTCCTTAGTTTTAGCGCTGGAGCTACAAGGCTAACGTAGCTAACAGGTAAAGGAAGCTAATACCCCACCAGTTAGCATGGTGCTAACTGCCTCATCACTCGCTTCAAACTGTGTGGAGTTTTTAAGGAATCGCAATAAGACAGTTTGAGAAAAAGTGAATCGTCGCTGTTCAAATAAAAACATCTCCAAAATAGTAACTTTTCAGGAGAGGGCAGAAACGGTCAACTTTTGATGTACACAAGGTCAAAGGCAACTGCTGAGCTCAGATTCTGCAGAGAACTGAGAAATGGACAGCAACAATATATTAACCATTCTCTTTGGATGTTATTTTGTTTTCTATTTTATGTATTTTTTTATTCTGTAATTTTATTTTGTACATTTTAGATTAAAAACCCAAATCAGAGCAGAAAACGATGCCATAACCCTTCTGACTTTTACAGAAAATGCCACCGTGTTTTGTTGTGAGCGCTAAACTCTGAGCTTTATGCTAATTAACCTGGTGGTTGTAGCCGCCTGTTAGCTCGTTAGCCACATTAGCCTTGTAGCTTCAGTGCAAACCTAAGTCGCAGCTGCCTGGTCCACTTATTTTTCTGTAAAGTCGCTTACAAATATTCGTGGTCGCGAATGACTTGGAAAAAAAGTCTGGTTCCACTGACTTACATTAAAAGTAGTTTTTTCCCCATCTCCTGTAAAGATATATATATATATATATATATATATATATATATATATATATATATATATATATATATATATATATATATATGAATGAAATATATACACACACACACACATCTCAAAGTTCAGTAAGTTACAAAAAGGCAGTCCCAGTTTTTTTTTGGTTTGTTTTTTTACTACATTAACTTGAATAACCCGTTATTCAGTCATTTTTTTGTGAAAATAGTCAAAACATATAATTTAGTGGGTTTTGTTAAAAGAAAATTGTCAATTTGGTAATGAGACTCAATTCAAATTACTAGTACGAGAAACGAGTTATATATATATATATATATATATATATATATATATATATATATATATATATATATATATACACACACACACATATGTGTGTGTATATATATATATAAAGAAATATAGAAAACATTTCTTTGAAAAGTTCTAAAAGTATTTTATGAATACATCTTGCTAGAAAGTAATAAATCCAATTAACACAGGCTTTTAAATGCCATTTACAGCCTACGTTTGCCTAAAAATTGGCAACAGAGTTGCAAAGAATTCTGTACGTTTCAGAAAAAACAGCTCATATTTTCTAATTTGATGGCCTGAAGTTGGTAAATAACACTTTCTGAAGGTTTAACAACCAACTTTGATTTTTTTTTGTCAAAAAACACCAAAGAAAAAAGTACATTTTTAAAAAGTTTTGAGGCCTAAAATGAACTCTATTCATGGAAAGTATCAGATACGTTATCCTCGTAGCTCCAGAGCTAAAACTTCAGACACCAGACATGTTGGCTGGTCGGCAACGTTTGGAGTGAATAGGACGACCATAAATATGATTTTTGCCTTTTTTTGCAATGCTGTCCTCCACAGCAGCTGCTCCATCATACCTGATTGGGCTCACACAGAGCTCACTGACCAACAGACAGAAAACACACAGACAGATAACAGCACACAGGGATCAGCGGGACAGTCATTTAATGCACTAACGACGTTCTCTAAAGAGTTCAGGAAGTTACAAAAAGGCAGTCCCAGCTCTTTAAAAATCCAAAATACAACCAAAAAACAAAGTAAAACCAGGATGACCGTGTGATAAAAGAAAGAGGAAGTCCTGAGGCTCAGCCGAAACGGTGCAGGAACGTTCAGGCTCGCGGGAAAAGGAAAACGATGGAGCTCCTCTGCGCTCCCGATTACCTGCAGGAGGAGGAAGAACAAATAATCTGAGGTTAATACAGAGCTGATTAAATCAGATCAGCCTTTAAAGCAGGGGAGTCAAACTCAAACACTGGAAGTCCGTATTAAAAACCTCCACAAGTCTGTGGGCCGGAGAGCGCCTGTGATTTTATTAGACCGTTAAACAGCAGTTTGCTGTAACCTGAGATGGTCATTAGCTACGTTCACATTACAGGCCTCGTTGCTCAAATCCGATCTCTCTGACTCGATGTTCACACTCGTTTAGATAAGCGACTCAAATCTGTCATTAATGTGACGAACCGGCGTCCTGAAATGACCCTCATGAGCTCATCCTACTCAGTAACGTCACGTGAATGAATCACGTTCATCATCAGCACAAACTAACGAGCAGAACGAGCTTCGCTGAGAAGATAATTAACTCTGATCAGCTCTCAGCTTCATTATTAGAGCGAGACGAAGGAGAAAAAGGTGAGATGAGCTGCTTTTCCACTGTTTACAGGGTTTAACTTCTGTCCGGCGCTGTTGCCATGGTAACGCTGAATGATGGTGCAGTGGAAAAAAGCACATGAATTCCGATCTGAGCGTCACATTAAGGTCGCATGGCCACGAATCAGATACATATCTGATCTAGGACCACATATGAAAGTGGCTCAGGTCGGATTTGAAAAGATCAGATTTGTGTCCACACAGCTCTGAAAACATCAGATCTGAGTCACATTAGGGCCAAAAATCAGATTTGTGCCACTTCAAGCTGGTAATATGAACGGAGCCATTGTTTATTCAAAATACGCCAAAACATCATAATAAAGGCAGCTGTCGTGAACCTTGAAATATCACATAATTAATACTTGAAATATTCAAAAGGAAAATTAAAAAATGAATAAATATGTAAATGGGCTACAGTACACAACATTACTGACATTACAACATTACATTATACTACACTACATTATATTACACTACATTATGGCGCAGTGGAACAAATATTGTGACTAAAAGAGAGGACGTTTCTGTAATGCGGCCCCGGAACTGTAAATCTGAATAAAACTTCATCAGCACAATTTTGGTAGGACATTCTCTGAGAGTCAGAACTGTTCACAGTGGTGGTGATAGGAACCAGACGTCCACCTCTAAAAGCTCCCTCACAGAAAGTTACTACATGAAATGGTTATGAATTCACTGCCTGATGACTGAGACACTATTTTCCATCATCAACATTCCATATACACTCAGAAGACTCGTGTAGGTTCACTGGTGGTTCTGGATAGTAAATAAAATGTCTATATCTGTGTTGTAGTCATGGCGACCCCTGGTTCCTATCACCACCACTGTAAAGACATCTGAACCATTTCACACCAAACCACTCTGAATCTCTCTGTTCACATCTCACACACTGAATTATGCAGACAATGTGAAAAATTGGTGGAATTGCCCTGTAAGGACCTGTTGCAGTGTAATGATGCTAGTGGGCCAGATTTCACAGCTCCATATCACTCAGATGAGATTGTGAGTTACCCTGTTTGTGTTTTAGTCCACTTCAGCGCGTGTCTGGGTGGTACAGAAGTTGCTGGATGGTAGAAGGTGCATCCTGCACGTTTACAGTGCCCTGCAAACCTACACGGCTAAAAAAAGGAAACAAAACAACAGAGAAATAAGCGCCGGCGTTGGCATCGGCCCACAATTCCCATATTTATACACTCTACATGCCTATAACAGCCTTATTAAAGACTGTATAAACTACAGAAAGGCTCACTCAGACCGACTGAGCGGTATAACACTTACTTTCGGGTGGTAGAAGGTGCAGTCCATCTTCTTACAGTCAGGAAAGAAACGGCACACACTACTGGACTGAGGCGGTACTGCAGGCAGAACGAGAGAAAATATTTAGAATGAAACTGTTATCTTGTTACATTAACATACAGTAAAGAACCCCTCACTTTCCATTTTATCAGCTCCACTGACCATATAGCTTCACTCTGTAGTTCCGCAGTTACAGACTGTTGTCCAACTGTTTCTCTGCATACTTTGTTACCCTGTTCTTCAACGGTCAGGACCCCCACAGTGGATGTGGTGGTGGTGTGTTAGTGTGTGTTGCTCTGGTCTGAGTGGATCAGACACAGCAGTGCTGCTGGAGTTTTTAAACACCTCAGTGTCACTGCTGGACTGAGAACCAGCCAACAGCGTCCTGTGGGCAGCGTCCTGTGACCACTGATGAAGGACTAGAGGATGACCAACACAAACTGTGCAGCAGCAGATGAGCTATCGTCTTTGACTTTACATCTACAAGGTGGACTGACAAGGTAGGAGTGTCTAATAGTGGGGGTCCTGACCATTATGAGTATGCAGAGAACCAGATGGACTACAGTGTGTAACTGTAGAACTACAGAGTGAAGCTATATGGTCAGTGGAGCTGATAAAGCAGACAGTGAGTGTAGAAAGTTGTTGAATCTGGATCATAATTATTGGAAATATAAAATCTATTCTGCAGATGGTCACTAACTGTCTGAATTTACATTATCATATAAGCTCACTGCACACACAGACCTGGTCTGGCTGGCTGGACGAGCGCTCTGCGGCTGACGTGTGTGTACGGACAGTCTGGTTTGGAGCACTTGGCGTCGTATTTGCAGTTTGGATGGATGAACAGGCACTTCTCTCCAAACACACAGCTGGGAAAAGTCCTGAAACACACATCAGCCACTGATTACACACACAATTACACACACACCTTACAGAGGAACACCTTCACTCATAAACTTAACCTGTAACTGTATCAGTGGAAGGCAAAGCCCACGATTTTTCAGTGGCTGAGATGTGAACAAATGGTTCATTATAGAAAACAGATCTCTTTACAGTGGTGGTGATAGGAACCAGGGGTCGCCATGACTACAACACAAATATAGACATTTTATTTACTATCCAGAACCACCAGTGAACCTACACGAGTCTTCTGAGTTTATATGGAATGCTGATGATGGAAAATAGTGGAAAATCTGAAATAATAAGTTTTCTTTGGGGACTATTTTGCCTCACAGCGCTCTGCATGTATCCCTCCACCACGAATGGAGTTTAAGTTCTCTAAACTATCATAAAACAGTGTCTCAGTCATCAGGCAGTGAATTCATAACCATTTCATGTAGGAACTTTCTGTGAGGGAGCTTTTAGAGGTGGACGTCTGGTTCCTATCACCACCACTGTGAACAGTTCTGACTCGGTAAGTTTATCTAGAACGGAGCGTTTCACACCAAACCGCTCTGAACCGCTCTGTTTACATCTTTATCATTTAATTATGCAGAAATGTTGAAAAATCACTGGGGTTGCCCTTTACATCTGACCATATGTTAAGTAGGCGTATGTTATTACTTGCACTGTGTCGTGGGGTGATGGTATACGCAGTCGTCTCCACTCTTGCATGCGGGCCAAAACCTGCAGCGCTCCATAACCTTCTGTCGTTTTGCCTGAACAGGTTCGACCTCCATCTCCATCTCATCCATTCCCTCCATCCCTCCATCTGTACAGAAGAAGAGAGAAGGTAATAACAAAAGCTGAACTGAGCTTTTTAAACGAAACAGTAAAAGCCATATCGCCCCCTACACTTCCTGTAGTGTATTACAGTCTGTCAGAGTGACTGTGTGGATCATATGAACATTATAGAGCTTTTTAAATGAAACAGTAGAAGCCATATCGCCCCCTACGCTTCCTGTAGTATATTACAGTCTGTCAGAATGACTGTGTGGATCATATGAACATATGAACTTATTCAGCCGTAGTTTTTGTTTTCTCACCATCAGACGGGAGGTCAGTGTTCAGGCTGAGCTGCACTGCTTGTTTGGGTCTGCGCATCGCTGAAAGGTCAGAGGTCGTGTTATTGAGGGCAGAGTCATCAGCGTCCATCTCCTGCTCTGTCAGATTGGCCAGTGGACTCGGAACTCCATCTAACGTTACGATGAACTTCGGACTGGATCCCCCTACTGCTTCAGCTTTCTCTCTGAGAGAGAGAGAGAGAGAGAGAGAGAGAGAGAGAGAGGAGATGAAATTCAGTATCCACTATAAATAATTTGGTATCTACTATGAACTATTCAGCATCTACTATGAATTATTCAGTATCTCCTCAAAAACATAAGTGCGGGTTCTGTAGTTACGAGAGGGAGGAACTAACATTTAAAGACAGAATGAACTGTGGCAGATACTGAATCATTCTTAGTAAGTACTGATTCAAAGCAGTGACTGAGTGAGAGAATTGACATGATTCAAACAGAGATTCAAACAGAGATTCAAACAGAGATTCAAACAGAGATTCAAACAGAGATTCAAACAGACTGTGACGCTCATTTTTTTAATGATGCACACAAGGCCCACCTGGTCTGGACCATGCGTGGAGCAGAGGGCGGGGCTTCCTCCGGAATGACAGTGTCCAGCCTGCTTCTGATTGGCTGAGGCTGCTCGAACTCCGGTTTCCTCATGATAAAGGAGCGAGTGTCCAGAGCCTTCAGCCGCGCCGCCTCGAACAACTGCAGCTCTAAAAAAAACAGACAGACATCAGAACAGCAAGCTGGAGTTTAACACACTTAAAACCCAGCAAGACCTGAACGTTTACATCAGGACGGCGCTTCTTAAAGATCTTCAGTCGAAACTTGGGGTTTCAGTGGTGTGGTGAAGTACTCACAGCTACAGACAGAGATTAGGCTGAAAAATGCGGAAATACTCCTTTAAGGCCAAAATGAGGATTATCCAATAAGAACGGCCCTTTGCTCTACACCGACTGGACAGTACTGAGTTTGAGCTTAAAGACTCACGACCCAAATCTGTGTCTTTCTAAGTAGGTTCATCTTGTTCTTGCAAGCAAACAGTAAACATGTACCAAGTTTACCCTCTAAATAATGTTACATATATAGTACACCATATTTCTCTCCTCTCAGTGTAAACTGGACGGTCCTAATCTTAAGCATCCCTCTGACCAATCACAGGGCTGCGTCTCTGGCCCCGCCCACACAAAGCAGTTTCAGAGTCAGCCTAACCAAAAGCTAGCAAGCTAGATCACCTGTCTGTAGCTGCCTGTCGTCCGTTCACTCGTTTATGCATAAAAATTGTTCGTCTGTCTGTTCCTTCATTCGCGCTTTGGTTCGTCCGTCCGTCCGTCTGCACATCTGTTCGACTCCTTTTGTCCAGTCAGTATCACATAAAAGCTGGATAATGACGTAAGCTCTGTATGAGGAGCGGGGCAGAGCTAGGAGTGTTGGACTGACAGCTGTCAATCAAGCTGCTCATTAGCCACGCCCACACAGTCCTCAGATCCGATCAGCGGTTTTTAAATAGTGTTTTATCATATTTCCATCTTATATTGTTCATCCCAGCTTTGTTGGATGTTTAATGTAACACTCAAGTTCAGTATCATAAAAACATGAATTATTTTACTCCGCGTTTCCTGCGACTAAAGTTATCTGGCTGCGCGAGAAATCTACACACTTAAAAAAGAGGGCTCTTCAAGGGTTCTTCAGAAAAGAAAATGGTTCTATATAGAACCATGGACACTCAGAAAACCTTTGCATTATTAAAAGGTTCTGCTACTGCTACAATTTTGACATCGTAACAATAGAAGCTTTTTGGTACTTTATAGAACCCTTTTCAAAAAGGTTCTATCTACTACACGTTCTCCGTCAATCTGAAGAACGCTTTCACCATGCAAGGAATCCTTTAATCATGCACAGGGTTCTCTATACAGAACCATTTCTTTTACTAAAGAACCCTGTGAACCCTGTTTTGGTCCCTCACCAAAATCGTTGGTCTGCTCCCTGGTCTCCTCCTCTGGAAGCTCCAGTTGCAGCCGGGACGCCAGAGAGCGCGACTGAGCTGCAGGAGGAAGAGAGGGAAACAAACAAAGGACAGAGAAAGAGACGGATGAATAACGAAGAGAGGGAGACAGTCAGACAGACAAGCAGCAGTTCAGACCTGCTCATTTAAAGCGAGCATTTTGGTGGATTATCTTGAGTGTCCTGAACAGCAGGGGGCGCTATATCAGTCCACTCTGGTCGAGATTAGTCCTCAGGTGTGAGTTATGAGACTACATGCTGTGTAGTCTGTTTCATGTGAAGTACACTCTTAAAAAAGATGGTTCTTCAAGGGTTCTTTACTGAAGAAAATGGTTCTAGATAGAAGTATGAACACTGAAAGAACCCTCTGCGTGATTAAAAGGTTCTTTGCATCATGAAAGGGTTCTTCTATTATTACAAGCTTGACACCGTAACAATAGAGGAACTCTTTTGTGTGCTATACAGAACCATTTTCAAAAAGGTTCTATATAGAACCATATACAGCACATCCTCCATCAATTTAAAGAACAATTTCATGATGCACAGAAGTCTAATCATTCAAAGGGTTGTTCGAGTGTTCATGGTTCTATATAGAACCATTTTCTTTACTGATGAAGCCTAGCGTGTGATCCACTTAACAGATGGACTGTTATATTTTCCAAACTTCAGCAGCGCCGGACGGTCAAGCGTCCAGGACGCATGTATCAGACAAAAGACTTAAGAAATTCGGTAAAGCTAAATTTCCCGTTCCACCTTAAATGGCGCAACAGATACATTCAAGTGCCTGTGCAGGTGCCAGTATGTGATTGCGGCTTCATTTAAGGCGGAACAGAAAATGCAAACAAAAAGCTGCCAAATAAAATGTATTTTTAATTTTATTATTATTTCTTTTGTTCATATCTATTTGTTCATATCTATCTTTAATATTCACTTTTTGACCAAAACTGATGGAAAACTTTACTGAATATTATTATAATTTCAACAGTCTAAAACTGATTCAGACGCACTGTATGGTGGTGAAAGCCAATATTAGCCTCTAATTCAAAGTGGCTCACTACAACATTCAGTGCTGTTTTTTGGCCGTGCACTCAGAGGTTCATCTATATACACTGGTTGAGTTTCCTTTTTAATATTTTGCACAACTTCGGTTGTTTTAAATCGTTCTTATTAAAAAGTGAAGGCACATCCCAGAATAATAAGCCAGTTAACCTACAAAAATAGGTTTACTTAAGCATCTAAAAGTAAAAAAAAAAAGAAAAGTATATAAATAAAATTATACAAACACACCCAAAATCTCGTCTTACATTCCTAGTGAGGACGTCCATTGATTTCCATTCTTTTTTGTATTATTGCAGCCAAATTATACCACACCTACACCTGACCCGGACCTCGACCTCAGTTTCACAAATTTTTCAGCTTTTTAGTTTTTCCAAAAAAATGTAATTTGTGATGAAAAACAACAAAATGTCATGTCGTCCCATCATTGCGAGGACCTGCAGTCCTCACAAGGATAGCCAAACATGCACATACACACCCCAGCCATGATATATACCGAAACGGTGTTCATTTTGGAGTCTGGGGTAAATTTTATGCCATTTATTTGTCAAACTATCGCGTTAAAGAGGCGGAGACTGACCGCTGTGTCTGCTGTCCTGCGTCTCTTGAGGAAGGAGGGCGTGCAGGTGCTCCTGGACCAATCGGATCGCGGCTCTGTTCATCTCATCGCTCGCCAAACGAGTCCGCGGTGCCACGGGAACCGTCTGTCGCTGGGGAACTGTGCCGTTGCCGCGGGAACATCATGCAAACGAACACACACACAGAAAAACACAGCAGTTTATAATCCAGCTCAGGGTCAGTGATACAGAGACGATGATGATGATGATGATGGGAAATGGAGGGTTTATCCGCAGTTAAATCTGTGACCTCACAACCATTCAATTACAACTGAGTGCATTATAATATTTCACCATAGTTCAGTTTGAATATTTTGGTACAGTATATTAAAACCTGCATAACTTTAAACATGTACTTTTATTGTTTTATTATTATTATTATTTATTTATTTTTAATTTATATATATTTTTTTAAATGTTCATATCTTTACAGTAAGATTCACATATTCGTCTCTTTAGCTCCCTCCACACTGGCTCTTTATTACTTTTTGTTTACAGTCTGTAAACTTAGTGAAATTCTGATTAAAATTAAAAAATATATAATACTGTTTTTGCCCAAAAATTGAAGGAATACTTTACTGAATGTTATTATAATTGGCTATAATGAACTCACCAGCATCAGAAACATTTAATGGTGTACATGCATGGTGTGTGTACCTTTGGCCCCAGAAGTATTTGGACACTTTAATCTTCAGTATTTAATGTTCTTTGATGTTAAGCTCTTCAAAGACTAACCGGTGGAGAACGGCTGGAGTTTTACTCACAATGTCGTTGCTGAGCCGGAGCCGTATCACAAAAACTTCCTCTCTTTTTGGTTAAAGTTCAGATCTGACAGGTCAAGATCAGATTTTTCACAAATTCACATTACAGAAGAAAATCTGATCTTAATTTAGGACTTTTATGGTATCTTACAGCATCTTATCCTAAACTTAATCGATCAGAGTCAATAATCAGCTGTCATGTCTGTTTCCTAGCAATAGACCATAAACACACACAGCTGAAACGTAAACATGTCATCAGAATAATATAAAAATGAGTTAAGCTGCTGTTACTGATGTAAAACAGGTCAAACAGAACTAAAGAGTGATAAACTGTAAGTAGTGAATACTGTGAGAGCGCCCCCTGCTGTTTATCAGAGCGTCGCCGCTCCCCAGTTTCAGTCTCCATTTCCCAAACGCTTTAGCCGAGCGCGCTAACGTTACTCCTCCTAATAAACAGACACACGTTCAGCTCCGTCTCCTCATTATTCACCACCATCACTGTAATATTTCATCATCAACATTAACACACGAAGGTGATCAGAGGGGCGGTGGAGATCGAGTCTGCAGCGTCTGAGATCTTTAAAACGCAGAGTTAGAAAAGAAAATCATCTCACAGTGAAAGCAGCGTTTTACAGTAGAGATAAATGGAGCTCATTATGCTGGTAGTGAACTATGCTGCTGACTCAGCTGCCTAAAAACCATAGAAACGGACCTTAAACAGAAGTGAGGACCCTGTTGGGGTTCATCCTAAAGTTAGGACAGGATTTAGGAGGTTCAGTCTAGTTAGGATGTTTGTGTGATGCTGTTTTCTTATCTGGAGTTAATGAAGAGATTATGAAGGTAGGAACTGATATTCTGGAACAGAATGTCTGAAATTCAGTCTGTACTGAAGTCGTCATGCAGATTCTAGAGTTGAGAATGTGTGAATGCTTTTGGGGCCACTGTATGTTTATGGTGCGCGTGAGACTGACTTGTGTACACGGGGGTGGTCTTGTTGATGGACTCCTGAGCCTCTGAGATGGCCTTCAGGATCAGGTTCTTGTTGGCCTGCTTGGCTGGAGGTAGAGTCGGCCTGCGGGGGGCGACAACACAGAACAAACAGACTTTCAAATACACACATTCTGGATTTATTAGCTTCACTTCACTTATTAAATTAGAAACACTGACATTGTTCTCAGGTTTCACATCATAATACAAACAGGAATTCAAACATCTACATGGACTAACTGATCACAAATGATCTCTCTGAAGACACTTTATTCATAAAGAACCCCGGCACTGATTAAACCTGCTCTTTAAATACAGGACAGTTTCACAAAACAGTCAACACTGGAGAAACAACGCACTTGCGCTCTGGTTTGGATGGCAGTGAAACTCGGCTGGGCAGGCCGTAATCCTCCTCTTCATCATCATCCTCCTGCTCGTCGCTCTCCTGATCCCGCTCGTGCCCCCGGTGAACCCGGACCACCGAGCTGGCGACAGGAGCCTTCCGTTTCCGCGACAACTCCTCCTGCACCCAATTTATATCACAATACCTACATTTAGAGTCGGTTATTCATTCAGCCTAATGAGAAACTGTAGAACAGACTCAGTTTATATCACAATACCTACATTTCTCACCTTGCTGCTTCCCTCTCTGTAGCTCCGCCCATACGATGAGCTCGACCTTTCCTGACCTCTTGTGACCTCTGATGACCTGTAGCTGTCTGTGCTCCGTTCTGAGCCGCGATTAGACGAGCCGCCGGGCTGCCGCGACCTGTCAGACGTGGAGCGGGCCGTTAAAGAGCGCAGCGGGCCAGAGGTCAAGGGGTCCTCGGCGATGAGGTCGTCGTCCAGGTCGGGTTTGATGTCGATGACGGCCTCGGCGGAGACGGGCTCGACCAGAGGCTTCACTGCAGAGGTTAATCTGGAGGAGGACTTATCAGAGGAACCACGCCTGTGAGAGAGAGAGAGAGAGAGAGAGAGAGAAAGAGAAAGAGAAAGAGAGAAAAAGAGAGATCTAAGCCAAAAGTCAATCTTTTCTGATCTTTAAAATATGAAACTATAAACCAGAACAGGACATTTACGTCTGTTAGACCATAAAATCCACAATCTTACACAACACGTTTGGAGTGAGTGAGTGCTCTGTGTGGCTTTAGTTCAGAAGAACCAGAAAAAGAAGGAGGATGAGGAGGACAAGAAGGAAGAACAAAAGATCAAAAGGAGGCAGAAGGAGAAGAAGGGAAGAAGAAGGAAGAAGGATAAGAAGAGGAGGGGGGTAAGAATGAGTGAGAAGAAAAGGAAAATAAGAGGAAGGAGGAAAAGGAAAAGTGTGGAAGAAGGAGAACAGGAAGAAGTTGGAGGAGAAGAAGAAGGGAAGGAAGAAGAAAAGATGAAGAGGAGGCAGGAGGAGAAGAAGGAAGAAGGAAGGAACAGAATGAGTAAGAAGGAAAAGGAAAAGAGCGACAGAAGGAGAACAATTAAGACGAATAAAAACAAAGATGAGAAGAAAAAAATATTGAGAAGAACAGAAGAAAGGAGAAGGGTAAAGAGAAGGAAAAGAAGAAAAGGAAGAAGAAAAGATAGAGAAGGCAGGAGGAGGGAGAAGAAGGAAGAAGAAAGAGGAAAAGAAGAGGAAGACTAATGAAAAATGAGTGAGAAGAGAAAGAAAAGATGAGGAAGGAGGAAAAGGAAAGAGCGAGAACAATTAAGAAAAAGAAAGAGCAGAAAAAAATAAAGAAGAAGGAAAAAGAAGAGAAGAAAAATACTGAGAAGGACAGAAAGAAGGAGAACGGTAAGGAGAAGAAAGGAGAAGAGGGAGAAGAAGGAAAAGCTGAAGAAACAAGAGGAGAACAAGTAAACAAATAATACAGATGAGGCAAAACAAATAATAAGGAGAAAAAGAGCTAGAAAGAGGAGGAGACGGAGGAAAAGAAGATGGATGAGAATGAAAACAGGGAGGTGGAGGAGGAGAACAAGCAGGAAGAGAATGAAAAGGAAGAGGAGGAGAAGAAACAGTGTGGCCGCCTTTCCAGCTGTGTCCAGGACCAGAACGTCCATCTGTCTCTGTTCTCTATAAGCGTAGAGCTGCTGTGACAACTGACCTGCCATGGTGCTCGTGGGCGGAGCTAGAGACCCGTCCCTCCAGCCTATCGGAGCGCGAGCTGGACACGGCGAGAGCCCGAGACTCCTCCCTTCTGAGCTCGTCCCGAGAGGATGCGCTGGTGTCGGAGTGGAAGAGCTGAGGGCGGAGAGAGGAGGGCTCTAAACCACAGAGGAGGGAAAAGAGAACATGAACCACATTATTATTATTATTATTATTATTATTATTATCATCGTTATCATTATTAATGATGATAAAATCAGTGTTTACTGTACATGCCTGACCTCTTCATTACAGTCTATAAGACCACAAGACTCCATTTGTTTAAAGCAGAACTGCATCATCAATTTTCAAATCGTTCAGAGTGGTCTGGTGTGAAACGCTCTGTTCTAGATAAACTTACCGAGTCAGAACTGTTCACAGTGGTGGTGATAGGAACCAGACGTCCACCTCTAAAAGCTCCCTCACAGAAAGTTCCTACATGAAATGGTTATGAATTCACTGCCTGATGACTGAGACACTGTTTTATGATCGTTTAGAGAACTTAAACTCCATTCATGGTGGAGGGATACATGCAGGGCGCTGTGAGGCAAAATAGTCCCCAAAGAAAACTAATTATTTCAGATTTTCCACTATTTTCCATCATCAACATTCCATATACACTCAGAAGACTCGTGTAGGTTCACTGGTGGTTCTGGATAGTAAATAAAATGTCTATATCTGTGTTGTAGTCATGGCGACCCCTGGTTCCTATCACCACCACTGTAAAGACACCATTTCACACCAAACCACTCTGAATCACTCTGTTTACACCTCACACACTGAATTATGCAGGAATTTTCCCCCTTTAAACGCAGTACAGGTGTGGACTGCAAAATTGGTGCATATCTGCACTGATTTATGAATTGATTGTGGTAATACTCTATAAAGTATGGGGGGGGTGTGACATAGGTAAATAAAAAATGAGACAGAACGAATGACGAGTCATTTCTTAAAGAACTGCACTCGGTCTGAATCAAAGTGGGGTCGGAGATTCACTTGAATGAATCGTTATCTGCTGAATGCTGAAGGATGTGGCCTCGACAGCCGGATTTATCTGAGGAATTCAGAGTTTCCACAACACTGCGAGGTCAGAGCGACTCTAAACATCCCCTGTTTGGGTTTGAAACATACCGACCGCAGCTGATCTCAGCTTCTCCAGAACGCCGTGTAACCTGCAACACAAACACTCAGAGCTCAACACACTGCAGAACAGGAGAACTAGCAGAGAACACACTACACAGACGGGTCTGACTCAGATTAATACAAAACATATTACAAAATAAAAGTCCTTGGGCAGAAAAGACGGAGAGGAGGCAGGAGGAAGAGGAGAAGAAGGAGGAAGAAAAGAAAGAGAAAAAGAAGAGGAAGTAGGAAAAGGAAAGAGCAAGAACAATTAAGAAAAAGAAAGAGCAGAAAAAGAGGAGAAGAAGTAAAAGGAGACAAAACAAATAATAAGGAGAAAAAGAGCTAGAAAGAGGAAGAGGAGGAGGAGGAGGGGAAGAAGTGTGTCATGTGTGGTGGCTTTAGTTTAGAAGAAGGAGGAGGAGGTGGAGGAGGAGAAGGGGAAGAAGACGAAAAGGAGACGAGGAGAAGAAAAATATTGAGAAGAACAGAAAATAGGAGAACAGTGAGGAGAAGAAGGGAGAAGAATGGGAAGATGGAGAAAGAAGAAAAGATAAAGAGGAGGCAGGAAGAGAAGAAGGAAAAAAGAAGGAAGAGAAAAAGAAGAAGAAGAGGAGGAAGGATGAGAACGAGAATATATATATATATATATATATATATATATATACACACCAACCGACACCGATCAGGCATATCATTACAGTCTGTAACTGTAGAACTACAAAGTGCACCTATATAGTAAGTGGAGCTGATAAAATAGACAATGAGCGTAGAAACAAGGAGGTGGTCATAATGTTATGCCTGATTGGTGTGGATAAGACAGTAAGAGACGTTTTACATTCACTCCTGCTCAGTTTTATGCTTTAATGACGCTGTATTAGATTCGTTATGCTCTTATTCAGAGCCGCTGTCGTACCACACTGTGAACTTGATGGTGTTGTTGCCTAGAAACAGCGACAGGTCGTCGGCCATCTGCTGAGCGTTCTTCTTATTGGCCACCATCACCATGATGTAGTCCGGAAGCTCCTCATCTGGCAGGAAATACATTTAAACGCAATACTTCAGCAGAGTGATCAACCCGAACCATGAAGATCATCATCACCGTGAGGCTTCTCACACATTTTCAGCTGCCGGTCAAAACTGCAGAGGATATTCCACACTCTGTACAACCTGCTGCCACCAAAGCGTGAAATAACGTCACTGTGATGACAGAAACACAGCAGTCGCTCACTCTTCAGAGGGGTTTTATCACACTCAGGGTCTGATGATGGCACCACAGTACCGTCAGCAGCCTCTTCATTTTATTTAAGTGTATTGTCCTGTATTGTATGTGTGCTGCTGGACTTAGAAAGACTTCGCTAACGTCTTTACCATTTAATTACGCTGGAAATTCCCTTTAAGAGTGCTTATAGAAGCATGTTGACTGCATGGAGAAAATGTAGCAGGAATTATTATTACTTTTATTTATTTATTTATTTATTGTACTACACACTGTTAGAAACAAAGCCTCCTTCAAAGCTCCAACAGTGGTTTTAAGGTCTGATTGTGAACCTTAAATAAGTTTTTCCAGGTGAAAAGTTCGTATTTGTACCTTTTCATAACCGAATGTTTTAAACAGAACAGTAAAATAAAAGTCCTGGAGACGAGACGGGGTGTGTGGAGTCGGAACTGACCCAGTGACAGTCTACTACCTTCATTTCTGAGAGTGTAGCTGTACAGTGTGATTTCTATAGGCGTATTCTTAATGAACTCACCTATATACGCTCCCAGCTCCTGCAGCTTCCCTTTAATAGCAGCCTGAAACAGAACAGAAGGAGTGGTGAATGGCACTGACTGACCACAGAACTGACCACACAACTGACCATAGAAACAGAAGAATAGTTAAAAACAAGAAAGACAAATGTGTCCAACTTTGGGCTCCTTCAGTTCATCACCTGCTTCATATCTAACCTCCGCAATGCACCTGTAAACCTGCGAACACGCCTACAGAGCAGAGGTGGGCGATATGGCAAAATATAATATCACGATAATTTAGGAGGTTTTTTACGCTACACGATACGTAGTTTTGTAGGGTTTTTTTTTTGCACGACTTAAAATACACACAGATAAACAGAGATAATATAATATACAGTGCAAGGAGGGGCACAAAACCCCTAATTGGCTTATATAAAACCTCCACCTAAATAATAGTAACATTTCACAACATTATGGAAAATACAGAATAGTATACAAAACAACAATGACTCCAAAATGGTAACTTTTCAGGAGAAGGAAAAAACACACTCTACTTTTAATGTAAGTCAATGGAACCAGACTTTTTGCCAAGTCATTTTGGGCCGTTTCTTCTGGTCCATTCATCATGAAATTCACACACAATGTAAAGAGCAACAGGTATTTTCAGATTATGTCAAACTGAAAAACGACAAACATGGAGATACGAGGTTTTGTTCCGACAGCAGTGATATGTTTGGTAAATGATGCAGATTTATACACCCATATTAACTCCTGAGTAATAATAATAATAATAATAATAATATATTTCGCTGCTCTCCGAAGAAAATCTTGTATCTCCATTTTTGTCGTTTTTCAGTTTTTGACATAATTTGAAAATACCCGTTGCTCTTTACATTGTGTGTGAATTTCATGATGAATGGACCAAAAGAAACAGCCTAAAATGACTTGGAAAAAAGTCTGGTTCCATTGACTTACATTAAAAGTAGAGTGTGTTTTTTCCTTCTCCTGTAAAGTTACCATTTCGGAGGTACGAGGTTTTGTTCCGACAGCAGTGCTAATCACAATAAGTGAAACAGAGAGATGTAAACAACAATACAAAGGACAAAACAACTACAGTACAGATATTAAATGGTTTTTAAACATCTTTTGTAACATTTCAAAGAACGACAATTTTTTGCCAAATGGGAAAACATATTCCATATTTTAGTGCCCCTTATGAAAAACTGACCTCTACAAATGAGAAATCTAGGAGAATTTAGCTGAATATGGATGAACCTCTGAATTTTGTATGAAATAATTATTAAACTGCTCTGGAAAATTCCTTTAACTTGATATCTGAAGCTTCTGAAATAAAGGAGCAGACGACGTTTATAAATCTGATTGGGTCGCCATCCTATCAAAACGTTCCTGGAGGACCCAAATTTGGTGAATATGTTACGAGACATTAAGGCCACCTTTAAAAAATACTATCAAAACCCACAAATTCAATTATTGTATGGAACATTTTAAACACTGTGCTGCACTAAATCTACTGCAGCAGGACTAACGATGCTCTCTGTAATCAAACACGCACTAGCTACGTGTGTTTTAGGTACTGATGATATCTAGAATACAGCTCAGAAAATCTGACTGTAACTCTGTGAACTGATTCATCACGATGATGATAAACATCGTTATATCGCCCAGCTGCACTGCAGAGACGACAGAGCCGGTACGGCGTCAATACGGAGAACAAATACGAATTAATGAAAAACAGGTTCTACGTCACCGCTGTAAGACAGACATTCACTGACGAGCAGAGGTTCACGCGTCAGACTCTTAAGAACGGAGGGTTCTCCGACGGTTCTTGAGTACAGACAATGGTTTTATTCAGAATCAGTTCTGTACAGAGCCGTCTGCAGGCTTAAACAGTTCTTTGCCTGGTTAAATGGTTCTTCAGGTTGATGAAGAACGTGCTGCATGCGGCTCTATATAGAACCTTTTTTAAAATGCTTCTATATATAGCACCAAAAAGGGTTCTGCTATCACCACACAAGTTTGACAGTGTAACATCTTGTTAGAGCTGTTTTCAAAAAGGTTCTGTACAGAACCACATGCAACACATTCTCCATGAGTCTGAAGAACATTTCGCCAAGCAGAGAACCATTTAAGCATGCAAATGTTTTTACAAAGAACTCATGGTTCTAAACATGCTTAAGTGGTTCTTTAGGTTGATGGAAAATTTATTGTATATGGTTTTATATAACACCAAAAGGGGGTTACAAGCTTATAATAGCAGAACCCTTTTTGGTGCCATATAGAACCACTTTCAAAAGGGTTCTATAACCTACAGAACCAAACACAACGCATTCTCAATCAAGCTGAAGAGCCAATTCACCATGCAAAGAACCATTTAACCATTTAAGCATGCAAACGGTTCTGTATAGAACTCATGGTTCTAAATGGTTCTTTGCATTGTGAAATGGTTCTTTAGAATGAAGAATGTGTTGTGTATGGTTCTATATAGCACCAAAAAGGATTACAAGCTTATAATAGCAGAACCCTTTTTGGTGCTATAAAGAACCACTTTCAAAAAGGTTCTACACAGAAACATAAGCAACACATCCTTCATCAATCTGTAGAACGTTTCACCAAGCAGAGAACCGTTTAAGCATGCAAATGGTTCTTTACAGAACTCATGGTTCTAAACACGTGTGAACGGTTCTTCAGATTGATGAGGTATGTATTGTATATGGTTCTATTTAGCAACAAAAGGGGATTACAAGCTTACAGTTGCGGAACCCTTTTTAGTGCCATACAGAACCACTTTCAAAAAGGTTCTATACAGAACCACATGCAACACATTCTCCACCAAAAGAACAACAGAACCAAACACAACGTATTCTCCATCAAACTGAAGAACCAATTCACCATGCAAAGAGCCATTTAACCATTTAAGCATGCAAATGGTCCTATCTAGAACTCAGGGTTCTACACATAAGTAAATGGCTCTTTAGATTGACGGAAAATGTACTGTATATGGTCCTACTTTGCACCAAAAAGGAGTTACAAGCTTATAATAGCAGAACCTTTTTGGTGCTACATAGAACCACCTTCAAAAAGGTTCTATACAGAACCAAACACAGCGCACACTCCACCAAACTGAAGAACCATTTCACCATACAAAGAACCATTTAACCATTTTAGCATGCAAATGGTTCTACATGGAACTCGTGGTTCTAAACAGAGCCGTTGCCTGCACTACAGATCCCTCCGAGAACCCTGTTTTCGGGCGTGCAGCTCAGATTAAACGCGGAACCCTGAAAGTGATAAATCGCCTCTGAACTGTAAACAGAGAGCTGCACAGTTAGCCTAGCCTAGCCTTGCCTAGCCTAGCCTAGCCTAGCTCAGCTCAGCTCAGCTCAGAGCGGCCGTGCCGCCTCGTTTAAAGACGTTACCCGTATTTTCTTGCTTATCTCCGTCCCGATTTCCATCCTTCGCAGCCCCAGTGATGTTAAACCAGTGTGAATCTGCTGTCTTTAGTCTCCTTTTGGCCTCATAAACGTAAAAACTCTGCGCTTTAGCGGATTCTGGGTTATTAGGCCATGAACGCGAACCACTGCACCACACTGCGCATGTGCGAGAACCAGCGAAACGCGTCTGTGAGGGAAACTCGCCCGAATATATATTTTTAAGCGTTAAAAGTTTTTTTGAAGTAAAAATTTCATACATAATTTAAAATAAGCGTGTCTTAACGCTTTTTCATCCTGGTGAGTTTAAGGTAAATGTGTATATATATATATATATATATATATATATATATATATATATATATATATGTACATATATATGTTTGATAAGGTTTAAATTGATTAATTGGTTCAGTAATAATTTGATTAATTGCTAATGTTTACTGTTATGAAATCATATCAAGTAATCATTAATTATTCTGTGATAGCTGATTGAAAATGATCATTTGAGTATGGTATATGAATCATTTATGTTTTATGAATTAACTTCCAGTCACTTCTGATTTAAGGTTAATTACTGTGATATTTCAGTAATATGCATATCTGATTATATCTGATTGATTGGTTTGAAGTGTATTATATCTGTGCTTAGAGAACCTTAAAGGTCATTCGGAGGTCTCGGACAGTCATGTTAACTCCTAATTCAGCTTTGAGTCTCCTGACTGTGTCTGTCTGGTGTATTTAGTTCTGCTGTCTGTCAGCACTTAGTTTTCTAGAAGATTCGATTCCATTTATGGCATCGGTTCCGATAATTACATTACTTGTAGATCAATAACCCAGTATCCAATCACATTTTAGTCAATCATTATGCTAAACCAGATCACCCGCAGAGGGAAATTCTCTTGGACTGCATTAATCACAGATATCATTTGGAGAACAGCATAACTTTCACCCTATAAATCCCCTGTGAAGCTGGATGAGTGCATTTAAAGATCCTTCATAGTATCTACCCTACAAATAATAGAAAATGGTCCAAAATACACACGTTATTATATTTTTATTAGATTTGTCTTTATTATTAATGGAAAATTATTGCAAAAAAACATTATATTAATCAGTCATTTTGCACCATCCCTTCTGCATTGTGTCATTAAGCCTTTAAAATCAATCAATCAATCAATCAATCAATCAATCAATCAATCAATCAATCAATCAGCCTTTATTTACCTCAGAGTACATTGAGGGAGACCCTTATTTACAATGTAGTCGAGCCAATACAGAAATCAGGGATTGAGAAGTTGGATAGTAAAAAACATATCAAATGCTAAAAGGTAATAATAATCAAAGTAGTAAAATTTAATAGTAAAAAAGTAAAAAAAAAAAAAGAAAATCAATAAACCATTAAGATTACAACAGTATAGTAACTTAATAAACAGCAGATCAGATAAATAAATAAAAACATTATTAATGAAACAAATAAAGAAATAAAAGATTTAGGCCAATACATTTTACAATAATAAAATAATAATAATAATAATAATAATAATAATAATAATAAAGAATAACAAAAAAGTGAAAAAATAGCTAAAACATAACAAAATCATATTAAAAGTAAACTAAAATCGAGTAAAACAGTCCCAGATTCTCTTTTATCTCACGTATTGATTTACAACCTTTTCTGTTATTGATTGATTCTTGGCTTTGTAAAAAAAAAAATAAATAAATCCTTTTCATTCACTTCATAACTCTGGTCATCCATCACTGGACATATATCCGTCTGGTTCCTATCACCACCACTGTGAACACTCTTTAAGTGTCTCCAGAACGGAGCATTTCATAAAACCTTTATGAGTTGATTCGTTTACAACCATTTAATAACGCACGAATTTTGGAAATATTGTGAAATCCCCCTTTTAAAGCCCCTCCAGTCCGGCAGACGGCGCTGTTTGGCAGTCATTTGTTTACCTGTGTATCTGGTCACCCCGTGTCCCCCTCTGTCCAGAGTGGTTCAGTCCGCTGCGTGCTGTTAAAGTGAAAGTGAACCAGCGTGTTTTGAGCGGAGACGTTATTAATGAGGCCGTTTTCTGTTTCGGGTTATTAATAAACGTTTATTTTAGGTAATAAAGCTTATTCGCTGTCATACCTGCGCGCGGACACGGCTGGCTGCCAGTAGCTATAGCAACAGAGCGGCCATATCAGGCGAGCTCAGCTGAGCTGACCTCAACCTGCGATAAGAACGGCGCAGTCGGGCTGGTAACACGGTGGGCTCGTGCGCTGGGCTCGTGCGCTGGGCGGCTGTCCGGCTCGGTGAGCGACTGAAACCAGCCGAATATATAACGATAATCCCCGCCTGGGCGAAGGAGGGCCGGGCTGGACTGGAAGAAGCGCTGTGCGGCCGCGGGTTGACTGACTCTTGTGGCCGGGCCAGGGCGCGATGAGCTCGGTCGGGAGGAGCGGGCTGATCGGGCTGGGTGTGGGAGTCACCCTGAGCACCGGGGTCATCGCCTTTCTCATCATCAGAGAGATGCTGCGGCGGAGGAACCAGCGGCTCCTGCTGGAGACCGGCGGCCCGGGACAGCTGGTGGTGGACGGGCGGCTTCCCCTCACACAGCGCGGCCGAGGTGACTGACCTGTTCCAGAGACGACAAGACTTTTATTCTGTTAACGTTAATAATACATTAATACACTGAGAGCCTTATTCACCAGCTTATTAGTGGAGTCTTCCGTTCCACCTTAAATGGTGCACCATTTAAGGTGGAACGGACAACACCACTGAGAAGCTGGCGGATCAGAAGCCAACTTCAGCTTAAAAGAGATTATATTTAGAACCATGGGTTCTGTATAGAACCATTTGCACGCTTACATTGTTCTTTGGGTGGTGAAGTGGTTCTTCAGGCCGATGGAGAATGGGTTGAATATGGTTCTATATAGCACCAAAAAGGGTTCTGCTGTAGTTACAATATCAAGCTTATATACAATAGAAAAACCCTTTTTGGTGCTATAGAGAACTCTTTTCAGCAAGGTTCTATATAGATATGCAACGTTCTCCATCAATCTGAAGAACCAATTCATGTGTAAAAAATCATTTAAACATGAAATGGTTCTGTATACACTCTTAAAAAATGGTTCTTCAAGGGTTCTTTTGTAGGAAAGTGGTTCTATATAGAACCATGAACACTCAAAGAACCCTTTCCATGATGAAAGCGTTCTTCAGATTGATGGAGAATGTGTTGTATATGGTTCTCTGAAACATTTCTATACGTCCTATACAGCATCATATTACTATATATATGTGTGTGTGTATATGTATGTATGTGTACATATGTATATATATATGTATGTATATATATATATATACATATACATATATAGGTTCTTCAGTTGTATCAATCTTATATGACCTTATATAACCCTATATAACTTTTAGCAATAGCAGAACCCATAGCACATGCTCTATTAGTCTGAAGAACCCTTTCATGATGCAAAGAACCCTTTAATCATGCAAAGCGTTCTTTGAGTGTTCCTGCTTCTATATAGAAACATCTTCTTGACTAAAGATAAAGTTGGCGTCTTATTGGAGTTTTCTGTTCCACCTTAAAAGGTGCAGCAGTTTGTTGCACCATTTAAGGTGGAACGGAACATTTGAACGAGACAGGGCTGCTGCTTAATTTATCAGCCCCCCTTCATCACTGGAAAGGGACCACCTCAGCATCACAGTGGCCCTGACCTGGTAATGTGGGGCTAAAAGATAGGGGTTTCTGATAAAGTGGCCACAGTTGAGGGGAAGACCCGAGATTAACTGTGCAAATTATATGTAAACTGTTACAGAAGTGCTGCACAGTGCAGGTAATAGGAGCCTGTACAGATAACAGCATCAGTGGTGGATTATATTATACCAGCGACCTGGTGGACAGTCCTAAACAGAGTCATTCAGAGCGGTTCAGAGCCGTTCAGAGTGGTTTGGTGTGAAACGCTCTGTTCTAGATAAACTTACCGAGTCAGAATCGTTCACAGTGGTGGTGATAGGAACCAGACGTCCACCTCTAAAAGCTCCCTCACAGAAAGTTACTACATGAAATGGTTATGAATTCACTGCCTGATGACTGAGACACTGTTTTATGATAGTTTAGAGAACTTAAACTCCATTTATGGTGGAGGGATAAATAATATACAGGGTGCAGTGAGGCAAAATAGTCCCCGGACATCTGAACCATTTCACACCAAACCACTCTGAATCACTCTGTTTACATCTCACACACTGAATTATGGGGGAATTTTTAAGCAAATGGTGGAATTCCCCTTTAATGTTCTAAAGGGGCCTTTTAGGTTGTTTTATTAAATGCCAGTTGTTTCTGGAACAGCCTCCCAAATAAATGTGAAGGTAGTTATAAAATATTAATATGTGTACATTAACAAATACATATGTCTAATTAAGCCAAGCATTCAGTTCTAACGGGAAAAGTCACTTTGATCTTTGACCCAGTCATGTTTAATGAGATAAAAGACATAAATATAAGTGTATTGACTGATGGCCAATGATATGTAAATAAATATATATAAAAATGTATATTGTACATAATAACTATACAGAGTATATAAGTATATTATATTTATTCATATATAATATATTTTAGATCTTTATAGCGTATAAGTAAATGACATATGCATATGTATGAATTACAAACACAAACTAAACTGAGTTAAATGTTTATTAAAGGGTGTTTCGGTCAGCTTGCCAGTTTAGTGATGCTGATTAATGTGAGGTAATGAATGTTAGTATGTATTTAGCGTATATATGTAGCAAAATTCCGATTTGAACTACTTCACAGGGAAAATATATCGGCTTTAGAACGTTTGCTAGCCGCAAAGATTGCTTCAAATATGTATTTTTAATATTGGAACTTGACTCCACCAAAAAAGTAGGTCCAGTTGCTTAGAGTTGTTGTTGCTTAGCAACCAGTCGTCACTGGAATGATACAGGTATATTAAAAAAAAAGGTCTGTTATCAGGTGTAACACGGGTGGAACCCTTTTCAGCCAGTCAGACCGTGTGGGCAGAGCTAACTGTGGACTCTGATAAATGACAGACTATTTGCAGTGTGATGCACCACAGTACAGTACGGTACAGTACACAGTAATATTTGCATGTGTGCTGCTCTCCTGCTGCGTGAGGTAAAGCAATAAAAACGTCATTACTGCACACCGAAACCGATAAAGTGACTGTTCCCAAACCACAAACCAATTATGTTAATTTTGCCTCAGCTGAGTCTCATACTTCTTATACTCAATATCATTCAGCCTAATGAGAAACTGTAGAACAGACTCGGTTTATATCACAATACCTACATTTAGAGTCGGTTATTCATTCAGCCTAATGAGAAACTGTAGAACAGACTCAGTTTATATCACAATACCTACATTTAGAGTCAGTTATTCATTCAGCCTAATGAGAAACTGTAGAACAGACTCAGTTTATATCACAATACCTACATTTAGAGTCGGTTATTCATTCAGCCTAATGAGAAACTGTAGAACAGACTCAGTTTATATCACAATACCTACATTTAGAGTCAGTTATTCATTCAGCCTAATGAGAAACTGTAGAACAGACTCAGTTTATATCACAATACCTACATTTAGAGTCGGTTATTCATTCAGCCTAATGAGAAACTGTAGAACAGACTCAGTTTATATCACAATACCTACATTTAGAGTCAGTTATTCATTCAGCCTAATGAGAAACTGTAGAACAGACTCAGTTTATATCACAATACCTACATTTAGAGTCGGTTATTCATTCAGCCTAATGAGAAACTGTAGAACTGACTCGTTGTTTATGTTCGTGTGTGTGCTTATAGACCCGGCATTGTTGGCGTCTGCGCTGCGTGGTTTGACCCCAGAGCAGCACGTTGAGCTGAGGAACACGCTGGACGAGGTGATGATGAGTGTGTCCAGCCTGAGGAATGAAGTGGCCGAGCTGCGGTCCGGCCTAAGAGAGATCGCGAGCACCATCATCGAGGATGTCCGGTGAGTGACCAGCAGTGGCCTGTTAGAGATTACTGAACAACACATGGTTTGATGCAAGCATGATTCAGGCGTGCAGTTAGGACCAGTGACCTCCGCGCTGTAGCTGCATTAGCCTCGTTCCTTTCCTCATGCAAAACTAAATAAGTCAACTTCAGAGTATTTGGAATAAAAGGGGTAAAATCTGCATGTTTGATTTTCTGTTCCTCTCTGTCTCTCTCTCTCTCTGTCTGTCTCTCGCTCTCTGTCTCTCTCTCTCTCTCTCTGTCTCTCGCTCTCTGTCTCTCTCTCTCTCTCTCTCTGTCTCTCGCTCTCTGTCTCTCTCTCTCTCTCTCTGTCTCTCGCTCTCTCTCTCTCTCTCTTTCTGTCTGTCTCTCTCTTTCTGTCTGTCTCTCTCTCTCTCTCTGTCTCTCGCTCTCTCTCTCTCTCTCTGTCTCTCGCTCTCTCTCTCGCTCTGTCTCTCGCTCTCTCTCTCTCTCGCTCTGTCTCTCGCTCTCTCTCTCTCTCTCTGTCTCTCTCTCTCTCTCTCTCGCTCTGTCTCTCTCTCTCTGTCTCTCGCTCTCTCTCTCTCTCTGTCGATATCTCTCTTTCTGTCTGTCTCTCTCTCTCGCTCTGTCTCTCGCTCTCTCTCTCTCTCGCTCTGTCTCTCGCTCTCTCTCTCTCTCGCTCTGTCTCTCGCTCTGTCTCTCTCTCTCTCTGTCTCTCGCTCTCTCTCTCTCTCTCTGTCGATATCTCTCTTTCTGTCTGTCTCTCTCTCTCGCTCTGTCTCTCGCTCTCTCTCTCTCTCGCTCTGTCTCTCGCTCTCTCTCTCTCTCGCTCTGTCTCTCGCTCTCGCTCTCTCTCTCTCTCTCTCTCTGAGCAGAAAGGGAGTGGAGGAGGGTCAGAGGTCACGCCGGAGACGTCACTACTTGCCACGGGAGCGTTCAGACTCCATGAGCTCCAGCTCCATCTACTTCACAGCCAGCACTGGCCCATCCAGTCTGTATGGCGACAGCGAGGGAGGGTACGTAACACTGTCAGTCTCTATGGCGACAGCGAGGGAGGGTACGTAACACTGTCAGTCTCTATGGCGACAGCGAGGGAGGGTACGTAACACTGTCAGTGTCTATGGCGACAGCGAGGGAGGGTACGCGACACTGTCAGTCTCTATGGCGACAGCGAGGGAGGGTATGCGACACTGTCAGTCTCTATGGCGACAGCGAGGGAGGGTACGTAACACTGTCAGTCTCTATGGCGACAGCGGGGGAGGGTACGTAACACTGTCAGTCTCTATGGTGACAGCGAGGGAGGGTACGTAACACTGTCAGTCTCTATGGCGACAGCGAGGGAGGGTACGTAACACTGTCAGTCTCTATGGTGACAGCGAGGGAGGGTACGTAACACTGTCAGTCTCTGGTGACAGCGAGGGAGGGTACGTAACACTGTCAGTCTCTGGTGACAGCGAGGGAGGGTACGTAACACTGTCAGTCTCTATGGTAACAGCTAGGGAGGGTATGTAACACTGTCAGTCTCTATGGTAACAGCGAGGGAGGGTATATAACATTATTAGTTTCTATGGTAACAGCACAGGGGGGTTTGTAACTCTGTCAGAAAGGTTTTATTACATTAATATGCGAATAGTTTCATTGTTTTTACTTACAGTCACAGTTCTGTCCAGGTGTCAGACTGATTTGGTCTAATTAAGCCGCTCAGGCTGTGATACGTCACATTATTTCAAATGTGTATTGACACTGTTTTGAACATCTGTGTGTCCCGTTGTGTGGGGGTGGGGTCACGTTTCAGACGTATGTGTTAATGTATGTTTCACGCTGTTGTTTTCGACCGCAGATATACCACAGCCTACTCCAACGTAGAATCCGACTACACGGACAGAGAGACGGATAAGGAGGAAAACGGTGAGGAGGAGGAGGATGATAATGACTCCGAGGATGAAGAGGAGAGGAGCTGCGCGACGGTGCTGACGCTCAGGCAGGATGACTCTCAGGCTGAGGAGGAGGATGGAGAGGATGATGAAGGAGCGATGGCGGCGGCGGCGGTAACGGAGGAGCCGAGTCCCGAACTGGCCCTTCTGATCACACACAGCGACCTGCTGCATGCAGGGGATTCTGGGAAAAAAGCGGAGGGGTTCCATCTGCTGAGAGAAAACAAACCACTGGTGAGTATCAGCACTGCTCACTGTTAGCCTGTCAGCGCCAGACTTAAAGCGAGAGTTTGGGAAAAAAATTACATCTCCAGTTTTTCCCCTTTATGCCAAATGTAGTCGATCAGCCAAGACACGTTTGCTTCTTTAGATTAAACCTGAACAGGAGTCGCAACCCAAATGTTAAGAAGAGCCATTTTGTACTTTCGTACTACCATTTTACCATCTTGGCTGTAAATATGTCTCAGTGTGTGCTGATGTACAAGTATAGACTAAAAAATATAATATAAATGGAAACACAGACTTACTGTGCTCTGCTTTAAGCTTTAGCTCAGCTGTCTTTATCTCAGTCAGGAAACGTTTCCGCAAAAATAGAACAGTTTCTTATTCATGTCTCTCAGCGTTTGATTTTTACGAGGCTGAGTTCTACATTAACTCCAGAGTTTAAGACCATTTACTGTTAAACTGTGTTGAACGATCAGCAGAGCTTTATTTTACTGTAAAGGAGGATTATTTTATTTTTACCTACAAATCTGATTCAGCTGTGGAGCCACAACAGGACAGTAACAGAGACACAAGCGACTCTGGAGCCACATGTTGCCGAGCCCTGACCTGGAACACTGAGGCTAATGTGACTAACAAATGAAAGCTTATACCCCTCCAATGTAGCTAGCAAGTAATAGAAACTAGGGCCGGGCAGTATGGCGATATATCGTTATTGTGATAAATGATGTCACAATTCAATACAGTACGCTTTTCTGATCATATCGTGTTTATCGTCAGTGCTTGTGGACACCACAAGTGACCAACTGCATGTTTCATTATAAAGAGAGCAAAATAAGTCTGTTTAACTGATTTAGTGCCAAATATTGAATAAAAATCACTGTGTTTACAGTTTTGATAGTATTTTTTTTAAATGTAGCTCTACTGGCTCTTTTTTCTCTGGTCCAGCAGATCAGATGTCTGAAAAAAAAAATATTGTGACACACCGAGCATTGTGCAATTTTTCTGAAGTGTTGCAGTATTATATTTTTACCATATCGCCCAGCTGTAATGGACACACTAATTAGCATGGTGCTAACTTCATGCCTTAATTACCCTCTCGCCTTAAACAGGGTGGAGCTGTTCAGTGTCTCTAATAGACTTGATTATGTGGTTTCTGACACTGTATGACTCACTGTTATCTACAAACAGACAAATTTAAACCCGTCTCTAAGGTTCAGATACCCCAGAAGGCTTTGGATCTGGTGTGTTGGATTAGGTTAGATGTGTTAGATCTGACTAACACTGGGCAGGAGGGTAGATCACCACTAATAGAGTGTAAAATACAGTAATATAGTTTATCCTAGTAAACACCACACTATAAACTCTAATGTAGTTTATTATACAGGACTGTTGCAAAAATCAAACACCACCCTTCTATTACATTTACAGAAAATTACCCAGAATCCTCAGCAGCTAAATCTAATCTCAGCTGTGTTCAGTCAGTGAGTCACTCTTCACCTTATTCCAGCTTCCACTCTTTTCAGGAGACTCACTTTCAGTTCCTCAAAGAATCTGCAGACACACCTCCAAAGTTCAGTCTTAGAAGCTGGTTGATGATTTTCTGAAGTAATCAAACTCATTCAGTGGTGTTGAGGTCTGGACTCTGGGGTTAAAGAACACCAGCAGCTTCTTTGTATTTATTATAATATTGGTGTTTTTCTGAGCGAAAATAACGGATAGTTTTACACACCATACACAATACTGGACCATACACAATACTGGACCATACACAATACCTACTGTAGATAAATGTTTATCATCAGTCGTGACCCCTATTCTCTTACACACTGTGTGTGTGTGTGTGTGTGTGTGTTTTCAGTATGCCGACAGTGTAGAGTTTCTATGGCGACTGGCTCGAGCCTACAACGATATGTGTGAGCATACAGAGGATCAGGAAGAGAGGCGGAGCTACGCAGAGCAAGGTAAACAAACACACAGCACTTTACAGAAGTGCACACAGTGCATACACGTTCATTAATAACAATTCTGTAATAAACCATTTATTAAAGCTGCACTACATACATTTTTTGAGACACATTGATGGTTGGTTCGTTTTTTTTTAGTTTTATTAAGCGACTCAAACCTGTCATTAACATGAACAAACCGGCGTCCTGATCAATAACGTCACGTGAGTGGATAACATGCGTCATAAACAGCAAAGAAACTAACGAGCAGAACGAGCTTCGCTACGGAGATGATTAACTCTGATCAGCTCTCAGTTTTATTATGATTACCTGAATTCCCATCTCAGCGTTCTCATTAACCTCGCGCGGCCATGAATTGGATACGTATCCAATCTGGGACCATATATAAAAGTGGCTCAGTTCAGATTTGTGTGTCCACACAGCTCTGAAAACATCTGAGTCACATTAAGTCAGGTTACACTTCACGAGTTATACCCCGATTCTCAGTCTGGGCTGGTCGGCTCTAGTCTGCAGATGTTTGGGTCAGTCGGAGTCGACAGTTGGAGAGAGCGTTAAGTCGGGTGTGAGCGCCGCAGACTCAGATCTACTGCCTCCCGGTCGCGTTTCAGACCAGTCAGAGTTTATCAGACATAATAAAAACATAAGCGTAATCTGGTGTAAACTGGTCAACGACTCAGTCTGAACAGATTCCTGCAACAGCCAATGAAAACTGAGAGAGAGAAGAAAATACAGCAAGTAAACAAAGAAAAATGGTGAAGAGTCTCTCACATGAGGAGCGAAGCTTTTTAATGAGCTGAGTTTAAGGCATGTTTACCTGCTGCTTCTTAACTGTATCAGTGCAAAGGGCAGAGAAAACAGCAGCAGCAGCTCACGTTTGTTTATTTGCGTCTCCTAGTAAAGCAAGAGCGCTTTAGTGTGGATCCCCAATATTTCAGTCGCCTGTTCAGACTTTAAAAGTCGTGTAGGGAACCCAAGGCTTTAGGGCAAAAATTCGGATTTGTGCCACTTCAGCCTGCTAATGCGAACGTAGCCAAACTGGGTTCCTCCCAGGCTGCAGCTCTGCCCATTCTGATCTTGGCTGATTCCAATTATGCACCAGCTTTCGACCTTTTGACCCTGCAGGTCGGGATGAGGCAGAGGCGGCGCTCCAGCGGAACGGACTGAACGCCGAATGCCACAAGTGGTGAGCAAAACACAAACACACATCCAGATTCCTCTACTGCCCTGAAATACAGCTGAACAGTGAGACGCTGGTGTGGTGAGTTACAGTGACCATCATGACGGCCGTGATTCGGTCACAGTGTGATTCGGTCACAGTAGATCATCACAGCCGGGATTTTATTCACCATAACACACCGACTCCAGAGTGCTTTACACAACAGAGAACAGCAGAATTACAGTGTTAAACAAAAAGTACAGAAGATTCAGATAAAATATGTTTTTTTTAATATTGCTCATTTCTCCCGCCAAAAAAAGCAGTTCCAGTTGATTAGAGTAAAATGGCCATTGTTGCTGCTTAGCAACCAGTGGTCAGGTTTGGTGAGAAAACATGCTGTTATCAGATTCAACAACATGGGTAGAACGATTTTCAACCAATCAGATGATTATGTGGGTGGAGCTAAGTGTTATATAAACTGATGTTAAGCATTTACACATAGTTTTTAATGTATTCTCTCTCTCTCTCTCTCTCTCTCTCTCTCTCTCTCTCTCTGGTCAGGTTTGCTGTTCTGACCGGTCAGTCGTCGCAGTACGAGAGCATGCACGGTAAACTGAAGAACAGCCACATTCTGAAGGTGAGAGTGCGCTCCAACAGCGCCACCTACATTACATTACATTACATTAGTTTAGAGGAAAGATTGAGCTTAGCTGGCGCCAGAAGACGATTGGCGTCTGAAGTTTGGCGTATTTAATTTTAGCACTGGAGCTCCGAGGCTAATGTAACTAAGAAGTTACCAAGAAAAGTAGCTCCTTTAGAGCGCGGTATCGTTGCCAAGCAACTGTGGACTTCTGAATGAGGAGAACGTTTGGTCACCCATCGCTGTATGTTGCGGTCATTTCATGAACTTATTAACTTTTTGTCGTATAATAATGAACATATGATAATGCAGCACTGTTTAATGGAGAAACCTTCACTTTATAAGCACTTTTGGTCCAAATCACCACCGAGAGTCTTATTTAGCACCAATCCAGCGGCGCCCTCTTCTCACGCTGGGGCTGAGTCTCAATCAGCTCCCTGCTCCCTACATAGTGCACTACAGAGGAGTTTAAATACTGGATCCTGCAGCCCAACAGAGCAAAATACAGCTAAGAAACAGTCATTTGGGATTCAGACTCATCCACACTCAGTACATGATGCACTGTTTGGCTGTAGAGGCTGGAATTACTAAACTTTCATAGCTAGAACACTATTTAGGGAGTACAGAGCTGTTTGGGATTCAGTCTGGGTTTGACGTGACTTCTGACTGAAACACGAACATTTGAAGGGTGTAAAACATTCAAGTGACATTTTTAGATTTTTACACTGCAGTTTTACAGTGAATCATACTGTAAGTGCTTTAATTCAAGCCTGTGATATTAATGATAGAGCTGTTTAGCCTGTTAGCTAGCTGACCAGCCTGGTTCTAATTAAGATTATAAGCTGTCAGCTCCTCAGTTTAAACAGAACCCGGTCCATGTACTAGACGCTCCATGTGAGCAGCATGAGAGTCAAAGATTATTCCATTAACAGCAGAAGTGCTGTGGCGCAGTGATACACAATTCAGTTGTTGTGAAGTGGTCACTGTACAGAAGAACACTTTATATTTATGTTTTATTGTTAAACTCAGCAAATAAATAGAAACTGTGCACAAAATGTACAGAAAGATATGAATGTACACCTCAGTGTGTTCTCTGAGGGTGTGTGAACTTATTTTCACTCAGAACGTCAACAAAACATGTCATTAGCTGAGACGTTTGCGCCCGACTGTGTGTTGTGTGACTCTTCACCTGTTTCCTCTGCAGGAGCATCTGGACCGAGCTCTGTCCCTCCGAGACGATGACCCGCTCTGCTTCTACCTGCTGGGCCGCTGGTGCTTCGAGGTGAGATTGACACACACACATCAGTCATTAGAGCACCAGCTGTCAGTCACTGCTGCTTTCAGCATCGTTCTGCCTTAAACAGACACTGATTTACACTGAATGAGCCCAAATCTTACTGCTCATATAGTTTAAAGCACTAAACGGGTTCATCAAACAGCATTAAACCCCGAGACGTCCAGCACTGCAGACCTGATTTACTGACCAAAAGTTAGTCATATGTGAAGTTTGAACGCCCTCTCTCTCTCTCTCTCTCCCCCTCCCCCCTTTACCTCTCCCCCCCCCCACCTCTCTCTCTCCCTGTCTCTCTCTCTCCCCCCCCTCTCTTTACCTCTCTCTCTCCCTCTCTCTCTGTAGGTGAGCAGGCTGAGCTGGGTGGAGAAGAAGGCGGCAGCTGCTCTGTTCGACACTCTGCCCAACTCCTGTCTGAATGACGCTCTGGAGAACTTCCTCAGGGTACTCACTCACTGTCTCACTCACTGTATCACTCACTCACTGTCTCACTCACTCACTTACTCGCTCAGTCTTATTCACTCACTCACTGTCTCACTCACTGTATCACTCACTCACTGCCTCATTCACTCACAGTCTCTCTCACTCACTCACTCACTGTTTCACTCATTCACTCCCTGTCTCACTCACTCCCTGTCTCACTCACTCACTCACTGCCTCATTCACTCACAGTCTCTCTCACTCACTGACTCACTGTTTCACTCATTCACTCCCTGTCTCACTCACTCACTCACTCACTCACTGTCTCACTGTCATATATGAAATGTTTGCTCCCGAGTGGCGCAACCGTCTAAGCGTTGGCCCTGTCATCAGGAGATCGCGAGTTCGATCCCTGGTGATGCTACAGCCGTCCGTAGCCGGGAGTCCGAGAGAGCACAATTGGCCTCGCTCTCTCTGGGTGGGTGGGATGGCCCCTCCTTCTCCCCCCATCACTCAGCGCGATGCTAGTCAGCGCAGGCGTCTGTTAGCTGACGTAACAGATCTGGCGGTTGGCGCTTTCCTCCGAGCGCATTCGGCTGTCCAGTGACGTTGCGTGAGCGGCAGTTCGAAAAGAAGCGGTGGTTGGCTTCACAGGTCTCGGAGGAAGCCTGTGTTAGCCTTCACCCTCCTAGCGTTGATAGCATCGTGTGACTGGGGGAGTCCTAACTAGCGGGTGGAATTGGAGACGACTAAATTGGGGAGAAAACCGGGTTAAAAAAAAAAAATGTTTCATTCAGATGTCAGAATGTTAAAAATGTTTTTTTGTTCTGTTTTTGTTTTGCCTTATTTTGTCTGTATGCGTGAAGGCTGAGGAACTGAACCCCGGGTTCTCCAGGACTGTGAGACTGTACATCGCCAAGGTAACACGGCTGCTTCTTGTGTCACTTACAGAAACCAGTTTCATTCCAGAAAGAAAATGAAAATTTGATTTTAAATTATTTTGACCAATTTAACCACTTCAGGGCCCAGTATCATGGCCAGAAAAACAATCCTTCCTTTTTTTAATAAAAGAGCTGAATGTAGTATGACTCTCCGGTCCATACAGTCCATATATGGAAACTAAGCTGCAGAAACAGCCCGTCGGAGAGCTGTGGACGTTGCGAGGCCCAGTCTCAGTTGAGGTTAACGTTGTCGTGTGTGTGTTTTCAGTGTCATAAGGAGCTGGGGAATCACTCAGAGGCTCGAAACTGGGCTCAGCTCGCACTGAGCATGCCCAGCACCACCAGCCAGGTACACCTGCTTACCCTCTCTCAGTGCTTTCTTTAGTTGTGTCAAAGTGTATAAAATAAAATGTACAGTTTATAACAAAAACAATCTTACATAGGGCAGCTTTTTTGCGATGGTTGAGTCAAATTTACATAATATCCCAAATGCCAGAGTCACCACATCATAAAGTCAGTTTATTAGCATCCATTAGTTTTTAGCTACGTTAGCTTCGTAGTTCTAGTGTTCAGCTATGCTAATGTACTTCAGTCCATGTTTATAGATAACAGTGAGTCATACAGAGTCAGAAACCACACAATCAGGTCTATTAGAGACTCTGAACACCTCCAGATGCTTTGAGGCAACAGTGTGATGATGTGTGTAGTTAGCACTATGCTAATTTGTTTATGTGAGCGTGAGCTACATAAGAGCTGAAACCCCAGCAGGCTCAGTGCAGCGTGGCAGTTCAGAGGCGTTCGGCTGTTTTACGCTGCAGTTTGAGTAGCTGGTGTTGGAATATAAGTGTTTAATAGTCGATTCACTTTCATGTGACATCATCCCAGTGCAGCAGTGTTGGCTTATTTATAGCATGTATGTAGCATTATTCATATTTCTGACTGCTAAACAACCTCATAATTCAGATATTCAGGCAGGAAATGTACACAGGACAAAATGTATCGACCTCAGCCTGCAATAAATTCTCAAAAACACTGTTCATTTTTACCATAGAGAAACAGGTTTGTCTTACAGAAGCAAATCTGATCTTAATTTAGGAATCTTATCTGATCTCACAGCATCTTATCCAGTTAGGAAATCTTAACCTACTCGATCACAGTCCACAATCAACTGTCATGTCTGTTTCCTAGCAACCGACCATACAGACACAGCTAAAACGTAAACAAGTCATCAAAATGTGAGTTAAGCTGCTGTTACTGATGTAAAACAGGTCAAACAGAACTAAAGTGTGATAAACTGTAAGTAGTGAATACTGTGAGAGCGCCCCCTGCTGTTTATCAGAGCGTCACCGCTCCCCAGTTTCAGTCTCCATTTCCCAAACGCTTTAGCCGAGCGCGCTAACGTTACTCCTCCTAATAAACAGACACACGTTCAGCTCCGTCTCCTCATTATTCACCACCATCACTGTAATATTTCATCATCAACATTAACACACGAAGGTGATCAGAGGGGCGGTGGAGATCGAGTCTGCAGCGTCTGAGATCTTTAAAACGCAGAGTTAGAAAAGAAAATCATCTCACAGTGAAAGCAGCGTTTTACAGTAGAAATAAATGGAGCTCATTATGCTGGTAGTGAACTATGCTGCTGACTCAGCTGCCTAAAAACCATAGAAACGGACCTTAAACAGAAGTGAGGACCCTGTTGGGTTCATCCTAAAGTTAGGACAGGATTTAGGAGGTTTAGTCTAGTTAGGATGTTTGTGTGATGCTGTTTTCTTATCTGGAGTTCATGATGAGATTATGAAGGTAGGGACCAAATTCAGTCCGTACTGAAGTCGTCATGGAGACTAAACAGTTTAGGTTTCAGACTTTCTATAAATCGACCCCTGAATTCTTAATATGGGCATCAGGACTTCAGAGGTTTATGATGACCGGCTTATGAGTGACCCGGCTTTGACTCCACCCGCAGGAAACTGGCATTTCTGGGCTGGAGGTGGAGCTCCAGGCTTTGATTGACAGCACAGCAGACAGCTAAGGCGGGGCTTGGAGGATGAGAACCCATCAGTGTAGGACTGTTTACAGCAGCCCAGAGTCTGCGCTCACTCTGCTCTACACGGCGTTTCTGTGAGGATCCTCCAGCGAATCTATCAGCAGGTCTACTAAAGGAGTTATTTTGGTGATGCTGTCGTCTTAAAATCGTGTGTGATCACAGTGTGCAAACAGGAGTGCATCACAACTTTAATATGAAGGATATTTCACAAAGCATGTTTAGCTGGAGAACTCTAGCCAGAACTGAAGACTGTCCAGCGGGAATGTCCCTCACCTCTTCTCCTATTGGACGGGCTTGACTTCAGGCTTAAATGATCCGGCTAACAGAGAAATCCTGCTTTGTGAAAACCCTCCTGGTCTTGAAAACTGACATTATAAATCATTCCAAATTTTAAAAACACATTTTTTCAAATCTAAAATCCAGAAATTAGATTCCAGTCCTGGATTTTGTATTGACCAGTAGGCCTCACACTAGGTGGCCACTCAGTTGCATCAAGAGTGAACAAGCGAGCACAAAATCCAGGACTGGAATCTGGATTTGAAGAGGTCTGTTGTAAAACATCGCTGTGATGTGAAAACCTCGTAACCTCGCTGTCATTTTGTGATAAACGGACCAAAATATGATTCTAAATTTAAAAATAAAACATTTCAATTAAAATCTAGTGGCAAAATTTTAGGAGGTACGAGGTTTTGCAACAACAGTGATGGGGAAAAAAGGGTACAGTACTCACTGACCTTAACAGGGGAACTCGACCAAATTTTCAAACATTCCTGCGTAGTTCAGTGTGTGAGATGTAAACAGAGTGATTCAGAGTGGTTTGGTGTGAAATGGTTCAGATGTCTTTACAGTGGTGGTGATAGGAACCAGGGGTCACCATGACTACAACACAAATATAGACATTTTATTTACTATCCAGAACCACCAGTGAACCTACACGAGTCTTCTGAGTTTATATGGAATGTTGATGATGGAAAATAGTGGAAAATCTGAAATAATAAGTTTTCTTTGGGGACTATTTTGCCTCACAGCGCCCTGCATGTATCCCTCCACCATGAATGGAGTTTGAGTTCTCTAAACTATCCTAAAACAGTGTCTCAGTCATCAGGCAGTGAATTCATAACCATTTCATGTAGGAACTTTCTGTGAGGGAGCTTTTAGAGGTGGACGTCTGGTCCCTATCACCACCACTGTGAACAATTCTTTTGGAGCGTTTCACACTAAACCACTCTGAATGACTCTGTTTACATCTCAACCATTTAGTTATGCAGAAATTTGGAAATATTGGTGGAATTCCCTTTTCCTGGGAGCATCACTAAAGTGTACAGTGTTCTGCCTTTAACAGTTGAGCATTTTTGCTGAGTTACAGGTGAGTTTGAGTGCTTCTTCCAGCAGGATCCACCTGCATGACTTACTGAAGTTCGTCTTTGTGCACGATATTTATTAAAGTTGAACTAATTTACATTTTTCCTGAGATATAGTCGGGGCTGTGCTTATACACCTGATCTGAGTTCAGTCTAAAGGCAGCACTAATTTTAAAGCAGTGGCCCAGATATTAAATATCAGCTAAATGAATCTGTTTGAGCTATTTTGAGTATTTATTTTAGTTTCTTACGTTTTAATTTGTTACTTATAATTTGCCTTGTTTTTATGTGTCATGGTTGCCGTGACCTTAATAATGAGTAATTTAAGTACTGTTTTGATTGAGGTGAATAATGATAACCTCTATAATCCTCTGACTCCTTAAACATTTACCTGAACGCCTGACAGATTGTGACGTCTTGCAGAGAAACATTCCAAGTGAAAAGTGTTTCAATTTTAACACAAATAAAGAGTGAAATATAATGAAAACATGATTTACTGTCTTTCTCTGATTTACTGTCTCTCTCTTTGACTGATTTTTTTGCGTTATTCACTGATTAAGATGTAAACAGAGTCATTCAGAGTGGTTTGGTGTGAAACGCTCTGTTCTAGATAAACTTACCGAGTCAGAACTGTTCACAGTGGTGGTGATAGGAACCAGACGTCCACCTCTAAAAGCTCCCTCACAGAAAGTTCCTACATGAAATGGTTATGAATTCACTGCCTGATGACTGAGACACTGTTTTAGGATAGTTTAGAGAACTCAAACTCCATTCATGGTGGAGGGATACATGCAGGGCGCTGTGAGGCAAAATAGTCCCCAAAGAAAACTTATTATTTCAGATTTTCCACTATTTTCCATCATCAACATTCCATATAGACTCAGAAGACTCGTGTAGGTTCACTGGTGGTTCTGGATAGTAAATAAAATGTCTATATTTGTGTTGTAGTAATGGCGACCCCTGGTTCCCATCACCACCACTGTAAAGACATCTGAACCATTTCACACCAAACCTCTCTGATTTTTCATATTATTTGTACATTTACCCCGATCCCTGCTGGGCAGTGCTGAGTAATACATTGTCTATACCATAATTTGAAGTTTTAGAGATCCTCCAGTCCAGAGTTCCTGTTGCCAAGTGGTTTATTTATTCATTTATTTATTCTTTATTATTGACGCTTTGCTCCAGAACCGGAGGCTTAACTGCAGCGCATCACCCTCAGTGAGACTCAGATTGTTCTGAAGGCATAATCTTTACTAATGCTAACATTTTCAATAATATAAAGCCAGTTTGGTTTCAGATCAGCGTATAAACGTTTGTAATCTGCTCGTCCTGATCAACCTCACAGCTTCCAGATCATCAGGACGAAGCTGCAGATGAAAGTTGTAAATACATGTTAGATGTGTTCAGGATGAAGAATACAGAGGACCCGATCTGCCAAAAAGAAAAATAAATAAAATTAAATATAATTGACTCGGTAAATTAATATATACCTAATTCTAAGCCTGACCATGAAAAACACGCCCCCTCGTTATCATATGAACAAAGAAATACAGAAATAAAGTAATGAAAAAATAAATGAATTAATTAAAAGATACATGAATAAATAAATCAATAAATAAAGCGAACAAATGTTAAAAATATGGATACAGAAAAAAATAAAATGAACAGGCATTATTAAAAAAAAATACAAAAATAAATAAAATAAAGATAAATATAAAAATAAATAAAATATATAACTGCAGAAAAAGAACAAATATGTATAATTACAATCAAAATAAGCAATATATACTTTATTTTATAAAACATTATTTTGATTATTATTTATTAATTTACTGAGTTTTTAAAAATTTTATTAATTTTTCATTTTGGCAGATCGGGTCCTCCATAGAAGAGCAGAGCTGTAGACGATCCTACAATAACTCAGAATGCTGTATAATTAAGTTCTTATCAAAACTGAGTATATTTCAAAAGTAATCAAATCTCAAAGCAAACAAAAGCTAAACGCATAATTTCATTCCTTTATTCACTGAATTTTAGAAATACTGAATAAAATATATAAACATACCATTTTGTGATTACTTTGTAATATTTAAATCCACACTGTATAAGTTATTATTGTAAATAAAATAAATTCTTAATATGACAAACAAGTCATCAGACTTTAAATACAGCTCCCAGCTTATTTTAACATAGCAGGGAAAATTTGACCAATTTTGAAAATAATTTCCTCCTTTTATTTAAAGAACATCCCGCTGGCCTCTTTGTGTCCCCTAATAAACATCATGACAAACAATAAAACAGGTTCAGTTCAGAGTATTTTATGTACAGAAAGAATACAGTTCAAACAGAAGTAGCAGAAGAGAACAAACAGAAGAAAGAACACAAATAATAATGCCAATATTAAATCACTGCTAATTACCCGATAAATACACCACCCAAAAAGGAATGAGAAAGCAAGTCTGTCTGCGGAGGGAGGGGTTAATAATTTCATTAAACACAGGAACTCTCGGTTCACTCTCATCCTGCAGGGGGCGCCACACCACTGCTCTTCATCCACAAACACACACGAGGGGGGAACCTCTAAAGGAACAGCTCAGCCAGCAAAGCTAACACTGCTAACAATGAATGGAAGTGAATAGCCAGCTGACTCATACAGTGACGTCCAGAGAGGCCACGAGGGAGTGACCACTTTCTGGACTGTTACTTTGAGATAACGAGTTAATTATCTTGTTATCTCAGGATGACAAAATTGTTATTTATAAAAGTTATTTATCTTGTTATTTCAAAAGAAAATTATTTTGAAATAATGAGTTACTTATCTCAAGATAAAAGTTATCTTAAGATAATTAACTATCTTGTGATCTCAAGATGACAAAATTATCTTGAAATAAGTTACTTATCGAGATAAACGTTATCTTAAGATGAGTTATCTTGAGATAAGTTATTTATCTTATTTCAAAATACCAAAATAATCCTAAAAAAATCCTCAAGATAACAATCCAGAACATTCTAGTAACAGCTCATGGCCTCTCCAGACTTCCAGTTTCATTCATTATTAGTAAAACAGATAAATGGGTAAAAATATCTACAACCACTGGACAGTAAATGGATCTGACCGATATTCCGGACTGATCTGTGTTTATTAAACTCCGGAAGAGCAAAATGTGCAGGTGTGTTTGTGACTCTGCAGAAATAAATGCTGTTTTTCTGTGAAAGAATGATTTGAGAATCAAATTTCTCCCATTTTTTAGTTTTAGCACTGGAGCTACGAGGCTAATGTGGCTAACAAGTAATAAAAGCTTATATCCCACAATTAGCATAAAGCTAACCGCATCACTCCGCATTAAACCATGTGGAGTCGTTGAGCTCAGACTCGCTTACGTTGTTTACGACACTTCATGACTTATTATTACGCTCTATAAACTATTATTACATCTATAAACGTGGCCTAAAATATGTATCAGAAACATTTGCATGTTGCCGTGATGCAATTCAGTGGGGTACCAGCTTAAGCTACTTGTTAGCTGCATTAGCATCCAGTGCTAACACTAAACACGTCTCCGCTGGTGGATTTACTGTGTGAATGAGATTTTTGGGTGAACCATTCCTTTAAAGGCGTTCGGTATTATTATGGACATTATTCCATTATTATGGACAACAATCTGCATAAATCTCACTTGAATGTAAACAAAAGGTCAGTTCAGAGGAGCTGCTTCTGTTTACATCAGGCTGTGCGTCGTATACTGTCGTATCAGATCCGTGGAGGGTGACTCACGACCGTGGAGGCAGCGCCAGGTCAACCACAGGTTAAAGCAGCACACTGTTATACGAGTTTCTCTTCGCTTATTAACGAGTCATTTCCTCCCGAGACGGAGCGAAGTGCGAGTGTAACTCATCGCCATGTGTTTCAGTGAGAATCCAAACCGTCCGGCTCGCTCTCTCTCAGTCCTTGGCGTCTCCGACTCCGTCCGCATTGATGGCGAACATGGCCTCTGCCTCGGGCAAACAGGGAGAGTCGTAGATCTTACAGATTCTGGTCTCGCCTCTTCCCTTCCTCAGATACAGCCTGAAAGACGAGAGATTAAGCAAGAGTTGAAGTTGTATCACCAAATGAGCATCAGCTGTAAATACACAGTGAGTGTGGTGGTCCTCTCCACTGAGCTTGTCCCCCTGACCCTGGAACGAGGCCCTGTTTAGCTACAGATGTTACTCTCTGGGCAACATCGGCTTATTTAATGACCTGGCTGGTACTGGAAAGATCCACGTGAACGACCAGAGCTTACAGTGAGCTACCGTGTTTTCAATCACTGTGTTATTAAGGTTGCACAAAGCTTCCTTTATTGTTACATGCACATGTGTTTATGTTTACACATTTTTTATTTATTTATTTGTGTGTATATATGTGTACATGTGTGCGCGCGCGCACACACACACACACACACACACACACACACACACACTTCGCCATAACATCATGGTTTTTCATGAACACTGTATCAATGACTGACAGCTGTAGGAGACACTGAAGCCATTTGGTGCTGCCAAAAGGTTACTATGTTATTTTAGGTGGTTGCTATAGTGTTACAGGTGGTTGTTAGGGTGTTGCTCGGTGGTTTCTATGGTAACCATGGTGGCTGCCAAGGGTATTCCAGGTGGTTGCTATGGTATCATCAAGAAAATGAATCAGATACCACCATACAAGCACTGATTACCTATTATAATGGAATTCTGGATGCTTTCAGTTAAAGTCTTTAACTCAGCAGCTTTTTGGTGAGCCAAGAAACACAATAGGTAATGATTTAAAAAAATGCATTGCAACCCATTTGGTTTGCAACATTTGCATAAGCAAGTTGAAATCATGTGGGTGACAGTGGCACAGCGTCTATTACGAGAGGTAGCGGCACTGTGCAGTCTTACCTGGTAGTGGAGGCGTGTGCTAAGATGTTTCCTCCGATGGGCTTTTTTGGATCTGCAGAGAACATGGCTGCTCCGTCCACCTGAGCTACAACCTGATTAGTGATGACGACCGCAACACCAAACTACACAGGAAAGAGGAGACAGTCAAATTTGTTTACTTGTCAAACAGCAACAAGCGAATTTTGTCCACGTATTACGGCTCGTATTCGGAATAGAAAACTGAACTCTTCGTCTGAATGGTAACGGTGAGTTTTCACACATTAGAGAACAATACTAAGAGGCTAAATTCACAGCATCCAGGTGCACAGACGTAATTCAAATGCTGCCGAATTGGTGTGTCGTATCCCTCCGTCACACCCTAGAGCACCTCTCGGTCTACGTTCTATACCCGTGAGGTGCGTTAGCCTGTGCGGGTGTCTCACCTCGTCAGCGAGGCGCAGCAGCATGCGGAGGAAGCGTCCCAGGTGGCCCTGCCGAGCCGACAGCTCCCCTCTTCCAGAATAATCCGTCCTGTACAGCGCTGTGGCACTGTCTACTATCAGCAGCGCATATCTGAGAGAGACGGGAAGAAAACAGAGAGAAATAAACCATCACCAAAGCAGAAATCAGCTCAAGCATCACCATGTATTTTTGTTATAATCGCCCTTCCATCAACTCTGCGCACGTGTGTGTGTTACGCACCTGGACTCTGCCATCATAGCCGAGGCCTGGTACAGCAGCTGCGTCTGATGGTCGGTGTTGAAGGCTCGAGCGTAAGCTACGTTATCCAGGACGTCACTGCCCACCAGCCCGTACCTAAAACGCAGCAGAGGGATGTGTTTAAACTTCAAACTGCACACGAGGGACACGTCCACAGCCGGACGCATCCGGACCGCCGCACAGCACTAAAAGCAATAAAGAGTAGGCATGACAGGGTTATCAGCTGTAACGATGTACCACAGTATATAAATTATTATATTTACCTCAGTATAAAAGATTACGACACATTTCAATCGTTCTAGTAATTTTAGTGGTTTTTAAACATTTCCAATATATTTTAATCACCGACGTCATAATAGGGAATTTTCATACCATCCCTAATAAAAACTTTCCACTTCTAAATGTCACCCTTAAGGCCTGTTCAGACTTCTTGGGGAGACGACGTTTGCCTGGCTTCAGCAAACAATGTGACGTAATTGCGGAGAAAATAAACAACCGCAGACGTCGCGCAGAGGCTTCGGTCGCCATGTCACGAACATGGCAGCTGGGCGAACTCCATGGACGAAGATGCGACGCAACAAAGCCTCTGACTGGTTGGTAAAAAAGAGGCGTGCCATTTAACAAAGACGGACAACTTTAAGGAGCTTTGGCTTTGGCAGACACACTAATATTTCACTGTGAAACGCACATCTGTTAAATAAACAATGAACATCTCCTAAATGTAAGATATTAAGTCTATTATTCGGTGCTACTAACTAGTACTGAGCACCAAAACATACAGGTTCTTATATTTAGGTTCACGAGAGGACGAGGCTGAAGTTGGCTTTCTATTCACCAGCTTCTTGTTCGAATTTCCCCGTTCCACCTTAAATGATGGCAGTATTCTGAACTCAAACGTCGCCATAGTTAGAGCTATGAATCCGCGACAGGCAACACCAAATCGCAGAGAGTATTTGAGCTTGTAAGTTCGCAAAGGCGATTTCAGCTTCGCACAACCCTCGAGAATTCTGTTTCGCAAGAAGTGCGCTGAGGCCTTTCCTGTTGCAGTTCTCACCTCTCAGCGACGGCCAGAAGCCTCTCTGGACGGAAGGTGCCCTCTGTGTCGATGTACATGGCTTTCCCTTCCCCTCCGCCCTGATCGATAGGCAGCTGGCAGGTGACCGCCAGCGTGTGGCACAGCTGAGTCTTTCCAGTACGGAACTCCCCGAACATCTCTGTGATGGAACCCGTTTCGATTCCACCTGAATAAAAAGAGGAGAGAAAGACTGTTAACCTCCGGGTTGCTACATCGCTTGCTGAGCCATGTTGTCAAATCACAGGAAGCTCAGTTCTGATACAAGACGCTGCCTTTTGTGCTCAGCTTTAACTTCTCATTTGTTCATCAGCTGCAATACAACTGATTTCAGCAGATCTCTCACCCTGCAGAAGCTTATCCAGCTCTTTGGATCCTGTGGAAATCTGGATGATCTCAGCTCTGCGCTGGTGGAACTCGGTCGCCGTGGTGAAACCCATAGGAACCAGCTTAGCGGCCTCCGTCTGCAGAGGAGACAAATACAAGCTCAGAAACTCACAATACTCAAGTATCAGAGACACAGTTTACACAGAACATTCAAGTCATTCAATAAACAACTTTAGAATTTATCATTAATTAATTATTACTCAGTAAATCTTCAGCTGGCAAAGGATTTAAACACTTGGGCCTGTCGCAATCATGACATTTCAGCTAATGGTTAATCGTATCAGAATTAATTATTATTAATAATTGGTGTTTTTCTGTTTATTTTATGCAACAATAAAGGTACAAACCTAAAGCGGCCAAAAAGGCTCATCAGTTATCTTGGTTCTGAGCCATCTTATTGGTAGGCAATGCCAACTTGTCCTGACATTAAATTATATACCACACTGTTGTAGGCGCGCACACACACACAGTCAATGTCTATAGAGACCAAAAACAACAAAAGGTCTAACTTGATGCTGTTACTCATTTAAAGGGCAGCAGTGAATGTTTGTTTATTTCTCATCTAGTTAGCAAATATTTCTCAGTTACAGCCTCAAATAAGAACTTTGTCTCTAAGGGCCGAAACACACCTACGCAAGGACGCGAACGCAGACGCTTCGAGCTGCGCAGACGGGGTTTCACACGAAGTTGCGTTCAAAAATGTGACCAGTTTCTTAACGCAACGCAAACGCTGCATTCTGAGCGTTACAGCAGGGGGGCGCTATAACAGCCAAACCTGACCAAGCGGTCTTGTACCGCCAGCGTGCTTCTCAACTGCCCTAGCAGACGAGCAGCTGAGTCTCAAGCGAAGACGACATAAAAATGATCAATTATATTATAGAATTAATCGCGTTTCCAATCCAGCAGAAGAGGTAAAGCAGCTCACTCTCCTCTAATGTCCATGTTTAGCTGTTAAGGCTGTTGGAATAACAGTAGATCTTCTCTGATTTGTCCTCTAGCGCCCCCTTCAGTACTGAGTGTTTTAACCGCCAAAGCAACGTAAGAACGCACGGTAAGTTTGTACAGGAGGACCGAGTGTTTGCAGTGTATTGGCTGAGCGCCGTCATTCGCGTTCGCGTCCTTGCGGAAAATATGTTTCGGGCCCAACTGCTATTTCTGTAAGATCCATGAAGTTCCTCAATAACCACATTTACCACTTTCTTTTATTTGTGTTTCTGTGCCTCAAACTGATGCAGAATTCACACGATCATAAAATCTGTTTATTTATTTATTTTTTTTGCAGTCAACTTAAACAATCACTCAATCACTCAAATAACTGCGATTAGGCGATTATGTAGTATTTGTGACAGGCCTAGCCTAAATCGCTCGGCCGGTTCTGCCTAGTCTCACCAGGATCTTGTCGGCTTTGGCCTCACTGATGCCCTTGATGTTGAGCAGCTCTTTCTTGGGGGCGTACGCCACGGCCTCGATGGTGTGGAAGCCAGCATCCTCCAGCTTCTTCAGGTCGCTGGCACTGATACCGCACTGCTGCAGGGCGTGAACACAAAAGGTTGTTCATCAACAGTCAAAGGCGGAAATGTTTTCTCAGAATAAGAACTTTTTTACACAATTCACAATGAATTTAAATAAAACAATCATGTATAAGAAACAGCAAAAGCAAAAACAACTGAAATCATAGTTCATTTAATAAAAACAGTAATAATAATAAAGAGAAACATGTAAAGCTCTGAAACAAAGAAAATATAATAAATCATTATGGAAAAAAAAGCATGTTTATCAGGGAGCTTTACGAACTGGACCACCTTGCTGGTGTACAGTCTGAGCCTGTAGCTGATCTGTTCATGCAGAGTTTGGGTGTGTAATCTTCTAGTCATTCATCAGTAGTGAGTTTCTGACCACAGAGCTTCTTCTGGATGGATATTTTTGGGTGGTGGACCACTCAACCCAGCAGTGACCCTCATTAATTGGTAAAAGATTTACGGATGCAAGAATTTTCATGACTTGGGGATGCAGAGTGGTGCAACCGTCCAAATAATATCTAGTCAGTGATTGTGTTGACATGCACTCAATAATCCGATAACTACAGAAAATCAGATTTTGTCAGTAATCCAATCAACACGTTTATATGCTCTTGGGTAATCAGATAATGGGGAAACTCCAGGTCTACATGAGTCAGACATTTGTGCTTTACAACCAGCCAATAAACTCACAGAAGACGACGTGACGTAAACGTAACATAAAACTTAAACTTCATACCGCTGCTTTTTTTTTTTTTTACCTGAAAATATGAACTCACATCATCTAGAAGATGAAGAATATTTAAATCCTTTATTTCTTGTTTGGTTTCAGTGCCGCTCCAAGTGTGCTGCTGTGTAACGCGACATCCAACGTCTGATCTCATGCATGCGCAGGCTGAGAAATCCGATAGAAATCGGAGTACGAGTTTACATGCACTGAGAAATCTGATTACCAAGCTAAAATCCAGCCTCTTTATTAAATTTTCTAAATCAGATTTCTAGATCGGAGTATGGGGTTTACATGACCATTTAAATAAATCGGATAACTGCAGAAATCCGATTATGATACGCACTCGTCGATGGTCCTACGGTGGCCCCCTTCATCGATGAATAGGTTGGCGGAGGGCTCTTGTCTGTTCGCTGTCTGAAGCCTGAGAGGGAGTAGAAGACGTATTATATCTATCTGTGTATAAATCGGTGCCGTACCTCCAGACGGTTCAGCGGCTGTGGTCCAAAACTCTCCTCCTCTTCAACCTCTGCCTCCAGCTCCACTCTGCTTTCACTCCTCATAGCCATCTTTAATAACCTGGATCATATTTACATACGTATGTGACATGCAGTCCACCTAAAGCTAAAACATCATGCAATGTGTTTGTGTATATCACCGCTGTCGGGAGAAACCTGGTACCTCCAAAACTGTAACTTTATAGGAGAAGGAAAAAACATACTTGCTCTTAATGTAAGTCAACTGAACCAGACTTTTTTCCAAGTCATTTTGGGTGATTTGTTTTAGTTCATTTATCATAAAATGTACATACAATGTAAAGGGCAACAGGTATATTCAAATGATGTCAAAAAATGAAAAACATCAAAAATGGAGATACAAGGTTTTCTTCCAACAACAGTGATTGAGATTTTATATATACATACATATATATTGTATGTATGTACAAACACACTTAACACATATATAGATACATACACACAGTCAACTAATCACAATTATAAGGTTACGACTGAAAGCTTTATCAGTTTTTATAGGACCCTATAGATGATGCAGAGATGCACAGAGGCCTTAATTGTTAAACTATGTTGATTCGAATTTCCCCGTTCCACCTTAAATAGCAGCTACAGTAGTTAGTAACTTTCCAGCGCCTCAGCCTCTTGTTCGAATCTGCCCGTTTCACCTTAAATAGTGCAGAAGTCACATTCCGGCGCATTGTTTTACCATTTAAGGTGGAGCGGGAAATTTGGAACGAGAAGCTGAGCCCCCAGAATGTAACGGCTTGCCACCATTTAAGGTGGAACGGGAGAATTCGAGCGAGAAGCTGGCAAACGGAAAGCCGACTTGAGCCTCGACTAGATTACTTCCACAAATGATCACGATTAGTCCAGTCAAGCGTGCGGTCACCAGCTGCAGTGACCGTCTGTCCACCGCTGTTTGTCCGATCCACTCGCCTACAGTTCACAGCGCCAGAGAACTGTGTATTCGCTGTAACACGGCTCGTATTCGGCTTTAGCTCGTTAGCCTCCCCCGCTAACTCAGAGACCCGCGGCCGCGGTCAACGCGCAAAACAAACCCAAATATCGGACATTAAAAACTTGAATCCGCGTAAAACCGCCGCAGTTTGGTGTTCTAATATGTTACTCTTAAACTACGCCGACGGTTCAACCAGCAGAACAACATATATTATTTAAATCGAAGGAGAAACGATCAGAGCAAACTCACCGACTCGCCTCAGATCCAACTTTCCCGCGCTCCGCGTCATCGGCCACATGACAACGGCGACGACGTCAGCTGAGGCGCCACGTCATGCTTTCCCCACCAATCAGTGATTTCATCTCTCTCGATTTTTGTGTACACTCCTAAAAATGGTTCTTCAAGGGTTCTTTAGTGAAGGAAACCATGGGTTCTGTATAGAACCCTTTTGCATTAACTGGTGCTTTTCATGGTGAAATGGTTCTTCAGACTGATGGAGAATGTGTTGTGTGTGGTTCTATATAAAACCCTTTTAAAAATGGTTCTATGTAGCACCAAAAAAGGGTTCTTTTACTGTATACAAGCTTGACTTCATGACAATAGCAGAACTCTTTTTGGTGTGCTATATTGAACCATATTAAAATAGGTTCTATGTAGAACCGTTTCATGCTTAAATGGTTTGCTGCATGGTAAAATGGTTCTCCAGATTGAGGAAGAATGTGATGTATATGGTTCTATATAGCACCAAAAAGGGTTCTTCTATCGTTACAAACTTAACATCATAACAATAGAAGAACTCCTTTTGGTGCTATTTAGAACCATTTCCAAAAAGCCTTTTTGTGTGTGTGTGTGTGTGTATATATATATATATATAGAGAGAGAGAGAGAGAGAGAGACAGAGAGAGACAGAGACAGAGTTGAAAGTGATGCAATTATGTGATTGTACACCAGAACCACTATAAAGGTTTTATTTTATTTAATATTTATACTTGAGATAAAAAAATGGTTACACCACACCAAAAACTATTGAAAACCCTTTTAATTTGACTTAAAAGGGCAATTCCACTGCTTTTTAATAGCCACAGTCCATTAAATTTCTGCATAATTCAGAGGTTTGATGTGAAATGGTGCATTGTAGAGGGGGACGACATGGCAAAAATGTTATGAAATATTACAAAAATCTTTCACGATAAACAATACGTCACAAAGTAGTGCCTCAATTAAAAAATACTATCAAAATCTATGAATACAGTGATTTTAATTCACGCTGCGCTGCACTAAACCCAGTTAAACAGGACTAATGATGCTCTCTGTAGTCAAACATGGGTAGTTGGGAACTGTTTTCTGACAGTGTCCACGATATACCCAGAAAAGCATATTGCAACATAATGTGTAATGTGTAATGTGTAAACTTACCGAGTCAGAACTGTTCACAGTGGTGGTGATAGGAACCAGACGTCCATCTCTAAAAGCTCCCTCACAGAAAGTTCCTACATGAAATGGTTATGAATTCACTGCCTGATGACTGAGACGCTGTTTTATGATAGTTTTGATCTTAAAAACTTTTCTGTCCAGAAAAAAAAATTCTGGACAGTGAACTTTGGGTGGGCCAAATAAAGACCAATATTGTTACATCGCCCACCCAAAGTTCACTGTCCAGAAAATTACTGGCAAATATACCCAAACAAAAAACTTCTGAGTTTTTAAGATCAAAACTATCATAAAACAGCGTCTCAGTCATCAGACAGTGAATTCATAACCATTTCATGTAGTAACTTTCTGTGAGGGAGCTTTTAGAGGTGGACGTCTGGTTCCTATCACCACCACTGTGAGCAGTTCTGACTCGGTAAGTTTCTCTAGAACAGAACGTTTCACACCAAACCACTCCGAACGGCTCTGTTTCCATCTGAACCACTTAATTATGCAGAAATTTTGAAGCCTCGGTGAAATTTCCCTTTGACAGACTATTTAATATCGACATAAATACATTTCAGCATAACAATATAATTTCATAATAATGTTTTTCTGCTGAACATTAACACCACAGTACCCAACAGCTGAATTACACTCTCAAAAAAGATGGTTCTTCAAGGATTCTTTAGTGAAGACAATGGTTCTGTTTAGAACCACGAGTTATAAATAGAATCATCTGCATGATTAAATGGTTCTTTGTATCATCACATGGTTCTTCAGATTGATGGAGATTGTGTAGTATACAGTTCTATATAGAACCTTTTTGAAAATGATTCTATATAGCACAAAAAAGGGTTCTGCTATTATGATGTCAGGCTTGTAGAATTACCTATTGTTACATGTTTGACATCGTAACCACAACAGAACCCTTTCTGGTGCTACACAGAACCCATTCTTCATCAATCTGAAGAACCATTTCCCCATGCAAAGACTCATTTAAGCACGCAAATTTTTTTTCCAGTGTTTATGGGTCTATATAGAACCATTTTCTTTATTAAAGAACCCTTGAAGAACCACACTGTTAAGAGTGGATGAGTAAATTCACCAGCAAAACAGACAGAAATAAGCACTTACCCAGTAGTCAAACCCAAAACTTGAGAATTTTGTCACAGATTTAGTCTAGAATTGGTTAAAAGATTAAAACACTGTCCATCCAGTCATGCGGTTCTAGTTCTGCAGTAACCGATAATAAAACAGAACCAAAGTCAGTCTGTACAGCTTAGATTATTTTGGGGGTTTCTAATTTAGTTTCCCACAACCTCTCCAAAACATTCTCTCCTCAGAACATGTGAATTTGAATTTGTCTACTGCCAAGGAAACTCCTATCACAGTCACATGCAAAAGTTTGTGCACCCCTGATCCAATGTCATGATGTTATTGATTTTCTGTTAATAAGTTACACATCCTCTACAGAGACACACTTCTGCACATTTTAATACACAATCACTATTTATTTACTGCATTTAACAGATTGGGGGAAAAAATAAAACATAAAATGTGGTCGGTGCAAAAGTGATGGCACACTTTATAATTTATGTTTTATTTTTTATTAAGTTTGCAGAGAATGTGTCCACAAAAACAAGCCACTCGACCAGGGGTGCCCACACTTTTACGCATGTTACGCATTAATGTCAAAACACATCAGCAGAAATAAATACATCTAAATGAAATCAGTCACATATATTACAGTATGTTATAGTGAAAAACTGAAAAATGCTGCACAGTAAACAGAGAGCAGGAGGCTCTAAATGCTAAAATGAACTTTTTCTTTTTTCTTCTTCATTTATTGAACAGGTTGGATTTGTGTATTTGTACAGGTTTAGGTTGAGGATTAGGATAAGGGGGTGTTTGATTTGTGCTGTTATAATGTCAATAGCCTTAAACCAATGGACGACCTAAACAGAGAAAAAAATTGCTGCAATCAGACTGTATCCCAATTGGAGCTGCCTTATTTGAGTGTGCTGATGTCCGGAATCGAGACTGATTTCATGGAAATGTAAAGGAAGCACAGTAATAAATCTGTGAATTTGGTGTAGATATTTTTCCTAATTGTCTTCGACTCGTTTACAGTTTCTATACCAGCAAATTCAGGGTTCATAACTATCTTATATTACTGCTATTCATAGGCACATTCAGTAGAATTATAAATGAAAAGTCTCACTCAGCCCGTAAAGCTTCTGAAGATCTTACTGGCCTGCACACTCGCACAGGCCTTCTAGCTTACATCATATTTCAGTTGTCCTCACACAGAGAATATAGTCCTGGTGGCATCACTTCACAATGGCTGCTCCTCTTTTATCCAGTCATCTGTACTTTAAAGCGGTTTCGGCCTCTCGTACGGGTTCTCCACGCTGGTGGCCTCCGTGGCAGTGCTGGTCTTCTCTGAGGTCATCTGGTCCCCCACAAACTTGCTAGTCTTGTAATAATAAATGAACAGGAAGAATCCTGAGGAGAGACACAAACAGATCCACACTGAATCGGCCCATTGGGTTTTGTTGGGCTTTGTTGTGACCTGCAAGTAATGTCCACTTAGTATTTCCCACCATGGGAACTGATGCCCATGATGACCATTTTTCTTGTATTTTAGTTTTTCCCGTGATGACCACTTATGACATTTATGTATCAAATATAATCATAATTTTTCTAAAATAGTGATTTTCAACCTCTCTTTATCCCTTAGAGTTAAACAGGCTGTTTTTGTTACTGGGCCTTTAAGACTGATCTGTAAATAAGCCCCTTTCTGATTGGCTGCCCTGTATTGAGGCTCATTCAGAAAGTAGGCAGGGCTGAAACACTCCTTATAACTTCAGCGTGAATGGGCGGGGCTAACCTGCCATAGGCTGAATAGACAGACATAGTGACATCACTAAAACAACAAATTCACAAAGGTTTTTGCAGCTCAACTTCTATGGACTGTGTTCGGACTGTGGAGTGAACGGTATGTTGATGTTTACAGTGATTTTGTCATTATTAAAGGGACGAAGCAGAGTAAAACCATCTTACCGGTCATAATATTACCATAACACACAGCCTTAGGTGGCTCATTACTTTCATAATAGGGTGGACACCATAAGATATAATAAAATCCACAATAATTAATGTAAGTTATAATTAATAATAATTCTTCCCCCAAGAAAGTTGTTTTTCTGTTGTTTTACTTGTTCAGGAGTTAATATGGTTGTATAAATCTATCATATGTATTTATATTTCATATACGCATGGACGCTCTCGTGCACATACACAACACACATTCATATTCAAATGTTTTTGTTTAATGTGTTATGTCGATGTTAATATTTAAGTTATTTGAGGTTTGTTTTATGTCATTATTAGGTTGTATATTATTTTGCATTTTTCATTATGTTGTGTAATTTTATAGTTATTTAGGTGGAGGCTACTTTAGCATAAGTTATGGTCGCCTGTCCTTGTCCTGCCCCAGAAGGACAAGAACGTTCAGTAGCCCAAGTCAATAATGAACATATCAAAATATCAACATATCAAAAAAGTATTAATTGTAAAAACCTTGGCTTTACATGTAGTTTTTGCTGAACAAGTTACCACCGCGACGACGATGCTAATTTCCATTAGCGCCTCCATACGATTTCCAGTCTTTTATTAGCATCAAGCTAACGTCCCTTTTCTCCACGCTGGGGCTGAATCTCAAATGGCTTCGTGCTCCCTACGTAGCTAGCGCACTACGCAGGAATTAAAGCACTGTCTCCTCCTCCCAAACAGGGCATAATATATCTAACAAACAGTCATTTGGGAATCAGCCGCGTCCATCCTGGACAACCTGTGCACTGTTTGAGTGAAGAAGCCAGAAATTCATAAACTAACACAGCGCCCTACATAGGGAGGAGGGAGCGAACTTTATTTGAGACTCAGCCTGCCTTTAGTCGCTAGTAACGGCAGATCCGACTAAAACACGACACGTGAAACGTTATATTGCAGTTTTTCAGTGAGATTATGTATGAAGCATGTTAGACAGCTGATCAGCCCAGTTCAGGTTGAGAAAATAAGTTTTCAACCCATCAATTTAAAACAGAATTGGCTGTTTTTGGTCCCAGTAAACAGCTTTACGGTCCACTTGTTGTGAAGCATTCATTGCGCATATTTTGCCTTCGAACGCGGCTCAGCCAATCAGCTTTCAGAACCAGAACCGTGCGTTATTTAAAATCTCCAGTTTAACCGTCACCTCGCAGTCTGAGCTGAGGGCAGCAGGAACGGCGTCGTCAACGACACAGACGGTAACATTACTGAACTAGTTTTACTGCAAATATGTTGTTAAAAAGGTGAACTACAGACATTAAAGGCATTACTAATGTAAATATGCAGCTACAGTATCGATTAACCTTTAAATTATCAGCACAGCGTAGTGTATTTACACTAGCGATTAAATTAGCCAGTAAGCTAACGTTACCTTTTGAGTTTGTATTTCATTCTTATAGTGACGTCTTGATGTTAATTTGATGGTAACTAACTTAATCTGTGTGAGAATGTGCTGCAGTTGTCATAAATATTAATATTTTATCAATAATCTTGACATGAATTGACTTCAGATGAGTGTTAACTAGGCAGATAGAAAACGTTGGCTAACGTCAGTCACAGGCACTCACGAATGAAGACACTGAAAATAAAGATTAGGCTATTGAGTCATATTGATTCATATATCTTAGAATATATTGTATCTTAAGGTACTAAATAACTAATATAATGTATTTGTGTTATTTATCTTTTCGTATTACGGAGATAATTCATAATTAACAGGGTACATGGCCTCTATAAGCTCAATATGTGAATTGAAGAAATATATACGGAGCATGGTCTGTTTCCTTTCACAGACTGAGAGGGTGTCTACAGTGCTGTGTTGCAGGATCTGCTCCAGCCTTTTTTGGGGACCCTAAGCAGGATGGTTTTTGGGCCCCCCTTTCTTCCTACTGTGAAATTCATGGCTACCTCATAACAGTGAGTGTGTTTACATGCATTTAGTAATCTGATAACTGCAGAAAATCAGATTGTGTCAGTAACTGGTTCAGTGTGTTGACAACAATCTGATAACTGCAGGAAATCAGATTGTGTCAGTAACTGGTTCAGTGTGTTCGCACTTAATAATCCGATAACTGCAGAAAATCAGATTGTGTCAGTAACTAATTCAGTGTGTTCACACTTAATAATCCGATAACTGAAGAAAATCAGATTGTGTCAGTAACTGGTTCAGTGTGTTCGCACTTAATAATCCGATAACTGCAGAAAATCAGATTGTGTCAGTAACTGGTTCAGTGTGTTCGCACTTAATAATCCGATAACTGAAGAAAATCAGATTGTGTCAGTAACTGGTTCGGTGTGTTTACACTTAATAATCCGATAACTGCAGAAAATCAGATTGTGTCAGTAACTGGTTCAGTGTGTTCACACTTAATAATCCGATAACTGCAGAAAATCAGATTGTGTCAGTAACTGGTTCAGTGTGTTCACACTTAATAATCAGATAACTGCAGAAAATCAGATTGTGTCAGTAACTAATTCAGTGTGTTCACACTTAATAATCAGATAACTGCAGAAAATCAGATTGTGTCAGTAACTGGTTCAGTGTGTTGACAACAATCTGATAACTGCAGGAAATCAGATTGTGTCAGTAACTGGTTCAGTGTGTTGACAATAATCTGATAACTGCAGGAAATCAGATTGTGTCAGTAACTGGTTCAGTATGTTCACACTTAATAATCTGATAACTGCAGGAAATCAGATTGTGTCAGTAACTGGTTCAGTGTGTTCACACCTAATAATCCGATAACTGCAGGAAATCAGATTGTGTCAGTAACTGGTTCAGTGTGTTCACACTTAATAATCTGATAACTGCAGAAAATCAGATTGTGTCAGTAACTGGTTCGGTGTGTTTACACTTAATAATCTGATAACTGCAGAAAATCAGATTATGTCAGTAACTGGTTCAGTGTGTTTACACTAAATAATCCGATAACTGCAGGAAATCAGATTGTGTCAGTAACTGGTTCAGTGTGTTCACACTTAATAATCCGATAACTGAAGAAAATCAGATTGTGTCAGTAACTGGTTCGGTGTGTTTACACTTAACAATCAGATAACTGCAGAAAATCAGATTGTGTCAGTAACTGGTTCAGTGTGTTGACACTAATCCGATAACTGCAGGAAATCAGATTGTGTCAGTAACTAATTCAGTGTGTTGACACTAATCCGATAACTGCAGGAAATCAGATTGTGTCAGTAACTGGTTCAGTATGTTCACACCTAATAATCCGATAACTGCAGGAAATCAGATTGTGTCAGTAACTAATTCAGTGTGTTTTCATTCTCTTGGGTAATAAGATAATGGGGAAACTCAGAGTCTACATGAGTAATCGGATTTCTGCTTTAAACCGGCCAATAAACTCACAGAACGAGACGAGATGTAAACGACAAACTGTCTAAACTGAATACATTTATAACTGGTAAATTGTATATTGTGGCTAACTGTGGCTAATTTCTGCTGCGGATTGGATGCTTGTTTGGGGTTCTAGCAAATTACAGTTTGACTTACAGATAACCTTCTCAGCATTCGGGATCCAGGGATCTGTCTCGTGACGCAGTATTTCTCGCTTACCCAGCCAACTTTAAGCTTAGTTTGATCGAACCCTCGTGGCAGTGGCAAGAGCGCTGCTTTTTTACAGTTATAAACAGATAAACAGAGAAAGTTGTTAACCGCCGTTGTAAAACGAGTTAACTGCGTCTGTGTTTGAACAGTACTGGCGGCTGTAGCACGCTAAGCAGCTGTTCATGTCGCTTATGATGTAGAACCGGCGCTGCTGTGTTGTATTACTTTATGTTTATACTGTCTTATTTCAGAACTAAGAACAGCATTGATTCTGGAAGAACTAACTCTTCCTCTTTCTTCTCTGACCCACCTTGGAAGGAGTTGAGGATGGTGAAGATGTAGTAGGACGGGAGGCGCAGGGCTCCGTAGGCGAAGAAGGCGAAGCCCCAGGTGAGTCCGAGAGTGCAGCACAGGCCCATTACAGTCAGGGCGTCAGAGGTGCCCGTCCCTTTGTGCTTACCAGAGCCTGCGAGTCGTTCATGGCGATTCGAGGTGGCGCCTTTGAGGAGGAAGATCCATCGCAGCATGACGACAAAGGTAGTGAAGGTGAAGGTGAAGATTATGGAGTAGTAGCCGATGTTCACCACGTAATGGACAGCAGAGTCTGTGATCCAGCACCTTCAGAACACAAGCAGTAGAGAATGCTGTGTAAATTCAGGAGAGCAGTGAATCAACCTGTCTTAAAGGGGAATTACACCGATTTTTCAACATTTTGCAAAATTAAATGGTTGAGATGTAAACAGAGTGGTTCAGAGTGGTTTGGTGTGAAACGCTCTGTTCTAGAGAAACTTACTGAGAGAGTAACAGCTGCACCACTTAAGGTGGAGTGGAAGATAAGAGTGTTTTTCGCTTTTTGTATGGTTTTGGTCTGAAATGAGATGCTAAAGCTCTAAAGTGAGGAGTGAAAATTAAAATTAAAGGCTAAAGCAGCTCAGAAGTCAAACCAACACAAAAGAATGAAATTGGAACTAAATGTTTATGACTTAAAATGGAGCTTTACTCATTAATAAACTTGACTAGATGTAAATAAAAGTTATTTAAAAAAATAACAAACCCATCAAAAAACTGTGCTCGTGTAAAGTAAGTAAATGTATTTGTATGTAACGGAAGGTTGAGTGCTAAGCTAAAGGAGCTGTAGGTGAGGGATGAGGGAGCGAAGGACTCACATTTTCACATCCTTTCCGTCGTCAGCATGAATGACTAGTTGGTTGTATTTTTGCAAACAGAAGACGACGGTGACAACAACCGCAGGAGGAGCTGAAAAGAGAAAATAATCTTTTACATTATCAGATCAAATCAAACCCAGTTCACATTTGACTTTAAAAGGCCCATAGCATGACACCATGTTTGTGAATGAGATGTGGGACAGTGAAGAACCTTTTAAAGGTACAGAGAACCCTTACATAATGTAAAAGTGCTTTACCAAGTTAAAGGTTCTTCCTAGGATCTTTACATTGTGTGGAGATTATTTTAGCTTCCCGCTCTCGCATCTCATTTACAAAAATCGTTCTTTAAAGAACCACCCGTTTATCTGTTCTTTAAATAAAGTTTTCTCTATGGGTATACGAGAAACCCGTTGTGTAGTATGCTTTCTCCCCAGTGTAGAAACTAAACTGTAAAAACAGTCCGTTTTGAATCCAATGTTTTTGTGATGTCACAAACACCAGTGTAATGACATTGACATCTACCTATTTAGCCTACAGCAGTTTAACCCAGCCCACTCATGCTGAAGTCATTAAGAGTGTGTCTTCCTGGACTGCTTTAGAATGAGGCCACAGCCAATCAGAACAGAGCTCATTTACATACATAAATCTTAAAGGCACAGCAACAAAAACAGCCGGTTTAATTTTAAGGGATAAAGAGAGCTCAGAAAATGTTTTTTAAAAATGGATTTTGGTGCATAAAATCAGACATATGTTATACGTGGAGCACAGGGGAAAAACAAACCCCTAGAAGAATGTCGGCCCCGGGCCGTTTCTCAGCGACTCTGTCTGAACTCACCCCAGCCGGCGATGCAGATCTTGGTGAGGTAGTGTTTGATAGGTGTGGAGTTTCTGCCCAGCTGCAGACAGAGGTGGAGAGCCTCCAGACCGAACCACGTGAAGCTGGTCAGCAGGCAGTAGTGCATGAAGCCCGCCATCAGCTTACAGCCTATTAGGTTCCCCGTGTTCGCCACGTACTCGTTGGTCAGGAAGGTCAGATTCAGCAGGACCAGCGCCACAAACAGGTTTATGAGGATGTGCACTGAATCGCTCTGTCTCGATCTCCTGTGGAGAAACGGTGGAGAAATACACTACAAAAATGGTACTGCATGGGCTCAGAAACACTTCTGAAAACCACTGTCTATGAAAACAGTTCATCACTGCATCCACAAATGCAAGTTAAAACTCTAAAACGCAAAGAAGAAACTGTACATAAACAGGATCCAGAAACGCTGCCACCTTCTCTGGGCTGGAGCTCATTTAAAATTGACTGAAGGGAAGTGGAAAAGTGTCCTGTGGTCCGACGAATCAACATTTGAAATTCCTTTTGGAAATCATGGACACTGTGTCCTCCAAGCTAAAGACCACTCAGCTTGTTATCAGTGCACAGTTCAAAAGCCAGAATTCATGATGGTATAGGGGGCATTAGTGCACATGGTATGGGTGACCGGCACATCTGTGAAGGCACCATTAATGCTGAATGATATATACATGTTTTAGCAACATATGCTGCCGTCCAGATGACGTCTTTTTCAGGGAAGGCCTTGCTTATTTCAGCAAGACAATAACAAACCACATTCTGCATGTATTACAGCAGCATTGCTCTGTATTAAAAGAGTCCGGGTGCTAAACTGACCTGGCTGCAGTCCAGACCTGTCACCACTGAAAACATTTGGCACATTATGAAATGAAAAATAAGACAAAGGAGACCCTGAACTGATGAGCAGCTGAAATCCTACATCAAACAAGAATGAGAAAACATTTCACTTTCAAAACTACAGCAGTGTCTCCTCAGTTCCCAAACGCTTACAGAGTGTTGTTAAAAGAAGAGGTGATGAAACACAGTGGTAAACATGCCACCGTCCCAACTTTTTTGGAACGTGTTGTTGGCATCAAATTGAAAATGGACATATATTTTTCAAATAAAGATAATTTTTCATTTTATCAACATTTGATATGTTGTCTTTGTAGTATTTTCCTTTAAAAATATGGTTTACATGTTTTGCACATCATTGCATCCTATTTTTATTTACATTTTGCTCAGTGTCCCAACTTTTTTGGAAATGGGGTTGAACTTTTCATTGATGGACACTTTTTTTCCTGTAATTTCTGAATAATTTGTCTACTAGTAAAAATTAAAATTGCAGTCTGTACAGCTGACAGATCTGATTTTATCTCATGGAGGACCTAAAACTTTGTTGATCACTTGAGCCAGTTGTATTAAAGCGGTGAACACAGCGCTCTAAAGAAAACTCAGACATTTTTTACACTGTACCTTAACAGGAAGTGCATGAAGAGGGCCACGCCCAGGAAGAAGATGGACAGTCCGCAGCCGATGGAGGTGATGTAGGTGAGGTTGCTTAGGTCTGTGCTGGATATGGTTTCAGTTGGGTCGGGCTGTGGAAACACCACATACGTTTTAGCACACTAAGTTTCATATAGATGGTATCTGCAGAAGCATCAACACTCTTATAAGCCTTACATTGAACTGAATGGGTTTGAGGCCTTAAAGGGGAATTCCACCCATTTTTCAAAGTTTCTGCATAGTTAAATCATCATGATGTAAACAAAGCCATTCAGAGTGGTTTGGTGTGAAAAGCTCTGTTCTAGAGAAACTTACAGAGTCAGAATTGTTCACAGTGGTGATGATAGGAACCAGACGTCTCGAGAGATTAATGCTGTTAAAAGCTACTTCACAAGAATGTTATTACACAAAAAATGAATACACTTCCTGATCTCTGAGTCCCCAAGGAAAATGTATTATTTCAGATTTTTCACTATTTTCCATCATCAACATTCCATATAAACTCAGAAGACTCGTGTAGGTTCACTGGTGGTTCTGGATAGTAAATAAAATGTCTATATTTGTGTTGTAGTCATGGCGACCCCTGGTTCCCATCACCACCACCGTAAAGAAATCTGAGTCTCTACCAACAATAAGACACTAAACTCCTCAGAGTGACTTTGTTTGCCTCTCAATGACTGAATTATGTAGAAATTGTTAAAATCTGGAATTCCCCTTGAAAGGAGCTATAATGAACACTATCACACTAAAATCTGTAGAGCTGAAACTTAAGAAAATTAAGAAAAGACGTTTCACTTTAATAACCAATTAGAAAACAATCTATGTTTGTATTGCTGGTTGCGTTATTACTATGATTATTAGGGGTCTGAGCACTAAAAATCATCCTGATAATTTAAGGATAGACTGTAAATATGTGACGATCCATATCAAACAGTCTCTGGTAGTTTGAGATCTCTGCCTTTAGCTGTTTAGGACAGGAGATTTTCCTACTTGTTTTTAATTGTACAATAATTTATTCTCAAAAACACAGTTAGATGTTCATGTTAAATTAAGTGCAAATATTAAAAAAATAAAAATACTCAATTTAATGCTTAATATTTTTGAAAATAAAAATATTGTATCGGTATCAGCTGATACTCGGAGGAGGTACTTTGCCGTCTGTATTGATTACTGATAGCGGTTATCAAAAGAGAATCTCACCGCCATCAGCACGGCGAAGAAGGTCAAGTGTACACATTCACAGGTTACAGTGTCACCAGTTTCAGTGGTGCTGCATCCATCAGTGATCCAGTTTGGCAGGGACCCTGGGGCAGCAGAGTAAGGGGTCAGTTTTTACTGTAAGCCTACATTCAATTTGAGAACAAAGTTTTTTTTTGCAGAAACAAATCAGAATTGAGAATTTTGGGGCTGGATTTAATAAAAAAGGGTTCAGTCAAACCCAAAAATGACTAGTCTTAATACAAAAACTGAGAAGTTCTTAAGAATGGGCTTCAGTTCTTAGAAATATGTCAGGGAATGATGTTCTGAAATATTATGGAAGTCTTAACAATTTCTTTCTGTAGACTGTAAGTGACTTGTAGCATATTGATATCACATTCCCAAAAAAACAAACCAAAGGTGATTCAGTATCAGAGGCAGAGACACTCAGTGGCGAGTAGAATAGTAACTGTTAAGCGATGTGAGTAACATAGCGAAGTTGAGCTGATCTCAAATTTAGGCTGCTGAACAGTGACGCAGGGCTGCAACGACCAACTGTGATGGTGTTTTCACACCATGTAGAATATGTTTGAGCCTTGTATAATGATAGCATAGACGCATTGTAAACCAAGCTGTGGGCTAACTGGTTTGTTCAATGCATAGATAATGAAATGCAGAATATTATAGCTGTTGGAACAAAAACTTTAAATCTGTCCAAAATGGTAACGTGGTTACACGGTGTAAAGGCCGGCTAGTTGTTTTAATTATGTTTGCAGCAGGACGATAGCAAACCAGATGTTCCATTGTTTTTTAATGGGACTCTGTCTGAAACTCTGCCAGCACTAAGCGAAACATTCCTCAGGAGTTCAGTTGTCATCTTTCACCATCAACTACAGCAGTGAAATAAACTGGATGTCATTTTTTTGGAATGTATGGATGTAAAAAGTCTTGTTGTTGAGTTCCAGAGGAACCCAATATTACACAACTCAAACTGAAAGAATACAGAAATCAACCGTCTATACTGCCAGAGCTCCTCGCTGATAATCATCTATTTTTGCCGGCACCGCAGTGACTTTACTAATGTTTTCATGGCTTCATGCCGCCGTCGGTCACTTAGCACTGAGGTGCGTAACGACCATTTTTTCCAACACAAATGTGAATGCAGCATACAGCATATACACCGATCAGGCATAACATTATGACCACCTCCTTGTTTCTGCGCTCATTGTCCATTTTATCAGCTCCACTTACTATATAGGTGCACTTTGTAGTTCTACAGTTACAGACTGTAGTCCATCTGTTTCTCTGCATACTTTGTTACCCTGTTCTTCAGTGGTCAGAACCCCCATGGACCCTCACGGAGCAGGTACTATTTGGGTGGTGGATCATTCTCAGCACTGCAGTAACACTGACGTGGTGGTGGTGTGTTAGAGTGTGTTGTGCTGGTCTGAGTGGATCAGACACAGCAGTGCTGCTGGAGTTTTTAAACACCTCAGTGTCACTGCTGGACTGAGAATAGTCCACCAACCAAAAATATCCAGCCAACAGCGTCCTGTGGGCAGCGTCCTGTGACCACTGATGAAGGACTAGAGGATGACCAACACAAACTGTGCAGCAGCAGATGAGCTATCGTCTCTGACTTTACATCTACAAGGTGGACCGACAAGGTAGGAGCGTCTAATTGGGTGGACAGTGAGTGGACACAGTGTTTAAAAACTCCAGCAGCACTGCTGTGTCTGATCCTCAGACCAGCACAACACACACTAACACACCACCACCACGTCAGTGTTACAGCAGTGCTGAGAATGATCCACCACCCAAATAGTACCTGCTCTGTGAGGGTCCATGGGGGTCTTGACAACTGAAGAACAGGGTAAAAGGGGGCTAAGAACTGTAACTGTAGAACTACAAAGTGCACCTATATAGTAAGTGGAGCTGATAAAATGGACAATGAGCGTAGAAACAAGGAGGTGCTCATGCCTGATTGGTGTAAGTGTGAAGCTATCGTAAGGTTAAGAAAATATTTAAGGTTTTTTTTTTTTTGCATGAATGCCATTTGTTCTTAGAATTGTTTTTAATAGATAAGTTAAGAAAAGTGTTAAGGCACTTTTAATAAGATATGTCTTAAAATATTTATGGATTCTAGAAAACAGAAAAAAAGAACAATAATTAATATACAACATTTAAAATATAACAACCATTTCCATCCCAAGAGTGACAGTGAGGAGTGACATCTTTCTGCTGAGAAAAATTAAAGAAAAAACAGGTTAGATAATGTTGTGTAATGTTGTCTGTTTATAGTGATCTACAGTAAAAGTGTTTGAATTGAGGCAAGTGATATAAAAGTATAAAAAAGTCTCAAAAGTTGTTTTTTTTAAATAAACCAAATAATTACTGCACTGCCCTCTTCTGTCATGTATGAAAAATGTTTTGTGTTATATCAAACCTTCCTTATGCTAGCCTAAGGATATTATTAGAGACTGGGGGATGAATAGTCTCTCGTTAAAACAGTCCATGTATCGTAAAGGCTTGTGTTTTGATTTGGGAATGTACTGTGAGCGAGATTTGCAATCTTGCAAATTACTATACTGTAAAAAAGATTTGTTAATTAAAGAAGTACCCAGACTGGCTTAAAATACTCAGTTAACTGAACTTCAAACAGTAAGTTAACTTTACAACAATAGGTGTGAGATAGTGAGTCTCATTATTTGTTTTTGTTTTTGTTTTGATCGATCCCTGGCTCGAAACTGAGTGAAGACCCGCTCTTACATTCTTGCAGTGGTATTGGCATGCTCAATTTTCTGAAAACTGTGTTAGCACAGAAATTGAATCTGGTATGAAACACAGCCTGTCTACATATATGGGCAAAAGTATGTGGACCCCTGACCATCACACCTAGATAAGCTTGTTGGATGTCCCATTCCAAAACCATGGGCTTTAATATGGAGTTGGTCCCCCTTTGCAGCTGTAACAGCTTCCACTCTTCTGGGAAGATTTTGGAGAGTGTCTGGAGAGTGCCCATAACACACATTTAAACACATGAGGCCTACACATATGTATACACACACACACACACACACACACACATACACACATATATATATATATCAATTAGCAGGCTTTAGAACATCTGTTTCAGCCAGGTAGCATGTTAAGGGCTGATATGGCTGAAGGTGATGACTGTTGTGATGGCCCTTCTTCAAATATCCGTATTGTTCCGATTTGACAGGTTGTGTGTGGAAAGTCCTATGAACTTTGAGGCGATATGTGTAATGCGGAACAGTTTGTTAATATTTGACACTTAACATTGTGAAGAAACAGGTTGAACAGTACAGCATAATAGCCTCAATTATGCTATTATAGAGGAACAAGAGCAATGAAGGTGCTACATGAAGTCAAAAGCTGATTTTATTGTCCAGATTGAGTCCAATGTACTTAAAACAGTCTACCATCTCCACGTCTTCCCCCTTGATTGTGATTGGGCTATGAACAGTGCAGTGGGAGTTGATCGATTATCATCTTTGTCTTTGAGATGTTCAACTGCAGATGGTTGTCTGTGCACCATTGTGTTAGATGGGAGCTAACAGCTGGAAGAATAAAGGTTCAGCACCAGTTTTCCAGGCATGTCATAATTACTGAAGCTAGTACAATTGGCCAGTAACGATTTAGTTCAGAGACATGTGTTTTTTTGGGCACAGGAATGATAGTAGATGTTTTCCAGATGTTTGGTACACAATGACAACCTATAATCTGTTAACTTGTTATTTTTGAAGTTCAGTGAACTCAGCTTTTTAAGGCAGTTACTTACTCTCAAGTTAAAACACCATTTTTTACACCGTGTTGTTCCCTCGGGTTTATTATTAGAGTGGAGTTTGAATTACCTTTTTCACACTCCTGAAGATGAGGTTAATTGTGTTAATCAGGTTGACGATTTCTGTTCCCATATCAATAGAATAGACTTCATTATTCAGAACTGTGCTGTTTTTCACATCCTTACAGACAAAAACAGAGAGAGAGAGAGGGAGAGAGAGACAGAGAGGAGAGAGAGAGAGAGAGAGAGAGAGAGAGGGGAGAGAGAGAGAGAGGGAGAGAGAGAGAGTTGTATTTCATAATTAGACCACAAAAGAAACTCTTGAACTTCACACTACACTATCTATCATACCTTACTATCCCTCATCATTTAACAATCCTAGTAAAACACTGGGTGGTGATCCTCTGTACCTTTGTGAAGTTGGGGAATCTGAACACAGATGTGAACAGTGTGATGTTGTCTATGTTGGCTGCTTTTTCGAAAGCCTCCTTCGGTATCGAGATCACCGTGGGATACTTTTCAGTTTGACTCGTATCTTCGATGATCTGCAAATGTGGACAAACTTAAACCGCTGAATCTTTACTGGAGTAAAAAAAAATTGATCACATTGTGGTGAATGAAATGTATGTCAGCGAGCATTTCATCATGACAATTTTTTTACATTTTCAAAACACCCCCTAATATCAGTACATGCGTTTTACATATAAAAACTGTGTATTCTAATTGAGTGTAATGTGTGTATGCAAAAAAATACCATCATTACTTGATTTAAGCAGGTAGCGGATTATTTAAGCTGTCCTGGGAAAAGTTTGTTTTTTAAAGGAACTAAAAATGGCTAGTATGAGGAGGGTTGTGGTTTGAAGGCTTGTGGTTTGACATTTTCCTGGTATGAAAACCCAATCAAAATATATCATGGTTTCATGGTTATCATCAGCATTGGCCCTATAATCACCAACCAGTATGAGATTGCGGGTTCGGTCACTGGTGTTGCTACAGCCATCTGCAGCCGGGAGTCCAAGAGAGCACAGTTGGCCTTGCTCTCTCTGGGTGGGTAGGATGGACCCCCCTCCCCCCATCACTCTAAACCTAGGTTATAGCATGATCATCTAAACCTGGGTTATAGCATGAGCATCTAAACCTGGGTTATAGCATGAGCACCTAAAATACCATTCACCAAACAAAACAGGCTGTAAGATGCTTTACAGACTGGCTGAAACAAAACAAAATTAATATTGATCTGGCAAAAAATGACAAAACTGAGCTAAACTTGATATTGCGGCAGTTTTATGGCTCAGTCTGATTTGGTCAGACTCTGAAGATCAGACTACACGTTTGGCGAATGGTGTTGGGTTCATTTCTGGCTGATTCCAGGTTGTTTAGCTGTTCTTCTGTCACAGCTGCCAACTGAAAAGCTGCTCAGTGGTGATGACAGTTTGGGAATTTAGTGTGAGGAGCTGGAAAACGAACTGCCGGCCTTGCAGCGAGTGGGTGGAGCTCGTTACTCTGACGTAGCAACAAGCTGCTCGTTAAGGAACTATAATTTGGCTGAAGGAACTGCGAACATTAAAACATATTAAACGCCGCGTTCACGGCCCAGTTTATTAATTTATTACTTTATTTATTTAACTGTTGTATAAAAGCAACAGAACACTCGAGGAGTGTGTTATCACCAGTAACATCACGGCTGTGATGATCTACGGCGACCAAATCACAGCCGTGATTTTATTTTGCGATAACACACTCCCTCTGTGTTCTACTGCTTAAGTGGTGCATCCTGATCTGATTTAGTTGCGTGTAAACCTGAACACTTACGTTACAATTAGCCTACGTCTGAACAGCTGACGCAACCGACTTAGGGCAGCAGAAATTCTAGAACTGGCATGCTTAGCATCAACTATCTTTCCGCATTGTAGATCATTTAGGTCGCCTGTTTTGCACAGAGAAAAAAGACTCATCCACTGAGTTGACATTTAGCTTTGTGAAAGCCACATTTACTTACGCTGAGGTTTGTTTCTTCAGAGTAGATGAACGAGACGGCTTCCAACTTAGTCCGATCTTTAGGCTTCACAAAAACACCCTGCGCGTCTCCCACGGTCACAGACGCGGTGGTCTTGTCTCCCATCATTTTCAGAACGCCGGAGGTTATACTCTTGATCGCTTCACTGAATAAATGAGAGAAGGTAGAGGGAGAAGGAAAGTGGGAGAGTGTGATGGAGAAAAGGCCACTGTTGTAAATACAGATAAGTTAATTTTAAGATGAGGTTCATATTCCGTTTTCTTACGACGCTGTTCCTGTGGGGATGGCTGTACTATTCATCTCTAACTGTAGATCTGGTTGTCGCACAGGTGTCCCAATTTTTGAACAAACTGGTGCTGTATCTTTAAAATCAATGATGTCATCATTTGCAGTGCAACCTGCAATGAGAACTTACAACATAAATATATGACAGTGGAATTAACTAGCCTATAAACTAGCTGTCTGTTTTAAGATGGCTTAAACTGTGTTGACTTTACACAATGAAAGTTTCATGTGAGTTGCCTGCAACAATTCTGAAGCAACTTCACAGTTACATGAAGCGACTAAAAACAGTTGTACACAACACATTTTATTACTTTATTAGTTAACAAAATTAACAGTTCATATTTTTGATTTTACTCTATATTTATATTTTATCTGTTTATGTTTATTAAGTTCTTTACTACATATTTCAGTTTTTATCTGTTGTGTATATATTAAGCCTTTGAAAATTAATGCTAAGCCCTTTAAATTCCAGGCGTATTATAGTCGTGCATTGTAAATATCGTTATCTGATTTATATTCTTCTTCTTCTTTTTGTTATTCTAATTTTTCTGCCGGATTTTTGCAGCGTAACTCATCCCGCAGTTTTCGAGAGATCAACATCATTCCAACTCCAGACTGTCTAGTCAGATTGTGTGATTCGGGCTTGTATACAGCTTTTTGATCGGATGCACGGATTTCATGTAGCCATGGAATTTTAATGGATTTTTCCTCTTAGGAATGAATGGGTTGAAAAATTGCATGACAACCTGCTGTACTTCTGCTTGACTGAAGGACAGTGTTTCACATATACTATCTCAGGGCAGGCCCCCAAACACAAATTCAATGTTGCTTTGATCCGCACTCATCCGTTTGTCCTTTTTTTCCATCCCTTGTTTCTCCCATAGACTCCCATTCGTTTTCGCCACCGAACAAATTTTATTACTTCTTTGCCCAAAAGCCACCAAGGTACATGTAGTCACTCAGGGCAGATCCCCAAGCTCTAATCCACAGCCGTACTGACCCGCACTCCGCTGTGTGTCGTTTTTTTTATCCCTTGTTCCTCCCTTAGAGTCCCATTCATTTTCGCCCCAACAAAGGCCTAATCTGTCTTTTTCCCGACAGCCACCAAAGTACATGTACTCAGGGCAGGTCCCCGAGCTCTAAACCACAGCCATACTGACCCGCACTCCTCCGTGTGTCATTATGTCATCCCTTCTTCCTCTCATAGACTCCCATTCATTTTCAACAACACATAGCCACCACTTAGCAACCTCTTATGAACAACTTAAAAAAAACACCTCATGCACCATGGCAACTACCTAGCAGCAATTTAGCAGCCGCATGGGATACCATAGCAACCGCCTAGCAACACCTTAGCAACAGCCTGGCATACCATAACAACCACCTAGCAACACCGTAGCAACCACCTCAGATACCATAGCAACCACCTGTCAACCACCTAGAATACAATACCAAGTGTCTAGCAACACCATAGCAGCCATCTAGCAACGGCTCAGCAATCACCTTGGATACCATAGCAACCACTAAGCAACGTAGCAGTAAGTGGGAACCATTTTAGCCTATTTGATGTATTGCTCTTTCTTTCCTAGAACGATTGCAAGTTACAGGGTGTAAAGAGAGGAGACAGTGAACCTAGCCATGTAGATCACAGTAACAGCTGGTCAACAATGAGTAGATCAAGCAGCATTTCAAAGGGGAATCTCACTGATTTTCTAGATATAAACAAAGCCATTCAGTGAGGTTTGGTGTGAACTTTCTTAAAACTCACTGGTTGTTTTGGATGTTAAATAAAACAGCTATATTTGTGATGCAGACGTCTCAACTCCTGGTTCGTACCATCACCACTGTGATTGAATTCCTCTTCAAACAGCTGTTACCGTTAGCTGGTTAACACAGTTGGTTACAGAAACGTTAGCTCTTGTTTTTTGTAATGGCTCAAGAAGCTGACAAAACCATGTGCTGCATTATTACTGTTTTGATTGTTTCATGAAACTTGTTCTGTGCAGTTAAGACTGTTGCAAGCAAGTTGCACAATCCTTTGCTATTATGCTACTTGAGTGCAGTTTAGTTTCATGTAGGTTTCAAGCAACTAAAATTCTATAGATGTTTCATCATGTGAAGAAAGCCTTAGGGCTGTGAAGGAACAGCCCTGTTCTGTTTCTGTATCTGTTGATTGCTCAAAAATATCCTCACTCTGATCTGAAGTGGAAGCAGGCATGACGTCAACCAAAGGTGGGGGTGGTTTACAGTAGAAGTGTTTAAAAATTTGTTATGTATGTATTAATTCATGTGGTCGTACAAGAGTAAGATAATGAAAGAAAGGCTGCTATGAAGATCAGTAAGGCTGTGTTTAGATGTGGTTGGTGCGGAACTATGGGATTATTTTGGAAATTAATAAAGCTGTGTTTAGGTCTGGTTGGTGTGGAACTATGGGATTAATTTGGTGATTAATATGGCTGTGTTTAGGTCTGGTTGATGTGGAGCTATGGGATTATTTTTGAGATTAATATGGCTGTGTTTAGGTCTGGTTGATGTGGAGCTATGGGATTATTTTTGAGATTAATATGGCTGTGTTTAGGTCTGGTTGATGTGGAGCTATGGGATTATTTTTGAGATTAATATGGCTGTGTTTAGGTCTGGTTGATGTGGAGCTATGGGATTATTTTTGAGATTAATATGGCTGTGTTTAGGTCTGGTTGATGTGGAGCTATGGGATTATTTTGCAGATTAATATAGCTGTGTTTAGGTCTGGTTGATGTAGAACTATGGGATTATTTTGGAGATTAATATGGCTGTGTTTAGGTCTGGTTGATGTAGAACTATGGGATTATTTTTGAGATTAATATGGCTGTGTTTAGGTCTGGTTGATGTGGAGCTATGGGATTATTTTGCAGATTAATAAAGCTGTGTTTAGGTCTGTTTGGTGTGGAACTATGGGATTATTTTGGAGATCAGAAAGGCTGTGTTTAGGTCTGGTTAGCAGGACCTAAATCAAGATAGCAGAGGAAAGGTAACTGACGAGTGACGGATGCACATGCGAGAGTTTCTGTGGTGTGTTCTGTGTTGTGGATCTATAAAGTAAGAGATTTTAAATTGTTTCTCACAGATCAAAACTCAGTGTGACCTGCATAACAGGAAATAAATAAAAACAAACCAAAAAGTCTGTATTTATATGTTTCCCAAGACAGATGGATTCTAGCTAATTGTCAGACAGTCTATAAAACTAATAATTGTCTCTGTCAAGCAGAAACATACATTAAATGTTCATAAATAAAAGTAAATAAAATATGTAAAAACGTCTTACTTTCACAGTTGGTAGTGTATTCAGCGTTGTTGCAAAATGTGGTGGGATCCAGGCAGGTAACATTACAGCCTGAAACAAATACCAAACAGTTATGGGCGGATGTGTGGATGTGCACCCATAACTCAGTTTACAAGTAAATTCAAATCAACATAATAACAATATGCTTTTTATAGGGATCCTTTTGTCCTGAAACAAATGTTACTGTCACACTTCATATATCAGTATATTCACTATTGAAATGTTGATATTACAGTATTTGTTGAGTGTTCCGTACCTCCCGTTTGACAGGTTTTATTAGGTCCCACACATTGTATAAACTTTTCTGCAAAAAAAGCAGAACATCCTCTTATCAGTCTGTGGTTATGATAATATTTCTTTGACTTTTTCTTTCTTTGTATTGTCCTCACCAAAATCAAAAAGGCAGTAAAATAGTTTTTGGTTTACTGTGGAGAATAAAAAAGAACCAACATACAGAATAGCTGACTTATGCTATTAGCAGAGCTGGTGTATGAGGAGCCTGGCCACTTCCTATTTCCCCTGTTGTATCAAAAACAGGACCGCAAAACAGCAGAGGGCTCAATGAATGGGAGTAAATGGCGCCCAACACAATGAATGCTAAGTCTGTTGCATCATTTGCAGGCTCCTGAAATTACTCAGATTTCTGCGTCCTTAAATGTTTTAATACACTGTAAAAATCTATTTGTTGTTTCCACTTTATTTGCAGCAACATGTGGTGCAGTGGTCTAACAGTTCACCCCAGCATCAGGAGATTGTGAGTTTGAATCCCAGCGATCCCACAGCTGTCTATATCTGGAAGCCCAAGCTCAACTATGAATAATTCATAGTAGATACTGTATAATTCATAATATTACTGAATAATTCATAGTAGATACTGAATAATTCATAGTAGTTACTGAATAATTCATAGTAGACACTGAATAATTCATAGTGGATACTGAATAATTCATAGTGGATACTGAATAATTCATAGTAGATACTGAATAATGCATAGTAGTTACTGAATAATTCATAGTAGACACTGAATAATTCATAGTGGATACTGAATAATTCATAGTAGATACTGAATAATGCATAGTAGTTACTGAATAATTCATAGTAGACACTGAATAATTCATAGTAGATACTGAATAACTCATAGTAGTTACTGAATAATTCGTAGATACTGAATAATTCATAGTAGATATTGAATAGTTCATAGTAGATACTGAATAATCCATAGTAGAAACTGAATAATTTATAGTAGAGACTAAATAATTCATATTAATTACTTAATAATTCATAGCAGATAGTGGAAACTGAATTTAAGGATTAATAACTAAATAATAAGGTTAGAGTTTAAGGGGATAAATGAGTGAAAGTGCCAGTAATAATTGGGTATGTCTGCTTAAAACTATTGGGAATGCCAAATTATTCTTACTTCCTATCCTCTGTTGCCAGGTGTTGTTACATTTCCCCTTCACGAAGCAAATTTGTGCCTTGGGTCTGATTTCTTCATCTCTGGTTATTCTAAGATGGTATGTGCTGTTTATCTTTAATAACCACATACCAATGTCTTCATATGTACAGTCTAAAGGGGAGGAAATGACAAATTGGTTAGTTATTGGCTAAAGATTATCAAGATTACAAGACACAATAGAATAAACAATGATTAAAAGTAACATTTAATTATTAAATAAAATTGTATTTGATTGACAGGGCACTGTTTTGAAGAACATGTATATCACTGCGGTCGGATCAAAACCTCGTATCTCCATTTTTGCCATTTTACAGTTTTTGACATAATTTGAAAATACCTGTTGTTCCTTACATTGTTTGTAAATTTCATGATGAATGAACCAAAAAAAATGGCCAAAAGTGGCAGTAAAAAGTCTGGTTCCATTGACTTACATTAAATGTAAAGTATGTTTTTCCCTTCTCCTGTAAAGTTACCATTTTGGAGATACAAGGTTTTGTGCTGACAACAGCGATATTCTAAAACGTAATATAAAGACAACAAGACATGCAAAAATATGGAAAGTTTGATCAGTCGTCTCTTTTAGCAATAAATGCAAATGTAAGTAGTTTTAAATGTAAGTAGTTTTAAAAGTAAGTAGTTTTTTGTGATGTATTCTGTGCATATGAGGCAGGGTGAAGGGTGAAAGAGAGTTTCAAAGAAAGGTTGCAATCTAACAATACAAGTGTGTGTGATTAGGAGAAGGCGGGGCACAACCTGTGTAACAGATTTGAACAAGTTCACGCTACGCTGTTATATTGTACACTTGTGTGGATGTGTTTGTAGATGTATATATGTATAAAGATGTCATAATATAGCATAATCTAAGCCCACTTATCCTTCTGTGTGGCGCGGAGAGCAGGAGCCTATCCCAGCGGTCATTGGGCCGGAGGCAGGAAACACCCTGGACAGGTCGCTAGTCCATCACAGGGCAGACAGACAGACGTATACACTGACTCACACTCACACCAAGGGGCAATTTAGCGTGTCCAGTCAGCCTGACTGCATGTCTTTGGACTGAGGGAGGAAACTCACGCAGACACAGGGAGACATCATGCAAACTCCACCCAGAAAGGACCCTGGTCGCCCGGCCGGGGAATCGAACCCAGGCCCTTCTTGCTGTGAGGCGACAGTGCTACCCACTAATATGAAGATTTGGAGGCGTATCCATTACATAAGGCCCATGTGTCAAACACAAGGCCTGCGGACCAGATCAGGCCCGCCACGCAAAGGTATTTTAGTTTTCTATTAATATTAGCCCGTTTTGCAGTGTGCTGCACTGCAGTTCCCAGCATGCACTGCAACGATATGTGCTCTGACTCTCCTACCCCAACAACAATCTATGAAACAGCAGTTAAACCTCAATTCTACCCAATTCTGCGCAGTTCCACACCAGTCACATCACCAAAATGCATTTCAGCTGCAGGTCAACCAAACACTTAATTTCAGCTCAGCTCTAAAATTGAGCCCAAGTCTTAGGATGCCTACACACTAGAGGCTGACGCAGCGTCAGAAATGCAGCCCTCCAGTGTATTTCAGTGAGGACCCTGCGTCAGTCTGTAGTTCAAACCATTTCAACTTGACGTGGAGGCACGTCAACCAATAGAAACGTGCAGGCAGAAGACAGATGACAATCCAAGATGGAGGACGGTAGCGATGCTATGTACTCTTTAACTGTTCTATATGACCTCTTTGCCTTCGTGGCTGTTGTATGATTGGCTCTGTATTAGGGGTCTGCACTCCCACGGGACCTGACACAATGGTTGTGATCTAGTGAGATCTCTTAGTAGACGCTGTCTACATAGGCAGCTGTGTAAGTAGGCAGCGTTCCAACCGTCATCTATCCTTATAATCGCCAAAATTTCCTTTTGATGGCCTGTATTTCTTTGTTTCTGGTCCAAATGTTTTCGAACTGCAAACTCCGCCCCGCTCCAGCTGTGTACAAGCCTTCTAGACGGACAAGATCTGCATGCGTCTGCGTCTGCCACTCTGTGTTGACTGGTGTGTAGGCACTCATAAAGAACTTGTAGCAAAAAAAAGGTGGCAAGTGTCTAGATGTAGCACGTAGGTAGGTTTAAAAGACCGAGCACCTGGGGACATTTAAATATTTAATATTTCAAGTGTCCATGTAATATTCCAAGCTCTACTACAAATGTCTGTATTTTACTGCTGAAGTTTTTGCATATTTTGAATAAACAATGGCCAGCTTGGGTTACAGCACAACATTAATTAAAAATTAAATAAACATTTTTTTCTCTGGCCCATGGGTTTGATGAGATTTGTTAATGTGGCCCTTTTACTGGTTGAGTTTGACACCCCTGACATAAGGAATCCGAGTAGTACTGTTAATCAGGGCAAGTCCTTAAAGGTGTTGACACAACCTTATAACTGGACTTGGTTACCTTATATGTGGGTTTCCCATGAGGAACTGAAACATAGTGAAGCTGGTTTGATCCTGATGTGGGTACTCGAAATGTTGACCAAATACAAGAGAGCTCTTGGTTCAATAGTCCTTCCTTTGAACAATTCCAGTGTTCCCTCGCACATGACACAGGTCCCTAAGACCCCAAAGTGACACACTAATGCAGCTGTGTATGAGGATGGAAGGACACTGAGTGCTTACTGTTTACTTTGTCTGCACTGTTAATCTCTTCCAGGATCTTAATTATGCGAGCTGTGAAAGAAGGAGACAGAAATGACTTCATTGAATCAGTTTTGATTTAGAAATACGTCGTGGCGCTTCCAGGGAAGATGTGCCTGAGGAAGGAGAGCAGTGGATACCTGAGTACTCGTCAGTTGTGTTGGACCCATCCAGGACTAATGTTTGAGGGGCTATAAGAGAGAGAGAGAAACAGGACGTATGAAGGACGGGTGAAATAAATACTATTTAGGAGGGGAAGCACTAAATACTCACAATTATTCTGGGATCCTGATCTCCACAACCAAGACCAAATCTGAGACCACCAATTCCCTCCTGTGAAGGAAAGAGTGAACCCAAAGTTTTAGTTTTGAATAGTTAACTGAATAAATGTAACCTTTCATTTTATGTGTTCTTGTTGATGTTACTTTGAAAATATCACTGGGCTCATAAAAGTTAGTGTTGCTCCAGTTGTCTGTAAGACTTTTTATGAAGGTTCTTGATTTTTATTGATTATCAAAGGATAATTCAGGGCCACTAGTCTCACATCATGAGACCTGCAGTCAACATTTGGTATAGTCGCCCTGACTGTTTTGTTGCAGGCCTGGCCATGACTATCTAAATAATTTGTATTTGAAAAATGCTGTTCGTTCCCCCGTGTCAGTCAAGTCAGTTTTCCTGTGTAAGAAAATCAAGGCTACTGAGAGTATAGCTTACTGTTTACTAATCAGAGATGGAAAGTGACGAATTACATTTACTCTCTTGTTGGAATTTTCCCATTTTACCTTAAATGGTGCAGCAGTTACATTCTGGAGAATGTGAAGTTGTCTGGGTGGTTAATTACACATTTTCTGAGGTGTGACAGACTCTGAAAACATGTGTTACTGCTTTACATTGACTTTAAAGACTTAGCTCTGAAAGAAATAAGGGAACATTACCAGCACACACAAGGAACACACTTGATCTAAACCAGGGTTTCTCAACCTGTGGGCCACAGATCACCAATGGGCCGTGAAGCACTCCCTAGTGGCCTGTGGGCCTGTACTCAGGGGGAGGCAGTAGTTCGTAATGGGCCGGTAACGGCTCTTTAAGTCATAAAAACTTTAGTGGAAAAAAACATTAGCTTAGGTCTAATAACTAAACGTCGAAGAATCAAACATTTCCAAAATACAGTGTGATTCAAAAAGATTAATCCGATTTCAAAGCACCATATTGTTCCAACCATGAGGCTCCTAGGAACCAATCACACACCAATTGAAAGAGGGGGTCATAGAGTTTCTGACTGTCAGTGGAAGATGGCTCCCTTCAGTCTGAGAGGAGATGAGACCCCTGAGCGGAAAGCGTTCTGCGTTCTCCACTTCAATAAGAGTGAATCCGTCATAACTAATTAAACCTCATCAGTTTGAGACGACGCAGCATCCATCACACAATGCAGACAGCGAACCAGTTATGGAGAGGTTTCTCAGGGTGTTTCTCCCACCTTGTTTGGTGCAGACCTGTCAAACCTTTTCTTTAGTTCGCTCGTTTTTGCGTGTGTGAACAGTCCACCCATATTCAAACAGCGTCAAACAGCTGAACTGATCCACCAAAAAAAAACCTGGGTCTGCTTTCAACCGAACCCTGTTCAGTTCACTGCTGGTGGGACGCATTTTATGACGAAATGAGGGAATTAATCAGTAGAGCCTAACAGCATGTCAGCACTGTACTGCTATGCTTTATAGTTATAAACAGGTGGGCCTTGGGGTAGAAAAGCTTGAGAACCCCTGATCTAAATGATCAGGTAATTTCAAATGAACTAAAACAACGTTATTATCAGCTGCTAAACATGAAATCTGACGAGATCTCTGCTTTCCACAACTTGCCTAGCTATCTAATTCTAGCTAAACAGCTGCTGTGTTCACTGTTTTCTTCATTCATGTTGATTTATTTGTACTCCAGTAAATCATTACTAAAGTAACAGTACTTTTACTTACTTTCCACTCCTGTTACTAATGCACCAGATGAGATCTTCCAGTGAGTGGCCCATTCTTAGGTACAGTTAAGAGAAGACTACTTTTTTTTTTTAAATGGGGAGGTGGGGTCATTTAAATTTATCACAGGACTTCTGCAATGTTTATGACCAATTCAGACAGGATAAGAAATTTTGATATGAGTTACAGAGATGGGAGTGGCTGCTCGATTTATGCGCTGCTTTCATTCCAAAAGGTTCCTTACGCAGTCTATTCTGCTGCTGACAAGTAGAAAACAAGTCCAAATGTTACATCCATCTACTTAGCTGTCTGAAGTGAGCGCAGTGCGTCATCAGCATTAGAACTTACAACCAACAGTCAACATCTCTGCATAAAATCATAAAAGTTTTTTGCCCTTTTTCATGTTTTATTGTAAGGAGTTGAGGTAGGACAATACATACCAGCTTAATTTGGGCCACATAGAATAAATTAGAATACAAAAACTCCTTTTCCACAGAATGTGATGGAATATTTACTGACATCTCAGTTTGTATGTGAGTCGGTGTTACTTCTGCGCTTCATTTTTATTGTAGGATTGGTTGGTTGTTTGAGATACATGTACATACCTTTTCCTTGGTTTCCATTTTTTGTTGTTGTCTTGGCCGTGGAAACTGTGAATATAAAAAGGTTTAAAGCTACTGAAATGTTGGATTATAGGACTGAAAATTTATGTTGTATTGTGTATTGCACTGACATGCTGTTGTGAGCCAGTGATATTCATTCTCCATGTCATTAGCTATAAAACCCCTTTCTTTATTTTGCTGAGATGTAGAATTTTAGACCTAAATAAATTTGGCCTGTTTCATTCATTACCTTCTCACCGGGGTCAAAGAAGACTGTAAGTAAATTTAACGTTTTGTATGCTGGCTTAAAATGATGTACATACCTGTTAGTGTAGGTGTTGTGTAGGATGTGGAACCTGGAAGAAGTTTAGAAGGAAAGAGAGACATTGGGTTTTTAGTCTGAATCCTCTAGAAATAATTCCTCAACAGAAGAACACGACAGCAACGGAGAACACGTTGGCTGTTTTGTTCATTAACGCTGAGCACCTTTAAGCAGAAATCTGATTACTCTCTGACTCATGTAGACCCAGAGTTCCCCCCATTATCTGATTACTCAAGTGCATGTAAACATGTTGATCGGATTACTGACAAAATCTATTTTCTGCAGTTATCAGATTATTGAGTGCATGTAAACACACTCGGTGATGGATATGCACGTCCCTAATGTGCAGCTTTAGATTCAAGCTCAGGGAATTGGTGCTTGCAGTAAAACGTGAGTGTGCCTCAGTGGCACTTTACCGTGTGTAGTTTGTAGTGAATATTCTTTATTCATCAATATTTTACATAAATGTTCAGGATAAATCATTACTGTTCAAATCACTAAACAGGATACTTCATCTTCCTCATTGTTACAGGCTTCGAGGTTTTTTAAATAAAAGTATTTACAGCATTTAAAAGGATTTTAGGTCAAAACATTTGGCTTAAATGGGTTTGTGGATGCTAGATGTTCACTTAATGAGGATTGGATACTGCCTCCAGTAAAGACAGCAACTTACTGTTTTTCAGTGCCTCAGCAAGCTCTTGTCCTAAAGGAGACAGAGAGAACACAAGAGAGGAAAGTGGTGTAAACATGCCTCTTACGGCCTCTTACTGCTCTTTAACTTTAACTAAAGAAAAGATCAGAGGTAACAGCAGTTCACTGTCTGATTGGATGACATTAGGCCAAACTTACGTAGGTCTCCTAATGTGTTAAATGAAAAAAAACAGACTGTGTCACTGAATGATGACCCTGTTAAAAGAAAGAAACCAGAAATGTCTTTTCACTCCTACTGGTCACTACATTGCTGTAAGTTACCTTTAATCGACGTAAGCTCTAACACCACTTACCAGAGTTATTTGGACAAGTGCTGTTTGGCATCTCCATTGGTCCGGTGTAGTCACCATCAATCACGACAATACTTGTGCATGTTTTGCTAAGTTCACAGCTTTTACAAAGACCTACGAAGAGAATATACATTTCTCCACAAGTATTTTAGTGAGGACTATTACCTAAATAATACGTCAGGCATTTCTGTAGCTATAGATGTTACCATCATTTCTGGAACGTTAAAGTTTGATTATACTTTAATATCTACAAATTCAGTCATTTAGCCTCTAAAATGTAACACAGTGAAACAAAATAATTTAGCAACAGCGTAAAATAACAGTGCAACAGAAAAATGGCAGGATTGTTTGATGTTGGTACATTAAGAAAAATGGCATTTTAGTTTTTGAGTTATGAGTAGGTTTCCCAGCAGAGCTAGGGGAGCTAGGAATGCCCCACTATGAGGATAATAAACTGTATAGGGCTGTAAAAATAGGCTACAGGGTACAGGGATGTGTTTTACTTTATAGTGACCAAAACGACTCACTCAGTGTAGGCAATCCCAAAATCACAGCCAGAACCACGACTGATCTGGACGGCCCAAACTTCACACCAGCCGTCCACTTCATCTTCAGTTCACTGAATTTCACTTAATACAGCTGAAAGAACAGCGCAGTGATCAATCATTTTAATTAATGTTGTAAGTTATACACTGATCAGGCATAACATTCTGACCACCTCCTTGTTTCTACACTCATTGTCCATTTTATCAGCTCCACTTACTATATAGGTGCACTTTGTAGTTCTACAGTTACAGACTGTAGTCCATCTGTTTCTCTGATACTTTCTTAGCCCCCTTTTACCCTGTTCTTCAGTGGTCAGGACCCCCATGGACCCTCACAGAGCAGGTACTATTTAGGTGGTGGGTCATTCTTAGCACTGCAGTAACACTGACGTGGTGGTGGTGTGTTAGTGTGTGTTGTGCTGGTACAAGTGGATCAGACACAACAGTGCTGCTTTTTAATAAACATAATCCAACAAGTAAATGCCATCTCGCCAAGCTGAGTGTGTTTTATTTGTGATGTAAAACGTAGAGTTTACCAAAATAAAATATTTTAAAAATGGAACTGTATAAATATCAGGACTCATATGTGAGTCAGGTTAGATGGAGTTAGTATCAGTATCGGTCCTTAGTATCGGCCGATACTAAAGGATCAGGTATCGGAAGGGAAAAAGTGGTATCGGTGCATCTCTATTTAACTTCAGCTGCACGTGACAAATAGCGGTACACTGTCACAGAAGTCACTCTCACCAGAGTTTTGGACATGTTTTACTTCCTGTTTCCTGTTTTTTGCCATTTTGTGTATGTAAGACCCAGAGTTTAGTCCGTTGATTGCGAAGTCTTGTTTCGGCGATGTCCAGCAGTTCTGAGCGTTCTGTTCTGTGTTTGGATCCTCTGGTTAAGACCTTCTGCCTGTGTTTCTGGTGTCTGAGTATTGCTTTGTGTTTCTAGACTAGTTGTTTGTTTAGCCTACCTGATTCTCCGGTTTTGACCCTTCGTCTTTATGATCTTAATTTTGGAATACTAAACCTGCACCTGACTTCTGTCCATTGTGGTGGTGTGGCAGTCGTCCATTATTTATTTACTTTCCAGTTTAATTACTCATTAAGTACAAGTTCTTTATTTTACAAGAGATACGTATGAGGAGATTAGATATAAAGTAATCTGCTTGCATTATGTTGGAGAAAGGAAAGGAAAACACGAGCTTCCAAAACTAGAGTTCAAAAATGTATTAAAAGCTACAGAGAAAATGGGCCTCCTATCAACCACCGGGAAGACCTGGTAGACCATCATACTGCCTGTAAAGCTACACCAAGAAAAACTATACCAACTTCTAAGACTGAACTTGGGGGTGTGTCTGCAGATTCTTTGAGGAACTGAAAGTGAGTCTCCTGAAAAGAATGAAAGCTGTGATAAAGGTAAAGAGTGACTCACTGACTCACACAGCTGAGCCTTCTGTATAATTTTCTGTTAAATATGTTTTCTGTTTTTTCCAGATGCTGAAAAATGAAGAACTTAATGTTGTTCGCTGTGTAGTTCTCCCTGTGGAGTTTGGAGTGGTTGAGTAGTTTCTGCATCATGGTTTAGATGCTCATCTTGAGTGAAGTGTTTCAAATACAAGCGCATTTTAAAGCTTATTGGGAAAAATACTGGATCTGTATTGGTGACTGCCAGTAATTAACGTTTGAATATCGGTATCAGAAAAAAAAATGTGGTATCGAGTCACCTCTAGTTCGTGAACGTGTGAAAAAAGAACCCCTATCTAGAACCCCTCAGCCTTAATTCTCCCACATCACTCTGAACGTCACTGTAAAACTGCTTTTGTTTTTAACATGATCACAGAAATTTTGTGCAAATATTTGTAATAATAATATATTGTAATAATCTTTCTTAAAATTAAGTCTCTCTTTAATAATATGCAATATAATACTGACAAACGTGTTTGTTTGTTTCACAGCTGCTGATTTTCACAGACATTTGCATTGGATTTGCCTGGACAGCTGTGGAGCATCTGCGGCCTTATGTAAAAATGAAGAACCTGATGTTCTTAGCTGCGCCGAGACACACAGAACATAACCAGGAGGAATTCAGTTTAACAAAACACGCAAGTAAACAGAAAAACCTGTTTATATATTGCTGTTATTTATTATAACTAGCTTCTATGCAAACTCTCATATACAGTAAACACGTGTCTATGTAAATAAGAGTTAGCGGATATTTACTTCAACAGGGAGAATCTCTTTGATGCTGAGCAGCTTACTTGGAAAAATGTGTTCATTCTGGCAAAAATACAGTGCCGTCCAGAATTATTGACACTCTTGGGGAGGATGAGGGGAAAAAAGCTATTTAAAATGTATTTGTCGTACATCAGCTTTACTTTACTCTGAAAATAGGAGAGAATCTGAACCTTTCAGTGAAGTATTTTTTTAATCTGTATAAAATGAATATTTGTCAGAAGAACTGATGTAAACCTTTGAATTGAGATGAAGAAGAGAATCTACAAGGAACGACTAAAGATACTGAAGGGCTGACTGGCCTGATTCATAAACATCCATCTGAGGTAGAACTATAGCCGTTTCCATGGTTACGCCACACTCATTTCATTGCACATTATACTCATTTCAAAGGTTACACTACACTGGTTTCCATGGTTACATTACACCTCTCTCCAAGATTACTCCACATGCATTTCAGTGGTTATGCTACACTTGTTTCATGGCTACATTAAATCCGTTTCCATGGTTGCGCTACACCAGTTTCCAAGGTTATAATGCACTAATTTTAAAGGTTACACTACAACGATTTCTGTGGTGACGTTACACCCACCTCCAAAATTACCCTGCAATTTCCGTGGTTACCCTACATCCATTTCCGTTCTTACGCAGCCCTGCATTTCATGGCAGGTAACCAGTTCTAAGACGACCCTCCTCATTACTGTTTGTATGTATTTCAGTAACATTACAGTTTTCCAGCTCTGAAAAAGTGAAATTTTCATGCCTCATTCTGCCCCCCTGCACCCCCCCCGCACCCCCCCGCCCTCTCCTAAAACCCCTACAAAATAGTGTTCATACACTGATAACCCACAATGTGATTCATACAAACTCTCTTTGTTTGTTATTCATGTCTGTGTTTTGTGATACATTATTTTAGACTTTTTATGTTCATTTCTTTACATCAAATTTTATTTACCAGAAAACTGTATGAATAAAGAGCCCTGCAGAATTATTGGCACTCTTAGTGAAGATGAGCGAAATCGTTTGTGGATAAAAAGCCTTATGATCTCAGTGATCACACTGAGATCTCACAACCAGATAAACTGAAGCTTTCACTGAGGTCAAAGTATTAAGAGAAAACTCTGTATAAAAAAAACCAACAAAAAAAAACCACGTGCCACAATTATAGGCACCCTGCGTTTACTGCACACTCAAGGTAGGGTGCACAAAGGAGTAAATGCAGCGATGCCAGTAACTGTGGCACTTGGGTTATTGAGATTTTGCTATTTGGTTTTTGCTCATTGTTACTAAGGGTGCCAACAATTCTGGAGGATACTCTTTATTCAAACAGTAGCACAACTACAGGTTTATTTAACACAATTATCTTCATCCTTATGATTAGTAAAAAGCACACAGAACCCATTTATAAGAAACAGAAATATTTGCATAGGTACATTCAGTCACAGTTTATTATAATGTTTTTCTGGGTGGTGACTGCTGTGTTTATGTAAATTATATTCCGAAAGTCCCTTACTGATAAAAGCATAGAGACTCTTTGTTTCAAAGTAATGCCTACGTATGACCCTACACGATTAAATGTTTAAAAAATAATACATGTAGAATTTATGAATAAATACTTAATAAATATTTGTACTATTATTTATTTGTCAGTTAATTAAGGTGTTAGATTAGACTATGAACTGTATTTATATCTGGTATTAGTCCTATAACCCAAATACAACACACCTAAAAAAATACTGCACTTGATTATCTTCACTCCATGTCTGACAGTCTGTAGACTCAGTGTTTCTTCTGAAATGAAGGTGTTAATAGTGAGTTTGTGCTGCAGTAACAGCCTCTACTCTTCTGGAAAGGCTTCTAGATGTTGGAACATTGCTGTGAGGATTTGATTGAGCATTAATGAGGTCAGGTACTGATGTTGGACGGTCAGTTCTGGGTCACTCCAGCTCATCCCAAAGGTATTGGATGGAGCTCCATCACTCCAGAGAACACAGTTCCACTGCTCCACAGCCCAATCCTGGGGGGCTTTACACCCCTCTAGCCCACGCTTGGCATTGGACATGGTGACCATAGGCTAATGTGAGGCTGCTCCAGAGCGTTCCATTCTATTAGTCAGTACTTTTCTATGGACCTTAAAGCACCTGAATTCACTCATTAGAAGGACTGTCTGGATACTTATAGTGCATGTTTGTAAGATTTAAGTAATAAATTTTTTTGAGTTACTCCTGTTAACTGAGCTGAAAAATATTTAAATACATCTCTTACCTGATCAGATGAAGTTGGTCTTCTCAGTGATGTGAGTAGTTTTCGATTGTATCTGCTGTAACAGATGCTGTCTGTGATATACTGTTTGAGGTGACTTAGTACATAATTTGCATGATGTGGCATTTCATCCATAGCCAACAAGCTCGTTCTCTCAGGCATCATTTGTCTATGATGTCTCAGATGCAAATTTTCATGCAGAGGAACTGTTGTTTCATTGGCTCAGAGGATTTAACAGGAAATTAGTGTTTACCTTTCCTGAAAACCTGCTGGCTTTATTACGTGGCTTTATTTGTAATGCCAGTTAGCAGTGAGAGCACAGAGATACAAGCCAAACAGTCAGTGTCAGAACTGTGAGTGTGAAATAATTTCATTATTAATGGAAGGAAACAAAGAGGAACAGTGGTCAAAACGCAAAGGCTGACCACACCAGCACTTAGGACAAGACGCCCGGCACAAAACTACAGCCTAAGACTTCATTCACAGGACACTTTTGTCCAAGATGACATAATAACCCCAAACAAACATTATGCACCTTTAAAATGAACAGTGGTTTCAGGAACACCTGGATTTCATGCCTTATATCAATGACTAAATCTACTCTCAGCTGTTTGAGTGTTTAGTGTATCCACTCTTTCCCTTTATTCCAGCTTCCATTCTTTTCAGGAGACTCACTTTCAGGTTCTCAAAGAAGTCTTGTTGCTTCTTATGATCCAAGTAATCCCAGTTACAAATTTAGACTCATCTCAGAGGTCCAGCGGAGTACAGCGAACTGTGAACAGCGGTAGTCGCACCTCGTTGGTTATAACCTCGTTCAACGTACCCGGAACCTCAGGCTTAAGGAGGGAGACATGAAAAGAGCAGTATTGACTGGGTAAATCAAGCTTATAAGTAGCTTCCTTAACTTTTTCAAGGACTTTAAAAAGACCAGTATACTTAGGCAGTCTTGAGTCGACAGCCACACACGATATACCGGGTGGTACTCTTCATCTAGTCATCCACAGCTGGAACTTTCGTAGTTGCGGTGGTCCAGGGCATGAGAGGGGGCTTATATCCTAATTCAGCCGGGTTGGACTGATTCCTGCCTAGTTCTTGATGTACTCTTTCACATTGACCATTAGACTTGGGGTGATATCCAGAGGTCAAGCTGACATTGACACCAATATGCTTAAAGAATGCTGACCAAATGTGAGATGTAAACTGGGAACCACAGTTAGATAAAATGTCCCCTTGAGTTCCAAAGAATCTAAACACGTGGTTAAACAGGGCTTAAGCAGTTTCAAAGGCCGTGGGAAGTTTCGTGAACAGGATTAATCTGACTGCCCATGAAAATCTACTACTTTTAAAATAGTAGTGAATTTTTGGGACAGAGGTAAATCAGTTAGAAAAGCCATTGCTATGTGGGACCAGGGATGCACAGGCAAAGGGACTAATTTACCAGCGGGTAAAGTTTTAGGAGTTTTATATTGAGAGATGCAACAAAGTGAAGAATATCTGGCAACATATTGTCCCTCCAGTGCCAATGACTTAATAAATGTTGGCTGCATGTCTCTCTTGAGTGACCAGATGTGAGGGACGAGTGAGCCTAGGTGATTAAATGATCCCTGAATTCCACAAGTATGTATATCTTATTGTTGCTGCTTCTAGGAGTTCTATGGTGCAGTCCTCTGGGCAGTGTGGAGATAGTTTGGTGTCTTTGGTCTGACTAAAGACCTCCTTGAGGTCTGCATATTCAGGGGAAATGTCTACCTTTGTCTCACTATTGGGACTTTCAGTGGAAGTGGATTAGAGGGATAATTGGGGTCTTGTGAGACACTGCTCGAAACAGGTGAAAATGAGAGCAGCTCTTGTTCTGCTCATGAAATTAGCAGGTCATGTTTCTTTAGCCAAGGCAAACCTAATATGACAGATGAATCTATCACAAACACAGTTTCCTTGGTGTGCAGGGCACTGATGGTGAGAGTAATGGGGATGGTTACTTTAGAAACCACTCCAGTGCCTTTTGGATCCCTATCTAGGGATGAGAACATGAGGGGCATCGTTAAGGGTTCAACAGGAATCTTCAGCAGTTCCACCACTCTAGCATGTATGAAGTTCCCCTCGGCCTCTTGAATTAATCAGGGCTAAAAACACAGAAATAAAAGTGGACTGAGGGTAGCGTAAAGTAACTGGGAGGAGGAAGGACTTCGATACCAACGTCTGAATACTCGCCACATTAGCTTTCCAGGGGTCGGCGCCAGAATCTTACTACCCCGACAGTCACGTAAAACGTGGCCAGCTGCGCCACAGTACAAGCATAAACCTCTGTCAAGTCAGCGAAGCTTCTCCTCTTGGATCAGACGAGAAGAATCACATTGCATGGATCTCAGGTCCTGCTGGGTTCTTTCAGGCTAGGCTCGGCAGGACTTTGTGGTTCGGATCTCTCACTGGATCTGTACATGCAAGTTCTACAGAATATCCTTATTAAGTCTGTTGCGGAAAGTAACTAACAAGGCTGTTTCATTCCAACCACTCCCAGCTGCAAGAGTGGAATTCCAGCACGTTACAGACTTATTGCCTTAACGTATCTTAGCAAGTTCCCTCTTGAGGGAGATTGAAGACAGATTTAAAGTCCTTCTCAAACTGATCATATCATAAGCCCTTAACGTCGGGCCAAACAGCGCCCCATTCTGACGCTTTGCTTGTTAAACAAGAGACCAAAAAACGAGATCCGGGTGTGATCAGAACAGGAGCGCAGACTACTGAAATACTAACAACACTGCAGTAAAAAGCACTTGCATGCATCCATGGAGCCGTTATATTTATCCAGCGTACTAACGCTGTAGTAGGGTGCAGGAACAGGAAGACGATTAGCAGGTTGTAACTGAGTGGTCAAGTCCTTGAGGCGATCCGCTCTTAATTTGAATCTGAATTTGAATCTGCTGCTGGCTTTGTTGTTGTTAGCAGAGCCATAGACTGAGACAGCTCTTCAGGTAAAGTGTGGTGTTGCCCCAGCATCTACCCTTGGTTACTAATTGCTGAGGCTATAGTGTCTGAAACTGCTATTTGCATTGAGTATGCAGGAGAGAAGGGTAGGCGTCCTCGGTAGGAGGTGTGACAAAATAATTAGTTTTCTTCAGGGACTATTTTGTCTCACAGCGCCCTGCATGTATCCCTCCACCATGAATGGAGTTTAAGTTCTCTAAACGATCATAAAACAGTGTCTCAGTCATCAGGCAGTGAATTCATAACCATTTCATGTAGTAACTTTCTGTGAGGGAGCCTTTAGAGGTGGACGTCTGGTTCCTATCACCACCACTGTGAACAGTTCTGACTCGGTAAATGTATCTAGAACAGAACATTTCACACCAAACCACTCTGAACCATAACTGTTTAATTATGCATACATTTTGAAGCAGTGAAATTTCCTTTTAACAGTATATTTAAGACAAATATTACAATACTTCATTACAACAATATAATTTCATAATAATGTTTGGTAACACTTTACTGTAGGGTGCTGTTTATAAGGCTACATGACACCTACATAAGCTAGTCATGACAACTGACATAACCCTACATAAATGCCTATAAATGCTTATTTCAATAGGTGTCATCTGTCATAAAGACTACTTTAGCAGATTTTGAAACTACCAAATGTAGCCTTTATAGCGAATAACGCCTATTGGAATTAGCATTAATAAACATTTATGTATGGTTATGTCAGTTGTCATGACAAGCTTATGTAGGTGTCATAAAGCCTTATGACCAGCACCCTACAGTAAAGTGTTACCTAATGTTTTTCTACTAAACATTAACACCACAGAACCCAACAGCTGAAATATGAAAAGTCATATGATAAATTCACTGGCAAAATAGGCAAAAACAAGTGATTAACCATTAGATCCAAAACTTGCTATCGGTGTAGAATTTATATTTGTCTACTGCCAGACAGAATCTGTGGATTCAGTCGTGAGCAAAAGTTTGTGCACCCCTGGCCAAATTCCATGTTGTTGATTTGAAATGTAAATAAGTTACACATCCTCTACAGAGACACACTACTGCACATTTTAATACACAATCACTGTTAATTTACTGCATTTAACATATGGGGGGGGGGATAAAACATAAAATGAGGCCTGTTTATTTATTTTCCTTTTTCAACATTATGCTCTGCAAATAAATAGAAATTGTGCGTTTAAGAGTGCTCTCTATAGAGGGTGTGTTAACTTATTTTCAGAAATTAGTAAAACACATGCCAAAACATTCGCATGTGACTATATTTGAGTTAGCAGAAATAAATACATAATAAACACATTAACAGAAGATGAATAAATTAAAAAATCTAAATGAAATCAGTCATATATGTTAAATTATAAAGAAAAATTTAAAACAGATCAATGTGTGTTTATGAACTCCACAGGTTGTACTTACAGCACTGTTGGCGGGAAACATAAAAGCTGTGGTCTAAACCAATCAGATCGCATCCCAGTTGGAGCTGCCTTATTTGAGTGTGTAGATGTCTGGAACTGAGACTGCTTTCATGGAAATGTAAAGGAATTTGCTATTCTTCTATCACTGCTATTCATAGGCGCCTTCAGTAGAATTATAAATTAAAAGTCCCACTCAGCCCATAAAGCTTCTGAAGATCTGCACACTCGCACAGGCCTCCTAGAGTTATCCATATTTCAGTCGTCCTCAAACAGAGAATATAGTCCAGGTGGCATCACTTCCCGATGGCTGCTCCTCTTTTATCCAGTGATCTGTACTTTAAAATGTTTTCGGCTTCTCGTACGGGTTCTCCACGCTGGTGGCCTCCATGGTGGTGCTGGTGGTCTTCTCTGAGGTCAACTGGTCCCCCACAAACTTGCTAGTCTTGTAATAGTAAATGAACAGGAAGAATCCTGAGGAGAGACACAAACAGATCCACACTGAATCTGCCGATTGGGCTTTGTTGGGCTTTGTTGTGACCTGCAGGTAATGTCCACTCAGTATTTCCCACTATGGGAACTAATGTCCCTCCTTACTAATGTGGATTGACTTAAAGGGTCCATATCCTACATTTTTCTTGCATTTTACATTCTCCCCTGATGACCACTTATGAACATTTTATGTATCAAAAAGAAAAATGAATGCTATGTGTGAGTACGTTACAGTGATTTTATCACTTTTAAGAGTGTTACTATGCTTAACATAGTAGCAGAGTAAAACCACTTTAACTGTGACTTAATTACTATAACACACAGCCTTAAGTGGCTTATTGCTTGTAGAAAAGGGTGTATACTAGTGAACTAGTGAATACGGCTTCACTCTGTTCGGGTGCTCGTTCATAGATACACCCACCATGCGGAAAAAGAAAGCACAGCATTCCAGAGACTGCAGTCCCACTTTTTCCTTGTTTGCGTTGAAAAGCACATTAATCTAATATAAGTGCTTCAGGTATATACTCTTTTTACTTTCACTGCAAGTTTAGCTTTTTTCACTTGTAAATCACGTCTCGCAAACTTAAGTGCCCCCAATGCTAGTTTCCATTAACGCTTCTATACAATTTCCTGTTTTATGTAGCTCCAAGCTTAAGGTGTTGTATATCCGTTTTCCCACACTGGGGTTGAATCACAAACGGCTCCCTGCTCCCTACATAGTGCACTATGTGGGAATTAAAATACTCCAGTACTTTGAGATTCAGCCTGCCTTTAGTTGTTTAATGCTAGTAAGGACAGATCTGAATAAAACATCTGAAACGTGCAAGTGGCATATTCTTTACTTTTTATGTTGCAGTTTTTCAGTAAAATGATATATGAAGCATGTTTGCTAGATGATCTGCCTTGTTTCTCGAGTTAAGAAAATAAGGTGTCAGCCCATCAGTTTAAAACAGAACAGGATATTTCTCATATCGCCAAGCAGCATAACAGTCCGTTGGTTGTGAAGCGCTCACATTGCGTATTTTACCATGGCTGTCCAACGTGGCTGACCAGGCAGGTTTCAGAACTACAGCTACTGTTTTTTGTTCTGCTCAGAGCAGAAAACTGCAGTCATTGAAAGAGACTTCTTGTAAATGTGTTATATGTGAACTAGAGACATTAGAGACATTACTAAAATAGGCATGCAGCTACAGTATTGATTACCTTAAAATATTGGCAGAATGTAGCATGATTACAGTAGTAATTAAATTAGTTAACAAGCTAGTGTTCGTTAGTTAGCTGTTGAAATGAGGACAGTGTACTAGAATGTTCTGTTTTCGTTTGAGAACTGAAAGGGTGAACAGTATGTGTTATGTTTCTCGCAGTACATGGTGACGAGTGTCGCTCCAGCAGTGCTGTGATGCAGTGCTGGTTCTAGCCTGTTGGGGGCCCTAAACAGGATGTTTTTGGGGGGGCTATTCTTGCTAGCTGAGCAAAATTAAAGGCAAACTAATGACAACAACCACCACAAGCTTGGCTGTTCGTCATAAATGAACTTAAACTTTCAAGTGCACATGCATGTGGATTAATCACAGCCTGAGCATGTAAACCTGGATAAACAGAGAAAGTTGTTAACCGCCGTTGTAAAACGAGTTAACTGCGTCTGTGTTTGAACAGTACTGGCGGCTGTAGCACCCTGAGCAGCTGCTCATGTCGCTTATGATGTAGAACCGGCGCTGCTGTGTTGTATTACTTTATGTTTATACTGTCTTATTTCAGAACTAAGAACAGCATTGATTCTGGAAGAACTAACCCTTCCTCTTTCTTCTCTGACCCACCTTGGAAGGAGTTGAGGATGGTGAAGATGTAGTAGGACGGGAGGCGCAGGGCTCCGTAGGCGAAGAAGGTGAAGCCCCAGGTGAGTCCGAGAGTGCAGCACAGGCCCATTACGGTCAGGGCGTCAGAGGTGCCCGTCCCTTTGCGCTTAGCAGAACCGGCGAGTGGTTTATGGCGATTCGCGGCGGTGCCTTTGAGTAGGAAGATCCATCGCAGCATGACGACAAAGGTAGTGAAGGTGAAGGCAAAGATTATGGAGTAGTAGCCGATGTTCACCACGTAATGGACGGCAGAGTCTGTGATCCAGCACCTTCAGAACACAAGCAGTAGAGAATGCTGTGTAAGATCAGGGGAGCAGCGTATCAACCTGCAAATTTTTCAACATTTCTGCATAATTAAATGGTTAAGATGTAAACAGAGTCATTCAGAGTGGTTTGGTGAAACTTACAGAGAATGTAACAGCTGCACCACTTAGGGTGGAATCGAAAATTTTAATGAAAAGCTGGTGGATAAGGAGTTATAAGGGAACTAAAGGCTCTATTCTTCTCTTTTTGGATTCTTTTGGTCTGAAATAAGATGCTAAAGCTCCAAACAGAGAAGTGAGATCAGCAGTAAAGCGGCTCAGAATCTAAACCAACACAACAGAATAAAACTGAAACTAAACTGTAACAACTTAAAATGGAGCTTTACTCACTAATAAATTTGACTAGATATAGAAATGTTATTTGAAAAAACTCAAATCAAATAATGGAAGTACAAATCCATTAAAACTGTACACATGTACATGGAACTAAGTAAGTGTACCCTATATGGACAAAAGTATTGGGACACCTATGCCTTACACCTATAGGAGCTTTTATGAATCCCATTCTAAATTCATATCCATAGGCATTAATATGGAGTTGGTCCCCTTTGCAGCTCTAACAGCTTCCACTCTTCTGGGAAGCTTCTACAAGATGTTGGAGAGTCTGTGGGAATTTGTGTCCATTCATCCAGAAGAGCATTTGTAAGGTCAGACACTGATGTTGGACGAGAGGGCCTGGCTCACAATCTCCGTTCTAGTTCATCCCAAAGGTGTGTGATGGGGTTGAGGTCAGGGCTCTGTGAGGGTCAGTCAAGTTCTTCCACACCAGACTCACTCAGTCTGACTTTATGGAGCTGTTTTGTGCTCTGGGGCTCAGTCATGCTGGAACAGGAAAGGTTCTTCCCCAAACTGTTCCCACAAAGTTGGAAGTGTACAGTTGTCCAAAATGTCTTGGTGCTGAAGCATTAAGATTTCCCTTCCCTGGAACTAAGGGTTCTAGACCAACCCCTGAAAAACAGCCCCATATCATCATCCCTCCTCCACCAAACTTTACAGCTGGCACAGTGCAGTCAGGCAGGTAACGTTCTCCTGGCATTCACCAAACCCAGACTCGTGCATCAGACTGACCGATAGAGAAGCTGATTCATCACTTCACAGAACACGTTTCCACTGCTGCAGAGTCCAGTGGCGGCGCTTTACACCAGTCCATACGACACTTGGCTTTGTGCTTTTTGATCTTAGGCCTGTGTGCAGCTGCTCAGCCACGGAAACCCATTTTGTGAAGCTCCTAATGTGCAGTTCTTTTGCTGATGTTGCTTCCAGAGGCAGTTTGGAACTCTTCAGTGAGTGATTCAACAGAGGATAGACACTGTGCTCTTCAGCACTCGGTGCCCCACTCTGTGAGTTTGCGTGGTCTGTCACTTCGTGGCTGAGCTGTTGTTGCTCCAAGGTCCTATCCAACAATAGGACTTACAGTTGGCTGGGGTAGATCTAGCAGGACAAAAATCTCACAAACTGACTTGTGTCAGAGGGGGCATCCTATGACCACGTTTAAAATCACTGAGCTCATCAGTTCGACCCTCTACTGCCAGTGTTTGTCTATTGAGACTGCAAGGCTAAGTGCTTAATTTTATCCACCTGTTAGCAATGAGTGTGGCTGAAACACCTGAACTCGATAATTAGGAGGGGAGTCCCAATACTTTTGTCTATGTAGTGTACTTGTATGTAACGGAAGGTTGAGTGCTAAGCTAAAGGAGCTGTAGGTGAGGGATGAGGGAGTGAAGGACTCACATTTTCACATCCTTTCCGTCGTCAGCATGAATGACTAGTTGGTTGTATTTTTGCAAACAGAAGACGACGGTGACAACAACTGCAGGAGGAGCTGAAAAGAGAAAATAATCTTTTACATTATCAGATCAAATCAAACCCAGTTCACATTTGACTTTAAAAGGCCCATAGCATGACACCATGTTTGTGGATGAGATGAGGGACAGTGAAGAACCTTTTAAAGGTACAGAGAACCCTTACATAATGTAAAAGTGCTTTACCAAGTTAAAGGTTCTTCCTAGGATCTTTACATTATGTGGAGATTATTTTAGCTTCCCGCTCTCGCATCTCATTTACAAATTTAAATCTAAAGAACCATCCATTTAAAGGTTCTTTAGGGAACCAAAAATGTTTTCTCTATGGGTATGCAAAGAACCCGTTCTGTAGTATGCTTTCTCTCCAATCCATATGAGGAAACTAAACTGCAAAAACAGTCTGTTTTGAATTCAGTGTTGTTGTGAAGTCACAAACCCAGTGTATTGACATGTATCTACCTATTTAGCCTACAGCAGGTTAGCCCAGTCCACTCATGCTGAAGTTATAAAGAGTGTTTTCAGACTCGACTGCTTTAGAATGAGGGCACAGCCAATCACAACATAAAAAGGTGTATAACAACAGACACATTCATAAGTGGAGCTCAGAGAAAAAAACAAACCCCTAGAAAATTCTGTGTGAACTCACCCCAGCCGGCGATGCAGATCTTGGTGAGGTAGTGTTTGATAGGTGTGGAGTTTCTGCCCAGCTGCAGACAGAGGTGGAGAGCCTCCAGACCGAACCACGTGAAGCTGGTCAGCAGGCAGTAGTGCATGAAGCCCGCCATCAGCTTACAGCCTATTAGGTTCCCCGTGTTCGCCACGTACTCGTTGGTCAGGAAGGTCAGATTCAGCAGGACCAGCGCCACAAACAGGTTTATGAGGATGTGCACTGAATCGCTCTGTCTCGCTCTCCTGTGGAGAAACGGTGGAGAAGTGAATCATGATTCCAGTTTTTCTAGACAGTCGCTGTGCTGCATGCCTCATCGTCTACCCTCCACACAGACTAATCCAGAGTTTTTAAGCCTGTTCCTGCCCGGCTTATTTTGGTGCTTTACCTGAACTTAAAGCTACACTGTCACACTTCCTGGTTCCCAGTCCGACTCACACTGCACTACAAAGTCCAATTCCCAACATCCCTCAGTTTGTCATATTATTCCACCAACCAATCACCTGCCCACCAGCAGATCTCAATCACCTGGATACTGATTATCACCTGTTTGCCTGTCTGTTTCACTCTGTCTTTGTGAAGTATTGCCTGTTTTGTGAGGGTGTACCGAGCCGTTCTTTTGTCTTGCTGGATGTACTGTTCATGACCTTGGTTTGTTTTGTCATTGTTGATTCTTGAATTTACCCCTTTGGCCAAGACCACCTGTTAACTGGCTCTTTGGTTTCAACCCTCGCTTGTTTCCCTACTTCGTTTTTTTGTCTTCTCCCTTGTATCGTGTTCTTCTTAAACCTTATGGTTTATTTTACATCCGCGAGGGTCTGGTTCATCAACCCAGCGTTACATACACTAAGTTTTGGGGATTTGGAAACCTCTCTGGTGGAAATGTGCCTGCCCCCTTCCCCAAGAGGATGAATCTGATGATTGAAAGAGAATCCGAAGAGAACCCAGTCTAAACTTGGTAAAGTAGACCTAAACATCGAGCCATGCCTTCTTCAGAGGACGTGAGTGAATTATCTACTACTGTCATCATATCTTCATCAGTATAATGTTGATTTTGAGATCAGTTGAGACCTAAACATTGAGCCGGACCTTCTTTTTGATCCTGCGATGATAATGTGTAAAAATGCACGACGTGGCATTTTTTTACACTGTACCTTAACAGGAAGTGCATGAAGAGGGCCACACCCAGGAAGAAGATTGAGAGTCCGCAGCCGATGGAGGTGATGTAGGTGAGGTTGCTTAGGTCAGTGCTGGATATGTTGTCAGTTGGGTTGGGCTGTGAAAACACCACATATGTTTTAGCACACTAAGTGTCATAAACACCGATCAGGCAAAACATTCTGACCACCTCCTTGTTTCTACACTCATTGTCCATTTTATCAGCTCCACTTACTATATAGGTGCACTTTGTAGTTCTACAGTTACAGACTGTAGTCCATCTGTTTCTCTGATACTTTGTTAGCCCCCTTTTACCCTGTTCTTCAGTGTTCAGGACCCCCATGGACCCTCACAGAGCAGGTACTATTTGGGTGGGGGATCACTCTCAGCACTGCAGTAACACTGACGTGGTGGTGGTGTGTTAGTGTGTGTTGCGCTGGTCTGAGTGGATCAGACACAGCAGTGCTGCTGGAGTTTTTAAACACTGTGTCCACTCACTGTCCACTCTATTAGACACTCGTACCTTGTCAGTCCACCTTGTAGATGTAAAGTCAGAGACGATAGCTCATCTGCTGCTGCACAGTTTGTGTTGGTCATCATCTAGTCCTTCATCAGTGGTCACAGGATGCTGTTGGCTGGATATTTTTGGTTGGTGGACTATTCTCAGTCCAGCAGTGACACTACAAACTACAAAGTGCACCTATATAGTAAGTGGAGCTGATAAAATGGACAATGAGCGTAGAAACAAGGAGGTGGTCATAATGTTATGCCTGATTGGTGTAGATGGTATCTGCAGGAGCATAAAACACTCCTAAAAGCCTTACATTTATCTAAAAGGGTTTGAAGCCTTGAAGTGGAACTCCACAGATTTTTCAAGTTTCTGTGTAGTTAAAACATCATGATGTGAACAAAGCCATTCAGAGTGGTTTGGTGTGAAACGATCCATTCTGGAGAAAGTTACTGAGTCAGAATTGTTCACAGTTTTGGTGATAGGAACCAGACGTCTGAAGAGTTTAGCATCATTAAAAGCTACTTCACAAGAATGTTGTTACACAAAATGGTTATGAATGATGAGAAATTGCTTTACAATAGTATTTTAATGGTGGCAGGGTAAACGCAGGACA